ATCATGTAATACAAAAGAATATGTATTGTTTTGTATGGTCTTAATTGAAAAAAGAGAAGGAACTTTACTTGCAAGACATAAGGTGGCAAAAACGTTCTTCGAATAATGAAAAATGGAAAGAACTTTCTTTACAACACAAAAAAATGACAAGAAATTGCTTTACAAAACGAGAAATTGCAAGAACTTTCTTTACAGAACACAAAATCGAAAGAACTTTCTTTACAGAACAAAAAAATGGCAAGAATTTTCTTTACAAAGCAGAAAATGGCAAGAATTTTCTTTACAAAACAGAAAATGGCAAGAACTTTGTTTACAAAATAAAAATATTGCTATTATAACAAACTGCAGGCTGCGAAAGACATATTATACGATGATACCAAAAAACCGCAACAAACTTTCTTTACAAAACTTATTCATTGAAAAACCGCAATAACTTTCTTTACAAAAATAATTTTTTGAAAACCGCATGAACTTTTTTCACATCTAACTAAAAAAATTCAAATTTTGTTTACATTTTGCAAAAAAACGGTTAAAAACGTCACCCCTCCCCTCTCCCTTTTCTACATTTCCCCCACCCAACGCTACGCTAATTATGAAACCTTTCTTGTCCCAACATGTAGACCATTGTGTGTAAAAGGAATTCGAAAAAATGCCCTTAAAACAACTTCCGGAATCTTTTGTCTTCCAGTTTCTTAAATATTTGGGGCTTCAAAGACAATTTCAAAGCAATGTTTCTTTGTTTGTAAGGTCAAGATATTGTCTTAGAAGCTATGGCACAAGAACATGATGTTAAGAATGGCATTAGGAAATTGAAAAAGTTAGGAAATGGCATTACCTTTCTTTAAAAAAATGGCAAGAATTTACTTTACAAAACATAAAATGGCAAGAATTTACTTTACAAAACAATAAATGGCAAGAACTTTCTTTACAAAACATAAAATGGCAAGAACTTTCTTTCCAAAACATAAAATGGCAAGAACTTTCTTTACAAAACATAAAATGGCAAGAACTTTCTTTACAAAACAAGGTCAGACTGTCTGTTCAGTATAAGATGTCTCACCCAAAATGAACCTTTTTCAAATTTATAAACCGGAAATTCAGCCGCAATTAATATTCATATGGCCACACACGAAAGGCGAACAAATTTATGGGTGTTTTAATTATACACAGATGATATCTTAACGTCAAAAATTAACCATATGGACAACATTTTTTAAATTTTTACGTGAAGTTTGTTTGTAATAAAACATTTTTGTTTTGTAAAGAAAGTTCTTGCCATTTTTTGCTTTGTAAAGAAAGTTCTTGCCATTTTTTGTTTTGTAAAGAAAGTTCTTGCCATTTTTTGTTTTTTAAAGAAAGTTTTTGCCATTTTTTATTTTGTCGAGAAAGTTCTTGTCATTTTAAAAAATATTTAAAAAATACGCTCAACCTAGTAAAAAAGGTATCAAAATAGTTATGAATGCTTATGACTAGCACTAATAATATTTTTAAAAATTTTTTAAACCTGGATTAACCCACCAAGTTAAAAATAATAAAAAATATTAATTTTTCAAAAAAAACCCACCCTCCCCCCCCGAACAAAAAATTAAAACAGTTAATTATCTGCCCTGCCATTTTATTTTGACAGAGTAATGTAAAACGAATCTTTCATAAACAAAAATACTTTGGGCCGAAAGGTAAAATATTCGAAAATGCTTTGGCCGCAGGTAATTGCGTGCCAGGATTTCCGGTCTAGCGAGGCAAAAAAACGCTTGGGGAAATGCTTTTTAAGGACATATGACGAGGGAGCGGGTCGAAAATATGAATATGGAGAATGATTAGGGTATTGTGAGGGAATGGCAGTGACTATATGTAGGTGCAGTTTCAAAAAATGGTAGGATAGGATTGGGTAGGGTAGGGTAGGGTAGGGTATGGTAGGGTAGGGTAGGGTAGGGTAGGGTAGGGTAGGAAACATGATATGGGAGGGCAGGGAAAATGGGGCATTGAAAGGTAAAATACGTTGTCTCACTGTCAATTTTTATAGGGTAGGGTAGAGTAGGGTAGGATAGGGTAGGGTAGGGGAGGGTAGGGGGAGGGGGGAGGGGAGGGGGAGGGGGGGAGGGGGAGGGGAGGGTAGGGTAGGGTAGGGTAGGGTAGGGTAGGGTAGGGTAGGGTAGGGTAGGGTAGGGTAGGGTAGGGTAGGGTAGGGTAGGGTAGGGTAGGGTAGGGTAGGGTAGGGTAGGGTATGGTAGGGTAGGCTAGGGTAGGGTAATATTAACAAAGACACCTTGGAGCACGGTAGGGCAGGACAAAAAAGAAAAGATGATGTGAGGGTATGTTAAATTTCTAAGTTCTAGGGATATGGTACTCTAGAGTACGGTAAGAAAACGTAGGATGGTATGGTGTAGTTGGCCAGGTAATGGGCGGGTAAAAAATTTAAAAGGAGTTTAAATTCACCTTACCCTACCGTACCATACTATACCCTACTTTACTCTTTTATACTCCACTCTGTCCCACCTTACCTTCTCTATACTATACCCTACCACACATACCCTTTAATACCATACCTTACCATACTCTACCATGCTCTGCGTAATAAAAAAACTTTAAAATCTTAAATTTTTTCCTACTGAAACAAAGTCCACCCCCATAATACTTTAAGTCCAACCCAAGGAACCCCCTCCCCAAATCGAATGCAGAATTAGATATTTATGTCTCTTAAACTTGCATGTTGAATATTGTTTTTCCTGTTTGCTGGGGGCGAAATTCTATTTCGTTTTTCAATTCATACTCATGTCTAACAATGGACTTGGGTCAATAACAAGGAAGGAAGCCTTGACCAAAGGCTAGCCAACGAAATTGAGTATTTACTCGAAACTAGTCACATTTGAAATTGCAAAAAATATTTGAAATATTTAAATTGGGGGGGTTACATATAATATGAAAAAAATTTAGGGCGGGGTAAAATAAGGTATGGTAAATAAAAGTAGGGTATGATAGAGTGGGGTAGGGAAGGGTCAATTAGGATTGCGTAAAGAAAGGTAGGGTGGGATAGGGTAGGGTAGGGTAGAGTATGGCAATTTAAGGTAGGTTGTGGTATGACAAGTTGAAGTAGATTACCGTACGGAAATTTAAGGTGGGGTAAGGTATGACAATTTAAAGCAGGGTACAGTGTGGCAATTTAAATAGGGTAGGGTATCACAATTTGAGAAAGGGTAGGGTATGGTATGGCAATTTAAGGTAGGGTGGGGTATGTCAATTTAAAATAGAGTAGAGTATGTCAATTTAAAGTAGAGTAGGTTGTGGCAATGTAACGTATGATAAGATTGGGCAAGTTAGAACATTAAAGCTAGGGTAGAGCAATGAAAAGGAAGGTAGGGTGGTAAAACCGATAAAATTTAGAAACCTTAAAATATGTTGAAAACTATTTTTCGTTCGTTTGCAAAGCAATAAATAGCCAAAAAATATAAATGGGGGTGTTGTCCGCGCGACCAAAGAAAGATCTTTGTTTCCCTGCCTACCCTACCCGGCTCAGATTTTTTCACAAAGAAAAAAAGCCGACCGATTGGCCGTTCTGAATAAGATTGCATTCGATTTTTAATGTTTCAAGATGGCGGCCTTACCCCTACCCCTAACCCTACCTCTATCCCTACCTCTAACATAGCATACCATGCCCTCCCCTACCATATATTCTACCCTGTCATTCTGTGCTCCTTGCCTCCACCCTATACAACAATAAATCATAATTCCGCCCTACCTTTGCATTTTTAATTTCTACCGTAGCCTCACGGTACCCTTCTATTGCCATAGTCGTTTATAAATTGCCCATACCCAAGCAGGTTTTACGCAAGCATTACTTATGTCCTACCCTGCCTATGCCTTGTGCTAGCTTCAGTACAGCCATGCTTTTGTTTTTCTACCTCTACCCTTGCCCTACATCAACCGTAGTCTTCCCTAACTTATTCTGTCCACGTCTTTCTCTACTTTTGCTAAAACCGTGCTTTTGCCATTTTACCTACCGCTACCTCAACCTGTACTATCGTCTTCCCTAACTTACCCACACACTAGCAAGCTTTGCCCTACCTTACGATTTGTTAGCTATAGCCATGCTTGTGTCCTTCTGTACCCTAGCTGAAGCAGAGACGTTGATCTTGCTCAAATACCAAAAATCATAAAATTATAGTTCATAATAAAACAACTGAAAATCAGAAAGAAACAACCACAAATGAACGAAAAGAACGTCCTTGGACGAACGTTTTTCTTTGGAACGTTAGGAACATTAAAGCCGCGCCAAAGGAATATTCAAAAACAGGATCAAAACAAGCCAATTTCTTCGCAGAAAATTAATTGTGGGTGGGATAGGGGACGCATAAGGTCATGAGATTTGCAAAAACACAGTACAGTAAAATTAAATGGCAAAAGATTTGTTTACAAAATTCTTGGTAAAAAATTGCAATAACTTTCTTTACAAAACTCATTTTTCGAAAAACTGCAAGAACTTTCTTTACAAGACTCATTTTTTGAAAAACCGCAAGGACTTTCTTTACAGAACTCATTTTTTTAAAAATAGCAAGAACTTTCTTTACAAACCTCATTTTTTTAAAAACCGCAATAACTTTCTTTACAAAGAGACCTGAAACCAATTGTATTACCTGTATATACGGCGTACTCAAAGTTTCTGTACCGTACTAAAATTACTCTACAATAACTTGTGTCCTTGTCAAAGTTATTGTACTTATAAATTGTCTATATCCTAACCCACCCCTTGAATTTTTATAAGTTTGCGCCCTAAAACACGAATTTGGCCACGAGAAACAAGTGCGCGCGCGAAAGTGGCAAAATTTGTGGAGTTTTTGAGTGAAATGAGCGGCCCTAGTTAAGAATAGGGGGGTCCTTGGGGCGAAAAAAAGAAAGAAACCCGCTAAACTCGTTTCTGCTTTAATGGCAATCCGGATAAATATTTGGGTGAATTGTAAAAACACATCGCATGAAAAGTGGCACAGTATTGAATTCATTTGGCAATGTTGTTTGATCAGGGGGTACGGGGATGGACCTACGACAAAAATCAACAGGGGGGACTCTTAGAAATATTAGAATGTAGCAAACTTTGAACTACTGTAACTTTTTAGTATATAATTGGACAGCTAAAAATTTTAATTTCTACTTTACTTTGCTCTTCCACATGACATAGGTCTCAGTTCTAAATTCCCCTATTTGCCTTTCCTTTGTAAGGCGGGGTAATTCTGGGCAAAGTTGGATGACATAGGGTAGGTTATTTTAAGATGGTGCAAGGTAGGGGATAAAGAAGGTTATTGTAGAGTAGGAAGGGTAGATCAGATAGGGGTAGGTAGGGTATGGTATGGCAAAGTAAGGCAGGGTGGTTTAAAAACAATTAAAAACATTATTTGATGGGGTGATTTTTTTATTTTTTTTAGAAGAACGGGGGTTCAAGTAAATTTTTTTAAAATTTTTTGAAACACGATTTTTGAAACAACAATAATTAAAAACAGAATTTTAAAAATTTTAAATTTTTTCAATATTTAGGTGTTTTACCCTCACAGGTTAGAGGTACTTTTACCTCTAACTCTACCTCTACTGATACCCCTACTTATACTGTTTCTAATAGTTCTATCTTATCAAAAAAATTCAAAAATATAAATTTTTTAACATTAATTTTGAAAAAATTTCAAAATTTAAAAAAAGTTGTTGAATATCGATTTTTTTAATATTATGATGCAAAAAAAATTTAAAATTGATTTTTTAATATAAAATTATCATAACTTTTGAAATTTCAGGACGGCCGTCCCCTTAAATTCGAATCAAACGACGAGCGTCAGTTCCTAAACAACAATCAACAGCTCTACATTGACTCGGCCAATGTTGATGATGCTGGTGTCTATACCTGTATCGGTGAGAATGAAGCTGGAAAGACGACCAAGAACATTGTCATTAACATGCTGGATGCTCCTGTAGTGATAAGACCATATCAAGAAGTGGAGGCGAGGGAAAACGAAACTATTTTGTTGACTTGCCCAGTCACCGATCCATCACAATATAAGTTGACTTGGCTGAAGGGTGGAGATGCGGTTAGGAATGGGCCGAATATTCAGGTGGGTATATGTTTAGACTGTCATTTTGAAAGTGAATTTAAAACTCGTTTATAACGAAAAAAATTTAAGTTTTGGAGCGATTAGTTATACAGGTTGTTCAAATAATCTTGTGCCCCTTTTTACAAAGCAAGTTTTTGGAGTTAGGGGCACAGAATTATTTGAACAAACTTTTTATTTTATATGCAGGCTATTCCTGTATTTTTGAGTTTTTCTTAGGCCTACGAGTTTGAAAAAAAAATTTTGAGTGTTTGCGGTATCATCGTATAACATGTCTCCCGCAGCCTGCAGAATGCTTTTCCTGGATTTTTGCTTAAATTAGAGGGTCTTAGGGTTTTATAAAAAAGTTCTTGCGGTTTTTAATAAAATGAATGTTGTAAAGAAAGTTTTTGCGTTTTTTTTGAAAAATGAGTTTTGTAATCAAAGTTTTTGCGGTTTTTTGAAAAATGAGTTTTGTAAAGAAAGTCCCTGCGGTTGTTTGAAAATTGAGTTTTGTAAAGAAAGTTCTTGCAGTTTTTTGAAAAATGAGTTTTGTAAAGAAAGTTCTTGCAGTTTAAAAGCTCTTGTTTTTAGATATCCGAAAACTCTCAAACCCTCCAATTCATCAACATTTCACCACGCCATGCTGGTAAATACGTTTGTGAAGTTGTGAACGATGCTGGAGAGAATGAAGCCGTCTTCAATTTGGACGTTCTGACCCAACCTCACATTCAACAGCCGGCTGGCACAATGAGAAACAAGGCCGTGATCTTGCATGAACAACTACATCTTCATTGTGATGCTAATGGATTACCAAAGCCTGAGATTACATGGCTATTTGATGGTAGTATCATTCAAGGGAACAGCCTGTTGGTTCAGGATACGGTGGCCGAAATTGATGGTAAGTGGGGTTAAAGAAGGAGAAGGCGATGGTAGTAGGAGTACTAGAGGAGAAAGTGATGGTAACATTAGTAATGTAGACGAAGGGGATGGTGATAATGGTAGGGGTACTGTAGGTGAAGTTGTTGGTAGTAGGAGTACTGTAGGAGAAGTTGACGTTAATAGGATTACTATAGGGTAAGGGGATGGTAGTAGGGGTACTGTAGGCGAAAAAAAGTAGGTGTACATTTGAAGAAGGTGATGGTCGTAGAGGTACTGTACTTGAAGTTTGTGGCAGTTGGGGTACTGTAGGTAGAGGTGAAGGTAATGGTCGTAGGGGTACTGTAGTGCAAGGTGATGGTATCAGAATTACTGTAGTGAAATGTGATGGTAGTATGGGTACTGTAGGGGAAGGTGGTCGTATTAGGGGTACTGCATGGTAAGATGATAGTAGTAGAGGTACTGTAGGTGAAGGTTATGATAACAGAAGTACTGTAGGTTATATACCGTACTCAGTAAATAGCCTTTTGTTGTACTTTACATTACCTTACCCGACTTTAACTTATTTTATCTTGCTGTACTCTGCCTTATCTTATCCATAAATCAATTTCTGTTCCCTCACAATTTTTTTTGATTTGATTGTGAGGATACGGTAAAAACTATAAAATTTATTTTTTCAGAATCTCAATCTTCAGCCGAAGGCAGCCTACCTCAAGTCTCAGATGGCAACCTCCGAATTCAGAAGATAACCACAATGAACCAAGGTCGCTACACCTGTATCGCCCAAAACAAAGCCGGCCGAACAGAGGTGGACGTCTTCGTGGAGGTCATCGTACCACCAGTAATTGAGCTACAGTCTAAGCACATCAAGATCGTTCAAGGCAAAGACCTGACTATCAAAGCCAGGCTACTTCAAGGTACCGAGCCATTGGAAGTCAAATGGATCAAAGGCGAACTGGAGATGGCTACAATGTCGGAATCTAAGGATGGAGGCCTCTTCTACGTGGTGAAGATTCATGAAGTCAAGCCGAGTGATGAAGGCGTGTATACTGTAACTTTTGAGAACAAAGGAGGCTTGGTGAAGGAGAATGTCAAGGTGGAAGTGTTGAGTAGGTTTTGGAAAGAAAGTTATTGCGGATTTTAGTAAAAATGAAGGTTGGAAAGAAAATTATTGCGATTTTATTGAAAAAGAGGAGGGAGAGCTGGAAAGAAAGTTTTTGCGGATCTTTTTTTGAAAAAATTGTTTTGGAAACAAAGTTCTTGCGGTTTTTGGAAAAATATGTTTTGTAAAGAAAGTTCTTGCCATTTTTGCATTGGAAAGAAAGTTTTTGCCATTTTTTGTTCTGTAAAGAAAGTTCTTGCCATTATTGGTTTGTAAACAAAGTTCTTGCCATTTTCTGTTTTGTAACGAAAGTTTTTGCCATTTTTTATTATGGAAAGAAAGTCTTTGTTATTTTTTTTGTAAAGAAAGTTCTTGCCATTTTTTAATTAAATTCTTAATTTTTTCAGCCCAACCCCAAATAGCCTCAGGCGACCGAGTCTTCAAAGTCATCGAACTCTTCGACCTCAAGCTCTCATGTGATGCTGAAGGCTCACCAGCACCAACAATTAAATGGTACCAAAACGGAAAGCTACTGAACCAGACAGGTCAAGAACTCGAGCTGAAGTCGGTAACAACGTCGAATGGTGGTCGATACACTTGTGAAGCCTTGAATGATGCCGGATCGGCTAAAACAGACTTCATGGTGGAGGTGTTTGTGAAGCCGAAGATTCTGGAGTACGAGAAAGTCATCAAAGCCATTGATGGGAGTAGGGCCCGATTGGAATGCAAGTTCAGTGGGAATCCGGAACCTACTGTCAAGTAAGTGTTTGGGTATACGTATAGTAATGTTATTCAGGTTGAGATTAAATAAGGCAGGGTAAAGTAGGGGTAAAACAGTGTATCGTATGGTGTAGTAGGGTAGGAAGGGGTAAAGTAAGCTGGTTTAAGATAAACTAGGGTTTACAGTAGGTTAGGGTAAAGACGTGGTTTTAAGCCATTTTGAGACATTTTAAAAATGAAAGTTGAGCGGAAGATTTTCAGTGTAAAATACATTGCAAATCTTCCACTCAACTTCCACTTTTTTCTTTTTTACATTTTGGGTTTTGTAAGTCTAATTTAGGCTTTTCATGTCGTTTTTCGAAGTTTAAAAATTATTTTTTCTTTCAGATGGATGAGATCCGGCCGATTAATTGGTAACGCCCCGAACATTATCTTATCACCTCGAGGCGAGACCCTATTGATCCCCAAAACCAACAAAGCTGATGCTGGTGACTATTCATGTGTGGTATCGAACAAGGCAGGTCAAGCCGAAGCCACATTCGATGTCATCATCCAAACTGCGCCCCACATCGACGAGATTATCGACCAGAATCCTACAATAATCGAGAAGAACCGCGTCGTACTCGAGTGTCCAGTACTAGGCTTTCCTGAACCCAAAATTACCTGGAGGTACCTGGACAATGATATTAGTCCATCTGATGATAAGGTTTTCAAAATTGAAGGAGAAAATTTGCATATTCTGAATGCTACAGTAGCTCAAGCAGGACGGTACACATGTTATGCTGAGAATGAGATTGGAGAACTGGAGACCAATTATGAAGTGGAAGTTATTGGTAAGGGTTTGGAAAGAAAGGTATTGCGGTTTTTAGAAAAATGGGTTTTGTAAATAAAGTTATTGCGGTTTTTTATAAACTGGGATTTGGAAAGAAAGTTCTTGCGTTTTTATAAAAATAAGTTTTGTAAAGAAAGTTATTGAGCTTTTGTTAGACATAAGTCTATGTGACGTATTTTACATAAATTTTTCATTTTCAGCCGCCCCTCGTTTCGGAACGAACGGAAACAAAAGCTACACCGTGCTCGAAGGCAACGCAATTGACATTTCTTGTCCGGTTGAAGCCAACCCCACACCAACCATCGAATGGCTGCGAAATGGGAACAAAATCGATTTCACGTTAACGAAATTCCACGCTTCGCCAAATGCTAAGGTAATTTTTGGTAAATATTGGTTTTGGAAAGAAAGTTTTTGCGGTTTTTGGAAAAATGAGTTTTGTAAATAAAGTTATTGCGGTTTTTCAAAAAATGAGTTTTGTAAAGAAATTTCTTGCGGTTTTTAAATTTAAAAAATGTGTAAAGAAAGTTATTGCGTTTTTTTGGAAAAAATGAGTTGTATGATGAAAGTTTTAGCGATTTTTTGGTATTATTGTACAAAATGTCACCTGCAGCATGCAGGATTTTAATTTCGGTTTAAAAATAAGCTGATAAGTATTGTAAAGAAAGTTCCTGCATTTTTTTATAAAAAGGAATTTTGTTAAGAAAGTTCTTGCAGTTTTTCAAAAAAAAGTAAAGAAATATTTGAGGTTTTTGGCATCATCGTATAACGTGTCACCTGCAGCCTGCAGAAATTAATTTTGGTAAAAAATAGCAGAATATTTGTCTTGTAAAGAAAGTTTTTGCCCTAAAAGAAATGCGTTTACGGCCGACGTATTTACCTCAAATTTGTATACTTTTCAGAAGCTAAAACTACTGAATGCCACCCTCACGGACGGTGGAAAGTACGTCTGTCGTGCGACGAACGTGGCCGGCTCCAATGACATTGAAATGTCACTTCGAGTCATTATACCACCAAAAATAGACGAATCTAATGTTATACGGAACCCTCTGGCAGTGTTGGGACGCTCAATTTATCTGGAATGCCCGGCCACAGCCGTCCCTCAGCCCAGTATAATATGGCTGAAGGACGGTCGATTTATCGACTACTCGGAAACGATCAGTGATGAGAAGACCAAGAAGTACTCGCTACAACAGAACAATCAAACGTTCGGCATCCGAGAGGTGGAGCATGATGACCAAGGCAGCTATACCTGTTTGGTCGAGAATCAAGGCGGAACGGCCAGTGAGGACTTTGATGTGGATGTGCTGAGTAAGTTTTTTAAAAATTTTACAGTGTAGATGATGGTTGTTTTACGGTGTAGATAGTTGGTAGGGGAGGCCGTAAGATGGGAAATCGCTATTTATAATGTAGGGTATGGTAGTTACTGTAGGGTACGGTATGTGCTGTAGAGTACGACATAAACTGAAGAGTACAGTAGTTAATGATGAATCTGGTAGATATTGTACAGTACGGTAGGTAGCGTAGGGAAAGGTAGCTACTGTAGAGTACGGTAATTAATGTAGGTTACGGTAGGTATTGTGGAGTATGGTAGGTACGATGGGTAGTGTAGAATACGGTATACTATGCAGGGTAGGATAGGTTATATAGAGTACGGTAGTTTTCGAAGAGTATGGTAAGTACTTAATATTACGGTAGGTACTGTGAAATATTACAGTATAGAGAGGGAGGTACAATTGAGTAACGTAGAGTACGGGAGGTGATTTAAAGTACAATAGGATATTATAAAGTACCCTACCCTACTCTATTCTACCTTACTCTACGTTAGTTTATCCTACTCTATCCTACCCTACTCTACCCCAATCTACACTACCTTACAATACCCTACTTGGCTTTTATAAACTAAAACACACATTTTCAGTCCCACCAGTGATGGACAAAGAAGTAGCAACCACACCTCAAATGATAATAAAGCGAGAAAACGAATCAGTTGTGTTGACATGCCCAGTCAGAATTGGAATTGGAAAGAACGATGTCAATGACATTGTTATCAGTTGGACTCAAGATGGTCGAGATATTGACGTAGATTCTAGTAATTTTGAGGTATGCCATTTTTCAAAATTTTTAAATTTTAAATTGGTTTTGGAAATTTTAATCAGAATTTAAGCCGTACTTGAAAAATCGATAAATATTGTGGCATTTCGTCACATTGTGTCATTTTTTGAAGTTTCTTGCTTTTCAAGTTCAATTTGTACATTTTAAAATGTTGTTTACAATTTTAGAACACTTTTTTTATAGTTTAGAATAACATTAAGAAAATTTGGCGAAATGTCACAAAAGTTATTGGAAAACGTAAAAATGTAGCGAAATGTAACAAATTTTATTGGGAAACAGAAAATATAAAAAAATTTTTAATTGGCATAACAAAAGCTTTTTATTTTACGAAGAATATTGAAATTTAACGAAGTGTCACAAAATTTATTGGAAAATGAAAAGTGCGGCGAAATGTCACAAAATATATTAGCAAATTAAGAGTCCAAAAAATGACATGGTTCAGCCAAATTTTAGAGAATTTCAAAAAATTCTAATTTTTTAACTCCCCTGAGATTAAAATTTTCGAATTTTAGGTATCATCCAACGGTAAACGTCTAAAAATCAAGTCCATTAAGGTAGCGGACAGTGGTCATTACAAATGTGTAGCCTCGAACAGAGCCGGCCAATCCCATGCCAAGTTCCACCTGGACGTTCTATGTACGCATTTGAAAACGGAATACTGTAGACAACTAGAGTTTAACCATATTAACAAGCAAAGACGGTCGTTCGAACGTCGACGTCATGAACAGAGAAAACATTTCGGTTTCCATACTAACCCTTTTCCTAACCATCTAACACATGTGATGAGTGATAGTGAAGATACGATGGGTTATGGAGGCAGGACGGGTTATGATGAAGGTAGGATGGATCGTGATGAAGGTAGGATGGGTCAACAGGATGATACAATGAGTAACGATGAAGGAACAACAAGTTATGTAAGTCAAAACGGCTTCACAAGCCATCAAAACGACTTTAAACTCGACCTTGGCCTAAAATCTACCAAAAATACTCCAAAATCCTACAAAAACAAGCCGAAACACCGTCATGATGACGTCACAACTCGTCATGATGGTGCAACAAATATTCACAATGATCTTCTCAACACTTTCTACAAAAATCCTTCTGATCCAATAACATTCGACAAAGATATGGCAATTCTTTCACGACCAACCCACCTACCTCAATATACCCAAAACAACCTGAAAAACCCACGCCCTTTCTATAATGACAAACTTTATCAACATAACATAAGAAGAAAAGACTCGTTATCAAAAGTGCATCATTTTGAGTTTAATCGACTGGTCGAACGACAAACGGTTCATCCGTTAGCGTTAGAGAACCCTACCTTACCATTACACAAAGCCTATAACAACTATCAGTCTAACGATCTTAACCACCTCTCCCATTTCACACATCTAAAACATTTGAAACCCAAATTTAAAGTTGACGCTAGGTTTACTACGTATGATACTAGGAGAAGTCCGGTAAAGAGTTTTGAGGTTGGGGACAGGGGTAGTGGGAGTATAGATCTTAAGGATGATTTGCAGGAGGTGACTGGGTTTGAGGGCAATTTTCAGGAGGTACAGAATGGTAATGTAGGTGATGTTGGTAACGATAGAAAGCCAAAAGACCGTAGAATAACGTACAGTAATGGATTTGAAGATAGGGATACATTTTCATACACTTCTGATCAAAAAAGTAATGGCAGCCCGCCAGGTTTTAATCAAAAATCCGAAAATTTTGCTGAATTCAAAGCCAAAGAAGGCCAAATTTCAAGAGATTGGTTAGATAACAAACATAAAACCGTACTCAATTACTTTCAGAATAAGGTTAAGAAGCTGAAAAATATAAAACAAGATCGAAATTTAGACACTAACAGTAAAGAAACAGAAAAATTCAAGCCAAACTTTGATAGAAATTCCGAAAAAAGCACTTTCGACAAGTATAATGCTATTTTAAATAGTGACAACGCTGATGAATTTCAAATTTATGAAAAAGATTTAAAGCCGGAAATTGTGTCGATAAAAGACAAGCCTAGAAAAGATCAGCTTTTTAGAGAAACGCAATTAGGGGAGCTAAATTTAAGTAACATTGGTAATGGAAAATACCATTTACTGAATAAAATTCAGGCCAAAATTGATGGTAGCAACTATAATATGAATTGAAAGGAAAAATGTTTATTTTTATGCCCGAGGGTGAAAGATAAAAAAATTTTGATCTAAGGTATTATCTGTACAGTATACACTCATTTTTTAAATTTTTATTTTTTCTAACCCCCCCCTTAGAGACGTACCTGAGTTTACTGAAGTTATTATCAGTACCAGATCATAAGAGCTATTTTTGTAATTTTAGTGTTTTTTTCAAACTCATCATACTCATATCAATTTCAGAAATCACACCATATCAACCTCATTACACTGTGATGTCTTGTGAATGTCTTTCAGTTTTTTTAATTAATTTAATTTATCTAAAACTAATGTTATTGATTGTTTGCTTGTTTACCGGGTGCCTTTTATGCTAATATAATTTCTGTGTTTACTGTCCGTTTGTTGTATACTTTGTTGTTTCTATTCTTTCAGGTTCTTTTTCAGTTTTTAAAAATGTTTTTTTTGCTGTTTAAACTAAACTTAAATAAACTAAACTAACAAGTTAATTGTACCTAATATATAAGTGAAATTTGTCGCACTTTTGGCATTTTCATTAACTTAACCTAAAAACAAAACAATTTTAAAATTGTAAAATACGTCTGCAAAATGAGCCATTTTTAGCTATACACATAACTCAAGTACAAAGTACTTGCCATATAAAGAACTAGTATAGACCAATACATTTACAAAACTACCCATCACACATACAAAACAAAATATTTTTAGCTCAACCAGTGATAGTTGAAGAAAAAATTAACATAGTACCTACAGTCCCAATTGGCAAAAGCACTATCTTGTGGTGTCCTGCTTCAGGCCACCCTCCACCCACTGTTACCTGGTTTAAAGGCAACGGAGAAAAGGTGGTGGAAGTTCCAGGAAAAATACGCCTTTTGGACCGTGGCCAAGGGTTGGAGCTAATCCAGGCCGGCCTTGAAGACATTGGGTCATGGACGTGTCATGCCGAAAACGATGCGGGTATTACTGAGAAGGTCATTACACTCAATGTTTACGGTAAGATAGCGATTTATTTTACATGAAATATCATGGTGAACATTGAGGAAAAACAACAAATTCAACTGTTTTGACTTTAAAAATATTAATTTTTCTGCTCCGAAAGTTAATGAATTTTGGAGAAAAGGGCTTATGTTATAGTAGAGTTGTTAGGACGTACATAAAGTTTTGTCAACTTCTGGGCCATGCTTCTTCAATCCAAATATTTTCTTTTTAGGTAACAATCATAGCTTTTCCGAGTAATTTATTTCGCATCTTTAAGATAAGAACGTATCATGGAGGTACTTTCAAAGATTTGTTTCAACAATCCATTTATAGACCTAAAACAATATTATATTACACTAGATTCCTTTTGTAAACCGAATTACACTAAAAACGAATCGAAAGTTAAACTCGAAATACACGGAAAAAAATCGAAAAACTTAAATAAATATACCTAACGATATGTTAAAATACCCTTAAAACCACAAATAAATGTAAAAACTTTCAGTTGAGCCAAAAGTTGAAGTCCGAGCTCAAGATGAGGCCGTAAAACCGGTTGGATCAGCTGTAACCTTATTCTGTAATGCTACTGGAAACCCAAAACCGGCTTTGTCATGGCAAATTGCCGGCAACTTGCTCATACCGTCAGCCAACACTGCTCAAGTGTCTTTGTCCGTGAGGTTTTTACAAATTGTTTTCCAGAAAGAAATCAAAAATAATAAGAGAGACACTTGACACAAAAGCCTGTTCTGGGTCAAGTTTTTCTTTATTTATCGTTTTTTTGGGTTTTGATAATGTTATTGATAAAGTAAAGGGTTTTAGAGTAAAACGAATGAAGTAAAGATTTAAATAGGGTTCATAAATTGTGAAAGAAATTATCTTGTACTAAATTTTGGCATTTTAAGGGCACTCGGCTGGATATTGTGAACCTGCAGGCCGATAACGCTGGAAGATACGAATGTGTAGCAAGAAATGAGATTGGATCAGCTCTATCTGCCATCAATGTTGACATTCTGGGTTTGTACTTTATTTTTTTGCAGATTGATTTTTAAAACTGAAGAAAAAGCTGGCATGTCGTATTTTACAAAAGAAAGCATAAAAAACGGCCAAAAATGGCTCAGAATCCCAGGGTTTAGGTAACAAAAACTTTTTTTAATTACAAAAACGTATTTTTAGTGACGCCAGAGATAAACCGAGAGAATCTGGATGTGAATCGTCGATTAGTAACCGGTCGATCAGTAACCTTGTATTGTGAAGCCACTGGCAAGCCCACGCCCAAAATTCAATGGTTCTTGAATGGAACATTGATCACAGAACAAACCACGACAAATATTGTGTTTGGCACTGATAACAAGTTCATTCAGGTAAGGTTGTTTTAAACTTCTATTTCAAAGAAAATTTGGTAAAGTAGGACAGGCATATTGATGTTAACATAGGTATACCAAGGTTAATATTTTGGTAATATAGGTAAACTACGACTTCTATATCTACTCCATTTTTTTCTTGTAGATACTAATTTTTTCGATTTATTTAATGAAATCAAATTCCAGATTTCAAACGCCACGTTAACAGACAAAGGTGTCTATGAATGTGAAGCCGAGAATGGAGCAGGCAAAGACAAATTACAGTATGTGGTTACTGTAGATTGTAAGTTTACAATGTCTTTTTTTACATATGAAACTTAATTTCTTTTACTATTTTACATTACCTTTGATACTTTAAACTTTTAAGGCGAAAAGCCACAAAAATTATAGATTTTGACGGAATGTCACAAATTTTATTGATTTTTGGTAAAATACGTTGTTACAATGTGCGATTGCTTTTACTTGTTTTTAGAAGTTTTTGTTATTACTTTTTAAAACTTTTTTCATTGTAACAAAATGTAAAAGAAAATATTGATTTTGACGAAATGCCAGAGAATTTATTGATTTTCAAAAAGCGGAAATTTATGTTTATTTGCTTATTTTTACTGTAGTTAGTGTTGTATTTGTACATTTTGTACACTTACATGAAGAAATGTCACAAAAATTATTGATTTTGACGGTGTCACAAATTTATTGATTTTTTTTAAATATTCAAAACGGTAATTTTAGGTATATTTTTATGTTTACAATTGAAAAAATCTTAATTTAGTAACCCCATCAATACTAAACAGTGGCACAAACAAGGTGGTCGAAGGTAATGTAGCCGTAATGGAATGTAAAGCAACGGGAGAGCCAAAACCAAAGATAACCTGGCAAAGGAATGGCATTCGAGTCGAAACTGGCGCCAGATATATGGTTGAAGAGCAGGTTTTGAAGATTATCGACACTCACAACTCGGACAGCGGAATCTACGTTTGTGTAGCCACAAATGAAGCCGGCACTGATCAACAGGCTTTCACTTTGGAGGTTTTGGGTAGGATTTTTGGCAAGAACTTTCTTTACAAAACGAAAAATGGCAAGAACTTTCTTTACAACACATAAAATTGCAAAAACTTTCTTTACAACACAAAAATGGCAAAAACGTTGTTTACAAAGTAAAAATGGCAAGAACTTTCTTTACAAAACAGAAAATGGCAAGAACTTTCTTTACAAAACAAAAATGGCAAGAACTTTCTTTACGGAGTATAAAATGGCAAGAACTTTCTTTACAAGCCATAAAATGGCAAGGACTTTCTTTACAAAACACAAAGTGACAAAAACTTTCTTTACAAGACAAAAATGGCAAAAACATTCTTACAACCTCTAAACTTAAATTTCATGTTACAGTATCCCCAGAAATCATCAAAAAGTCACCAAACGAGACGGTAGTAGCCGTAGGCGGCGAGATCTCTTTGATCTGTGAATCATCCGCCTACCCATTGGCCAACACTTCATGGTACTACATGGACGAGCCAATCGAAGAAGCCGGCATCAACTACACCGTCAAAGGAAATGGCAATCTGATAGTAAAAGGTCTACAAGAGAAAGGCGACCTGGACTTTAAGTGTGTCGTCTGGAATGAAGCCGGTGAAGCCAGCTCTTTGTATGTTGTGAAAGCCATTAGTGCACCAACTACGATAGGACCAAACCAGCTGAGACAGATCAATAGTAGCCAAGGAGAACCGACCATTTTGACGTGTGAAATTGAGATCGAGTACGAGAAAAGCGAGGTTTTGTGGAAGAAGAATGGAGAAGTTTTGAAACTTGGCGGGGTAGGTGTTTGGCCGAAATGTCAAAAGTTTAATTCTATTATTACGAAATGTCACAAAAATTATTGATTTTTGGAACTCACGTTTTTTGAGTTTAGTAACATTTTTAGAACATAGGAAAATGTTTTTTATGTTGCTTTTAATGTTTTGGCGAATTTGACGAAACGTCACAAAAATTATTGATTTTTGGAACTCACGTTTTTTCAGTTTAGTAACATTTTCAGGGCATAGGGAAACGTTTTCACGTTGCTTCTAATGTTTTGGCTACTTTGACGAAATGTCACAAAAATTATTGATTTTGTAATTTTGCTTTTTTTGGCGTTTATGACATCCTGGAATTATGCAAATATCATATTATGAATTCAGTTTTTTTTTGTTTTTTCACAGAATGTCACAAGACGTATTGATTTTTATTACTTTTTGACGAAATTTCACAAAAATTATTGATTTTTTTTAAATCAAGAATTTGGTCTTTTTTGGAGGGTTAATGACATAACTGTATTTAAAAAGTGCTAAATTTTTGGATTTACAGGAAATAACCGCATCAGTAAACAACAAAAAAGGTCAGCTTCAATTCTCAGACACCGAACTGAAGGACGAAGGTAAATACGAATGTACCGTCGCCAATACGGTCGGAAACGCTACGCAAAAGACACATCTTTATGTGGGAGGTAGGGGTATATGATGTCTACTGTGGTTATGTTGACCCAAAAAACGATACTTTTGATACGATACTTTTGGTTCAAGCAAATATTAGATGTCGACATAAAGAACTCGCCATAGTTTGCCTGTAATTTCATGTAAAAAATGGCGGGTTCTTTATGTCGGCACCTAAAATAACAGGAAAAATTTGATTTTTTAAAATTTTTTAGTTTTTTGGGTTGAATTTAAAATTTTTTTGGTAAAATACGGATACCGCCCAATTGTTATCTAAAATATTCAAAAAGTAATTTTTAATTCTTTTCAGTACCGCCAAAGATCAATGAGAAGCCGATGAAAGTGATAGTGAAGAAGGGCGAGAGGGCCAAGATCTGGTGTGAAACGGTTGGAATTCCGCCTCCAGAGATTAAATGGCACAAAGACAATGTGACAATCACAAAAGAGCATTTGGCAACGGATGAGGATGACATTTTGAGGCTGGCCATCATCTATGACAATGTTCAGCCGAGCGATGCTGGCATTTACAGTTGTAACGCCAAGAATTGGGCTGGTCACGCTGAAAAGGACGTTGATTTGGTGGTTTTGAGTTAGTTTTGAATTTTTTTTAAAAATTAAAAATTTGAAAAAAATTTTAAATCAAAAAAAAGAAATTTAAAATTTTTAAAATTTCGAAAAATTTTTTTTTTGAAAATTTTTAAATTTTAAAAATACCATTTTAGCGCCCCCAATAATCCTGCCACATCAATTTGACGTCAATGCCTCTCTTGGAGATACGATCATTTTACCATGTAACGCCAGTGGAAACCCAGAACCGGTGATTTCCTGGATGAAGGTACCCAACATGACACTGATTGGCAAGGAGGACAGTAAGCTTATTTTTACTTTATTCTAAGTCACTTACTGTGTCTTAGGGCTTAGCGTACTTTAGACTTTACTGTAGCTTAGGTTCTTTATTGTACTATAAGCGTGGTATCTTACTGTATTGCAACCTACTGTATCCTAGATCTTACTGTACTGTAACCTACTGTATCTTATGTTACGTATTGTATCATAGGCTTTTTGTGGGTTTCAAGGCTCTCTAATGTACCTTAGGCTCCCTACCGTATCCAGGGCTCTGTACCGTACCCTAGGCTCCCTACCGTACCCTAGGCTTTCTACCGTACCCTAGGCTTTCTACCGTACCCTAGGCTTCCTACCGTATCCTAGGCTTCTTACCGTATCCTAGGCTTCTTACCGTATCTGAGGCCCTACTGTACTTTTGCTCTACTGTACCCTAGGCCCTACTGTACTCCAGGTTCTAATGTACCCTAGACCCTACGGTACCCTAGGCTTTAATGTTCCATAGACCCTACTGTATTTTATACTCTACTTTAATGTAAGCCCTACTGCAATGTAGACCCTACTGTAATGTAGGGCCTACTGTACCCTAGGCCCTGCTGTACTCTAGGCCGTACTGTACCCTAGGTCTTGCTGTACAATAGGCCCTACTGTATGTATCCTAAAATCTTACTTTAATGTAGACTCTACTGTTCTCTAGGCCTTACTTTACATTAGGTCCTACCATACTCCAGGCTTTACTTAACTCTACAGTAACCTCAAGTATTGTTATTTTACACTTTTTAGAGTACAAAAACCTGGGTACCTCGCTAGCCATTCAAGGTGTGACAATCGATGACGATGACTTTTACCAATGTATCGCTCGTTCCGACGCCGGCACAGCGACAGGAATACGTCGGGTCACGGTAAACAACATTCATCTCAAGGGACCACCTCGAGTTTGGGTCGAGTGTGACAAGGATGGTCACCCCACCGCCAATGCCTACGTACCACCCAGAGGCGACGTGCCAACCGACATTGACCCTCAGGACATTGAGTATCTACCATGGGAGGAGCGACATCTATATGACAATAAGAATGGCAGTAACGTCATCTACTTCAAGTGTTTCCCCACCTCACGTGACCCACGCCACCTCAGCACGGTACCAGTCGCACCACAGTTTTTGGAAGTACCACCAAAGATGGTACAGATCGAGAAGGGTACCAGTTTGAAGCTGAAGTGTAGTGCTGCTGGTATACCATCACCGATTGTCATTTGGAGTGTGAATGGGAAGGTAATGGACACCACCATGGAGATGTTACACTTGGAGGGGGATGAGGTTGAAGAAGGACGATATGTTTGTACGGCCAGGAATGAAGTTGGCGAGGAGCAGGTAGGGTGATTTTTTAATGATTTTTTTTCTTAGGGGGGGGGTTGGGGGTGGGGGTGATTTTAAAAGATTTTTTCTTGTTAGGGGAGAGGGTAGGGGTAGGTTTAAGTATTTGTGGTAAGGTCGTGGGGTAGGGTAGAAATGGTTAGTCGAGAATGACTTGCTAAGCGGCGGGTAAGGGAGATTTTAAAGGTACTTTTGCTAAGGGATAGGGCAGGGGTAGTTTTAGAATGATTTTTTTTGTTAGTGTGGGTGTGGGGGTTAGGGTGGGGTGCTTTTCAAAAATTTTGTATTGTAAGGATCAGGATAGGGGTGTTTTTTAATGAGTTATGGGGTAAGGGTAATTGGGATTTTTGGTAAGGAATTGGGTAGGGGTGATTTAAAAAAATTTTTCTGTAAGAAGGAGGGGCTAGGGTAGGGGTGGTTGGATGATAGTTTTAGGTGAGACTGAGGGGTAGGGTAGGTTAGGGTAGGGAAGAATAGAGTAGGATAATGTAGGGTAGCGTAGAGTACAGTAGGGTAGGGTAGGGTATGGTAATGCAGGGTAGGGTACGGTAGGGTAGAGTAGGGTACTACCAAATCTAATTGCCAGTTGAAATTTTAAAAAATTTTAAAAAGTATTTTAAAAACCTCACTTCTAGGCCATAACCAAAGTAGAATTTAAAAAACAACAATCTCAAATCCGTCGAGCACCAAAAAAAGAACCACTAGTACCAGTAACAATACTAGACTGCAAAACCCCCTCCCCCGACGCGGTCTGGTACTTTGACGGCGAACGAATAGAACCACTCGTACCAAACGACCAAATGCATGTGATGCCAAATGGCAGCCTGGTCCTGAACTATTTCGTCGAAAAATCCGAAATTCAAAAGTTTTTGTGCGAAGTTACAGTAAGCGGCAAGGACAAAAAGTATCGACCGAAGAAACCGACCAACCTGGAACTGCCCGAAGTCGCACCAGTCGTCAAAATACCACAGAATGACAGAATAATCGGAGAAAAAGGCAGTAATGTTGTTCTGGATTGTGAACTGATCAAAGGCACCTTGTTATTGACCCGGATCAGATGGACCAAAGATAATGTCAACTTGGAAATCGATGGAAACAAGTTTGTTTTTGCGGTAAGTTTGTCTTTTTTATATTTTTAATGATAGTATATGTTTTATTACGCTTATAGGAACCTAAAAAATTGGGTTTGAGGGGTGGTTTTGAACGTTTTTGAGATTTTGACGAAATGTCACAAAAATTATTGGTTTTTATTTTTTGTGTTTTTTTAGTTCTAATGACAGTATAAGGTCTAAAAATGGGTCTGGAGTCCATTTTTTACTTTTTTGAATTTTTGACGAAATGTCACAAAAAATATTGATTTTTTTAAAATGGGTTTTTTATGTTTAGGATGATAAGGAAACGTGTATAAAAGCACTTTTGCAGGTTTATAGGTCAATTTGTTAAAATTTAAAAATTGTGAAGAAATGTCACAAATATTATTGGTTTTTAAAGCGATGATTTATAGTTGTTAAAATACGTCTTGCGTGGTTTTTGGGAAAGTTTACAGTTACAGTTTATTTACTAGCTCAAAAATAATTTTTACTTTTTATCTGTGTTGTTTCAGAGCAACAACTCATTGATAATCAACGACCTGACTGAGGCTGACCGAGGATCATATAAATGTAGGGCTTGGAATCGAAGAGGAAAGTCGTACGATGAAGCTGGAGTTATTATTGGCAGTACGTTTTTTTCATACACTACCCCTACCCCTACCCCTACTCCTACCCCTACCCCTACCCCTACCCCTACCCCTACCCCTACCCCTACCCCTACCCCTACCCCTACCCCTACCCCTACCCCTACCCCTACCCCTACCCCTACCCCTACCCCTACCCCTACCCCTACCCCTACCCCTACCCCTACCCCTATCCCTACCCCTACCCCTACCCTTACCCCTACTCCTACTCCTATTCCTTACTGTTACTTATCGTATGATTTACTATATACTACTTGCTTTTCAGACCTCCCAGGTATAATAGAAGCCAGAATTCACGGTAAAATCAACGGTCGCAGAATCGAACCAACCAACATTGTCTTCGCTCGCCCAGAAGCTAACGTCAACTCCAACGACCTACTAGTACATCTAGACAACCTTCCAGACCCATTAGGACCAAACAGTACCAAAGTTAAAAATCAACTAGTCGGCTTAATGGCTACACCCTCGCTACAACTCGGCTACGATGCAGACAAAATGCCTTCTGATTTGGACCCACTAATGGTACCATTCGAGAAGAGTACCAACTACAAATTCAAATCAGGCCAAGAAATGATTGTAAAACAGAAAAGTATGGGTAGTAACAATGGTACCATGAAAATGGACGTGGAGTTCAATGGAGATCTACCTGATTTTGATGACGAAAATGCGAAAGTTCAGCCAATGGAAGAGAAGTTGGTCGCTGATCAACCTGACAAATTGAAAGGACATGGAAGCTCGAGTGTTAAGTTTGGTCCTAATGGGGAGGTACTATTTACGTAAGTTTTAAGATTAAAATCATTTAAAAACGCATTTAAATTAGACTAAAAAGGCCGTTTTTTAATGAAAAAACACTATTTCTGGCGAAAAATTGCTAAAAATAATGCATAATTCTGTCAAATGGTCTTAAAAAATGCTAAAAAGGTTGTAAAAAGTACAAAAAGGACGCTCAGAAGCTTAAAAATTAAAAATTCGATTATTTGAAATCCTGAAAACCCTAAAAAGTTGACTCGACCACGGCAGGATTCGAACCTACAATCTTCGGTTCCGTAGACCGACGCGTTATCCATTGCGCCACGCGGCCACGTTTCGGCTTTCTCTTGTTTTCTTTCTGTTTCTTTTTGAAACTGGAAGGAAAGGGGAATAGAGGGGAAAAATTGATAAAAATGAGAAAAAGGGGGGGGGCTATTAATTAAAAAAAAATTATTTAGGAATAAAATAGCTTTTTATTGTCACAACAAGGACTTTCATAAAGTAGAAAGTGCATATCTTTTAAAATTATTTTGTTTAAAAATCGCAAGAACTTTCTTTACAAAACTCATTTTGTGAAAACCGCAAAAACTTTCTTTACAAAACACATTTTTCAAAAAACCGCAAAAACTTTCTTTACAAAACACATTTTTCAAAAAACCGCAAAAACTTTCTTTACAAAACTCTCATTTCTTAGAAAAATGCAATGACTTTCTTTACAAAACCTATGTTTCAAAAAAAACGCAAGAGCTTTCTTTACAAAACGTATTTCTTAAAAAACCGCAATAACTTTCTTTATAAAATATTTTTTAGATTCACCGATGAAATAGACTTAAAGCTCAACCCAGATGAAGAAGTTCTTCGACCAGACATGACAATGCTCTTGACAACATCAGTTGATGACAAAGCCAATAAGAATCCTTTGGAACTTGGCCTCAAGGTGAACACGAATCGATTTGGCGATTGTCCAGATGGCTATGTTCGTATCAAAGACTACTGTAAGGACATTGACGAATGTGCCTTGGATAAGAACGTCTGCTCCGGTCGGTCGGAATGTCACAATACATATGGCAGCTTCGAATGTCACCTCGAATGTCAGGCCGGCTTCATGGCTAATGAGTATGGTGAATGTGAAGATGTCAATGAATGTAAATTGGGAATGTTTGATTGTGAATTGGGTACGGAGTGCAGAAACTCGAATGGAAGCTACGATTGTGTTGAAGCATGCCCTGAAGGGTATTATATGGAGGACAGTGGAGATTGTGTTGGTGAGTTTTGTAGTGGTTTTATGGAGGAGAGGAGGAGGCTTGAGAGTTTGAAAAGGTAGGGTAGCAGAAAAAAATTTATTGGGCATATGTTTTTAATAGGGCAGGGTAATCTAATGGTCGATTTTTGTTTTTTTTTGTCAATTAGACAACTGTAGTGATAGTAGGATAGGTTACCATACCGGAAGGCAAAATAGACCGTACGGCAATGAAGTGTAAAGTAAGGTAAGGTAAGATAAGGTAAGGTAATGTAAGGTAGAGTAGGGTACGGTAGTGTAGGGTACGGTAGGGTTGGGTATGGTAGGATAGCGTAAGGTGTTTAATTTTAATAAACTAAGTAATAATGTAACTTTTAAGACTTATTTAGAAACCAATACTTTCAGACCAAGACGAATGCCTCGCCTCACCATGCCCATCACAAATGGAGTGCATCAACCTAGGCGGCAGTTATCAATGTATATGCCCGCTAGGACTAGCTCAAGTCGTAAATGGTACCAAATGTGAAGGTCTAATAGGTGAACCACTACAAGCAATGACATTTGAAACCAGTCCAGACACTTTTGAGTGTCCTGAAGGTTTGGAATGGACTGGCACAGCTTGTGCTGACATTGACGAATGTGCTTTTGACGCACCGTGCCAACACAAATGCGCTAATCGTGCCGGAGGATATGAGTGCTCTTGTCCTGAAGGATATGTGCTGGACGAGTTTGGGCAGTGCTTGGGTAAGGATTAGGGAGGGGGTGGGGTAGTTTTATTTTGGGGTGTGGTGTTTTTTTGTTTTAGGGGGTGTTTTTTTTAAATGAAAAAAAAGTAATTTTTTAGCCTAAAAACTTGATTTTTAGGTATTAAAACATGTTCTACGGACTTTTTGATCGCCTAAAAATAGATTTTGTTATTTTTTGTTTAAAATTCTTGACTTTCAGACGTAAATGAATGTGAACTGGAAGGAGTGTGTGGAGCCGGAGAGCTTTGTTTCAATCAGCTTGGCGACTACTCTTGTATCGTCAACGCATGCCCACCCGATTATCGACTGAGGATCGAAAGTCATGACATGTAAGTGGTTTTAAACACATCTTTGCTGAGTAGAATAAGTAGGGCAGGGTCAGGTGGAACATATTTTTATATATGTAGTGAGAGACTTCTTATTAGAGAGAATCTTTATTGCTGGTAGGGCAATGAAAGGCATGGTAATGTAGAACACCGGGCTTACGTTGAAAAGCCCGGGTAAAAAGCTGAAATATGCTCTTTGATTTAAATTTTTTAAATTTACTTATTAGTCGCAAAAACGATGTATATGGATGGGGGTGTAAAATTTAAAAAATGCGCTTAAATTATGATTTACAACAATGCAACAATAAGACATTCTGATCTGTAATACAACAGTGAAATTAACAAAAAAAAAGCTTTAACAAAGCGACAGATAAAAGAAATACGTGCAATATTACTAAAAAGTTAGAGACCACAATTTTACTATTCGAAACTCACTAGCACTGGTTCAGTATTCAATCCTGACTGTTTAAACACAATATAAGAACAAAACACGCAAGTCGCTCTTATTTTAAGAAAATTGTCATTATATAGTAGTACTTGAACAATAATACAATAAATCTAAAAATCTCCTTTTCAGAGCAACTTGCCTCCCCCTATGCAAGAACTGCACCACTCCCATAATCCACATTTACCTATTCCCTCTACCTCAAGGCCTTCCGAAAGGCACACCACTGGCTCGTTTAGCCGCTCACGATACGAAAGGCAAAATCCTCAAAAACACAACCTTCCACGAGATTCGTGACATCAACCAACCAGTACCTGAACGTCAAGCCGTTGATGTGAAGGTAAAAGATGGTCGAGCAACATTATTGTTGAACGATCGTCTCGCTGGAGGCAGTAAACAACGATTGAACTTGAGGTCGTCGAGTATATCGACCGATGGATCTTATAAATATGCCAGCAATTTCTATATATTTACCGCCATCTCGAAATATCCATTTTAGAAAAGTTGTAATTGTGTTGTGTTATACGTAGTGTACCTGATCTTGTACCATACATAGTTAATGAGATGTCTATATAGTTAATAATTCACGGTCAAAGTAACACTGAGTAACAGTGTTAAAAAGGAGTAAGAGAGTATAAGGAAGTGTAAATAGCTTTACACTGCTTTCTAATACACAACGGTCTACATAGTTTTGTTTGTAGTTTTCATTAGTGTTGTACTTACATATTGATTTGTATTTTTGGTCAACCATACATATTTTTGTAGTTTAACGTTAATATAATAAACACATTAATATAAGCCTAGTTCTGGAGTATGAGAATCACTTGGTTCTTTCATTAACTTCCTGAGCTAAAATATCGTTCCATGAAAAACGAGCTTTAATTAAATTGAAGAAGTTACCGTCACTCGCAGAGTTTTGCCTTTTAGGTCCGGTCCGAATGGTCCGGATTTTTTGAATTTATTTTTTCCCGCCAAACTCATACAGTACTCTCTCAATATATATAAGCAACCCGAATGAACCGACATTTTGTGTTTACTATAAAGAGTGTTGTCTTTACAGAGAGGCTTTTTAGTGCCAAATGACTTGGCGGTGCCAAATTTCTTGTTTACTATAAGGAGAGTTGCTTATACAGATGGTTTACTATATAGAGAGACAACTGTATCTTGAAAACTATGATAGATATCAAAAATCTAACAGCATTTAGAAGGGTCAGCACTATTCCAAATTGGGGGTAGAAAAAGTTTCAAACCGATCCGACCGGTAGAAAAAAAGCGCGGGAAAACAAAATTCGAATTCCGGACTCTCGCATTGGGTCCGGTCCGGGGAGAACTCTGAAAATGTTGGTTCTTCTGGACATTGAGATTAAAAATATGTCCGGCCAATGCGTTCGAAAGATTTTAGTTTTCTCTTTATGTTTTTTGAACAACCAAGTAGCTGAATTATGGTAGTTTATTGTACAAACACGTTTATATTGTAACCAAGTCTAAAAATGACCAGAAAGGTTAACGACTAATTATTTACTTTGTTTTCGTTTCATCGTCGACCAGAAAAGTGCGAGTTCATGTGCTCAGCAACGGTTTGAACTTGTTTCGCGTTGAAACGACGATGTGGATCAGTGCAGATGCAGTTTTCAATCAGCATTTGTAACTGTAAAATACGAAGTGGTATGATATTGGTGTTAAATTTAAAAAAAAGTTTTTCTAAAAATGGTCTAATTTTTTATTAACAAGGAAGGTACCCGACCTGCAACGCTCTGAATGACTTCAAACTTTTTATATAGAAAAATCATGTAAATATAAAGTCTTCGGCAAAGCACTAAATCGGGCTTTTCAGGAAATTCCGAGAAAATTGATATCAAAAAATGACGTTTTGAATTTCCCGCCAAGTTAGCATTAGTGTTTCAAGCTTATAACTCTGTCATTTTTTGACTTTTAGGAGTTTTTCTTTGATATGCTAGTAGAATACCTTTAAATCAATCTACATTTTTAAATTTGTAAGCGTTGCTTGCTTGGAAAGTCAAAAAAGTGCTTGAAGCACTATGCCAAATTTGCCAAATTGGCGGGAAACCAAAATAATTCAAATTTAAAACTCAAAAGCGCGAGCTAAAATTTTTTATAGGTACTATTGGTGGTACAAGGAATTCATATAAAAATTTGGAGCTGATTCTGAGCGGGGCAGGTAGTGTACTTTCCTTGTAAGTTTTGCTAACGGTGACATAAGATAAAATGGCAAAAAATATTATATAAAGAGTAAAATACGAAGGGCTTTGTCTCAAATTTTAACGTTTTAAAATTATGATTTTGTGAGAAGACACTTACTTGTTTAGAGTACAAATTTGAAGGTATTGGAGGGTAATCGCATCTTTCAATTTTTCGTACCAACGCGTATAAATTGGTTTTTTCGGCATAAAATGGTGATTGTAGGGCTGCCATCTATAAAGAATTTTTGGGTTTTTTAAAATTTTTGAAGAATTTTGTTTTTTGATCTTATAAACTACAAAAAATGGGAATTTATCAGTAAAATTTACCTCATACAATAAACAACCCAAACTCCAAATGTCAGACTTAAAGTTGTAGCCTTGTTCTACCATACGTTCTGGTGACCTAAAATGTTATTGTAAAGCAAGCATTTGTATAAATATACTAGAATAAAAGTAAATGATAAGAAGGATTGGATAAAGGGACTAATTGGGTAGGGCCAGAGTTCTTCCCGGACCGGAATTTGAATTTTGTTTTTCCGCGCTTTTTTTTACCGGTCTGATCGGTCTGAAACTTTTTCTACCCCCCTATTTGGAATGGTTCTGACCCTTCTAGATGCTGTTAGTTTTTTGATATCTATCATAGTTTTCGAGATATGAGTTTGGCGGGAAAAATAAATTCAAAAATTTGGACCGTCCGGACCGGACTCAAAAAGCAAAACTCTGGGTAGGGCAGGCTAAGGTATGGTAAAGTGGGTCGGCTATAATAGGGAAGGGTAGGGTAGGCAGGTTTTGAATAAGCCGGGCATTGATTATTTTCCGTGCTTTCCTGTGTAACCGGACATACAATGCTCGGTACCCTACCCTAGACAAAGCGTCACGCAATCTTTTTGCCCTACGTTAGGGCACGGGGCTCTCTGCGATGTGTCCAGTCCTGGTGATAAGGCAAACTTACGATAAGTAGATATGACTGGTAAAGAAAGCTTACATGTAATAAGGAGTACCAACAAAAGAATGCGCTTGATTGGTTTGCATACTAAAGAAACGGCCCAGTCCGAGGTCGCCCAGTTTTGCCACTCCTCTTGTTGTGATGAAAACGTTCGCTGGTTTGATGTCTTAAAATACGATAATAAATGAGATTCAAGTAAGCTACAATTAACACAAAACAATTTTTTAATCAAGTTAGATTAGGTTGTTCAAATTTTTATGTGCTCCTTTCATGTCAAATTGTTTTAAGGGTTAGGGGCACTGAATTATTTGAACAACCTAGTATATCAATTATAGAATATGATATTATGCCTACCTCTGTGCATTATACTCTCTTGATGCATGTAAGTCAGTCCTCTGGAGATTTGTACAAAATACTTCCAAATGGACTTTTCCGGCACTAATCGAAGATTCTTTTTGAATGTCTAAATTTCAAAAGATTGTCAAATATGATAGGGTTGTGTTTACCTTTAACATACCATGAAGGTCACCACCATCCGCTAGTTCTAGTACGATGAACAAGAAGTCGGAGTTCTGAAAGTGTTATATTAAAAACTGAATTTTAGAGAAGTCGTATTTTACAAAATGAGTATTAGGTGCCGACATAACGAACCCGCCACACTTTTTCTGTACAACATAAAGAAATCGACCGGTAAAGTTAGTCCGGGGACTTTTGGCGCACCCTGTAATTTCGTGTAAAAATGGCGGGTTCTTTATGTCGGCACCTAATATTAAAGATTTAACTTCACAGGGCTGGGGCTGCACATACCTTGTCTTCAAATGAAACGTAGCATCGTATAATATTTTCATGTCGTAGCTTTTTCAACAAGTCCATTTCTTTTCTACAGTCTTCTTTTGACTTCTGGTCTTTTAGCAAGTTTAACTAAATAATTATTGTTAGGTTAGTACCACGGTAAGTAAAAGTATAATGTTTGTAGATTTACATCGGTCTAGTAGGGTAGGTTGCTTAAGACAAAAGCAACTTTCAGGAAATTTTAAAAACTCGAGAAATATTGTAAACACCGCGTACCTGTATTCTTTTAACAGCGTAGTAACTGCCATCTCCCATAAACTTGGCCTTGTAGCAGTCGGCAAACTGGCCTTTACCTAATTTTCCTTTGAATTCAAAATCATTTGGAGTATAGGTTTTGGTTGGGTCCAGCTCATTTTTAGCGCTGGCGTACATAGCGTTAAACATGATCATATATTATCGTTATAGCTTGTTACAATAGATATATACTGTATTGTGACTGTAGATTCAAGACCTTACAAATTTTCAAAACGTAGTATGTATAATATTCAATACTAGACTAAACCCTTTGAGATTGTACTTCTCTTCACTACTATCCTGTTTATATTTACCATAGGCCGTACTATGGCTTGTTTTTGTTAGTACAAAATAAGGAAGTTGATATATAATATGATGTGGCCTGATGAAAAAAAGTGTTGAAAGACGTTGATTATTACCTGAAAAGAACAAGTCTGAGAAGCCGAAAACAATACGAATTTAATTAAATTGTGCACGGAAAACTCTCACAGCTAAGTAGTTTGTACTTCAGGTTGTCAATAAGTCTGTTTTTTGGGGGAAACTAATTTTAATATTCAATGTCAAAATAAATTAATAAGTGTACTGCAGGGGGTTGTTAAAAGCGACATAAGTTTTTAACAAAAACACCTTCGATTTAACCATGACCCTAGACCTAGCCCTAGGCATTTCCTTTGATGTGCTTATTTTGCCCTACCCTTTTTCGTACCATGTCATACCTTACCTCCACATTACCCTACCGCTTATCTAAAAAAATGTTTTCATAAAAGGAAAAAAGTTTTTTCAGCTAAAGGGTAGGGTAATGTTGAGGCAGGGTATGGTAAGGTAGGGTAGTGGTGACAGGGCTATTTAAGAGGGCATTTTTAATTCCCGTCAAATTGGTATTGTGTTTCAAGCTTGTAACTTTGTCATTTTTTGACTTTTAATAATTTGTCTTTGATATACAAGTAGAAAACCTTTAAATGAACCTACATTTTTAAATTTGTAAGCGTATCTCGTAAAAAGGTGCTTGAAACACAATGCAAAATTTGCCAAATTGGCGGGATACTCAAATAATTGAAGTTTAAAACTCAAAAGCGCGAGCTAAAATTTTTTATAGGTACTATTAGTCTTGCAAGAAATTCATATAAAAATTTTGAGCTGGTTCTGAGCGGGGCAGGTAGGGTACTTTCCTTGGCAGTTCTTCTCGAAAAGAAAAAAAAACTTGGTCCCCCTGTTAAAAAAAAAGATTTTTTTGACTTTCCTCGCAAAAAAACCTGTCCATTTCTAACGGAAGTACATGCTACATACTAAACAACACAAACATGTGTACAATCCACTAACATATTCCCGTTCATTTCCACCCCCCAAACCGCATTGTCCTTCAGAAGGGCGCTTTTTTGGAATCTCCGCACCCTTTCGCTGAATTCCGTTTTGCAGCGGTTGTGAAAAGTTATATTACGGAATCACCAAGACAACTCTCTTCTTTTTCGGTTTGTGAAAAAGAAATTGAGAAGAATAATAATATTTTCCTTTTCGCTTTATGACATGGAATGGCACAAAGTATAACGTTAGTTATTTATAGTTAATAAGCAGTCTTATTTTTAGTTGTAGGTAGGGTTTTGGCCTTGAAAGTAGTTTGTACTTTAGGTCTCAGGAATTGTACAATTTTACAAGTATAAGGTTTTAGAAATCTTGAACATTATGTCAGGGTTAGCTTATATACAGCCTAGATGTAGGAAACTTTGTCTTAAAAGCGGAAGACGATTGGTGAAAGTTGCTTGTACGTCAACGAAGAAAAGGATTTCTCCAAACTTTACTGTCAATCGCAATATACAGCGAAAGAAAATATTGTTGTGTATATGTGGGATCAGGACGATGTTCGCTGTTATCAGCTGCTAAAACATGGTGAAACAGTTACTGCTGTCGCGAAATCAGCGTACCGAGCGTATTGAGACAGAGTGAATCACCTTGTCGGGGCAAGGCGAGGAAGCCAAGAGGGCTCTGGATTCACTCCTCTATGATCGGAAGGAATAATGTCTCCTTTTAGCACAAACGGTAGAGCAATTGCCCGGTAAGCGAGAGGTTACGAGTTCGACTCTCGTCGAACCTAGGCTTTTTTCCTCTCGGTCTTAGTACCGTATCGTGGTATGCCAGTTGCCACGCGCTTCCACAACTGCTGTTTGTTACAAACAACAACTTGTCGGCTTAGACAAACATATTTGTCTTCAACGGCCATAATGAAACTTCTGTCATTTCAAGAGCACCCTTCATGACAACTCCCGGCCTCATGTGTTAAAACTGATTGCTGGTATTATTTTTTTGGTAACCTTTGTCAAAGTTGTCGTAAAAAACTTGGTTTCTTCTTCTAGACCTAATAAAAATTTTTTTATTGTCTAGCTTATGACATTGTGTATTAAAATTGGTTTTTGCTAAATGAAATACTATTGAAACCTAAACTACAAACTAGATTTGTAAGTTTTCTATGCAAAATTTAGTACAAACAATACTCTTTTGGCTTCCTGAACTTGTGTTTTTCAGATTATAATCACCTCCTTTTAATGATTTATAATTTTAAATTTTTCTTCATTAATCTACGTAATATTGTTGTTATACCAATTCCTTTTTCAAAAATAAAAACGTTATAATCCTATACGTAGTGAAAAGGTATAAAACGTTTAAAAGTTTAATTTTAAAAAATTGAATATCACAAAAATAGAAAAAATTAGAGGCCAGATTTCGGCTTGGCTCTTTTGCAATTCTACAACAAATCATCATCCATCTTGATCTATATGAATTCATAAGACGTAAAAAATGCTACATTGACGACAAGTAAAAAGTTCAGTAATTGTGCTGGTATAAGTACTGTAATTTAATAGTGTTTTATAAGATAAAATAAGTTTTAAAGTGTAAAGATGACTAAAGTGAAAAAAAAACATGTGGTTCACACTTAAAAAACAAGAAAGTAGTTCGTTCATTTATCAAGAAAATAAGGTCAAAACCGCAATCGATGGCATCAAATGTTACATGTTTACTTTGTGATTTTACAAACATCTGCAGACTCTTTGAAAGTTCTTTATTTTTAACATTGGTTTTATTTTTATCTTGAAAATTAGCATAATACCAGTTTTTGATAATTTCAAAATGGTCAGTTCAACGATTGTTGTTTATGACAAGAGCCAATTAGGGCTCGGGGACCGGGTAGGGTTGGGACTAGGGCTAGGGATACTGAAAAATTTTACTACTAGGGTTTTTACCTTTTTAAAGATTAAAAATTTAAAAATTTTTAAGTTGACTCATTTTTAATAAGACCTCCTTTACATGGTTATAAAGACGGCTCATGCGGACAATTATTTTCTGGATCGGTTGAAGGTCACCAAACATTATAACTCTTATGTTTAAGGTTTGCGCCAAAAATTCCAAAACTTTTTTTTGGGTGAATTTGTAAAATATAGTGGAACTTCTGTATAACAAACTTTTTTAAAACGAAAATTCTGTATAATGAGCTCCTCTATAACAAAAATTTGGTATAACGTGCAACTTTTAAATCTTTGGCCGGTACTACACAGTACATTCAAACTTCGATAACGAAACTCCTTTATACCGAGCAAAGTTTAAGTATTCGAGCGGTTTGTTATACCGGAGTTTTACTGTATTTGAGGTTATTGTTAGGTTAGTCATTGTAAACTAGGTTTAGCCTAATGAAAGTGCTTTCGCCTTTCTTTATATGCCACAAAAAATGTTTTGAAAAAATCAACAGGGGGGACCAAGTTGAACTTAAAAAAAAATTTTTTTAATTTTGAAAAAATTATTAGTGGCGGGAAAGGCCAAGGTTTAATTTTTTAAGCAAATTTTAAATTAAAAAAAGTTTTATAAATCAACAGGGTGGCGACCAAATTGAACATTTTTTGAAAGTATCAAAAATTTTTTTTATTTTTAAAAAATGCGATTTTATGACTCACAAAAACAACGAATTTAATTGTCGTTACGTGTTAAATTTCGAATTTTACAAAATTACCCAATAACAGGCGTTAATTGTCATTTTCCGGAAAGATAACGCGCTTTCCCTTTTCATCGACGGATCTTTGAAAAAGCGGAGATTTGCGAAATTCTGTCGTTTATCCAAGTTGTTTTTTATTACAAACTTGGTATTGTACGACTGTTTTTAGGTTAATTTATCCGCGATCATAGTGAAGATTTTAATTTTTGGAAATTGGTTTTGAATTTTGTGGATTTTGGTGGAAAAACGGCGATGTAAAGACGGTAGTGGAAGGTAATAAGTAATGTAAGTGTGTTTTGAACTTGAGTTAAGTGTTTTTTTGTACTAACAGTAGTTAGAGTGGGCTATACTTGACTTTCAAGTTAGTCAAAACCCACCCCTACCCCTATTTCTACCCCTACCCCTACTCCTACCCCTACTTCTACCCCTACTCATACCCTTACTCCTACCCCTACCTCCACCTTTACCCCTACCCCTACCTCTGCCCCTACACCTACTCCTCTACCCTATTTCTATGGCCTTAACTCGGCTTTTACACCTGCCTTTAACTCAACCTCTACCCTTACCCTATACCTACTCCTCTCGTTACCTCTGCCTTGACCCTTAACTTTCACCCTACCCCTACCTCAATCTTCGCCTTTAACCTTACCTATAATTCTATTATACCTTACTCCTACCTATACTCTTATTTTTACTCTTACTCTCACTTACAGTACTGTCTTTTCTGACACTTATAGTAACCTTAACATTGTCTCACTTCAGGCCTATTTTAGCTTTGCTTTATCCCTGTGTCAGGCTTATTGTGATCTTATTATAGCCTACTCAAAACAATTGTTTTCAGGATTCTGAACTCGAAAAAGATGGATTTCTGTAAGCATTTGCCGACGCGAAAAATCGCCAAAGTTGCCAGCGTATTAATCATATTACAAACCATATATTTGCTGACAATGCACAATCAGCTGATCGAAATGTTTCGAGAAAGCGAAGACTTTCCCACAATGCGCCCTATAAACCACACATTTGAAGAGATCGACTCGAAGAAGTACATCCAAGACCTTATCAATGGCAAGGCTGAGGTTGCGCCAGTTGTCGAACAAGAAAAATACCCAGAGATTTACTTTGGCTGTAGTATGGAGGATACGAAGAATGTCAGCAGGGGATGGGTCGAAAATGGCAGATGGTACTTGTACTCGGCTTATGAGGACATTAGGTCTAATTCACTTTATCCGAAGTTGAAGAGTGTTATTCAGGTAAAACCGCAAGAACTTTCTTTACAAAATGTATTTTTCGAAAAACCGCAAAGACTTTCTTTACAAAACTCGTTTTTTTTAAACCGCAAGGACTTTCTTTACAAAACGTTTTTTTTTGGAAAACCGCAAGAACTTTCTTTACAAATCTCATTTTTTTAAAAACCGCAAGAACTTTCTTTACAAAACTCAATTTTTAAAAACCGCAAGAACTTTCTTTACAAAACTCATTTTTTGGAAAACCGCAATAACTTTCTTTACAATAATTTTTCTTTAACTTCAGATCATTGCCTCAACATACTTTGTAGTAGACGACCAAGAACGTTGGTACTGTCACATCCGCAACGTGAACGGTGAAATGCTTCGGGTTCGAGCTCATTTCCGTTTGATTTGGCAGAGGGCGTGGGATTCTCGTCGAACCTTCTACAATCCATACCTAATCACTTGTGCCCTACCCAACGATTACGTCATTTATAAGGGCGCAGTTGTGATGTTGAGAGGGCGCAAGTGTCCCAGCTTTAATGAGACCTTTTTAAACGTGAATTTGGTCAAGAATGCGGAGATGTTCGAGGACAATAACAGCTTTAAAATGGCAAAACCACCGGTGTTTCACCACAAAAGCCAGAATATCGTCAAGATTGTGGACAGTCTGGTCAGGAATCGGTATGAAAGAGGTAGGGTTTTGTTGAGAAATGGTTCATCTTAAAGTGTGTTTGGACTTTTTTGGGCTTTTTATTTGAACTTTGACAAAGGGGCCGACTTTGGAAGGGATGAGGACGTGAAAAAAAAAGTTTTAAGGGGGCGGGGTAAAAACGTTTTTTTGTCAAGATGAAAGCAGGTCTGGAGGAGGGTTAAAAAAATTTTTATAAAGAATGAGTCAAGCTCAATCTTTTTATAAAAAAAAAGTTTTTTTGGAGGGTGGGGGTAAAAAAAAAATTTTTAATTTTTTAGGTTGGGGGGGTAAAATTTTTTATTTTTTTTTTCTTGTTTTGCTTATTTATGTTTTGGCGATGTTTTCTACCTTCCTCTCTTTCAACCTTTCTTTCCTACACGTTACCCACCTCCACCACTACTCTCTACCCTTACCTTTACCTTTTCTCTTACCCTTTACCATACCTCTACCTCTCTCTCTCTTTACTGTCTGTCTCTAATTACCTTATCTTTCTCTACCTTATTGTTAAGTCTGCCTATAAAAATTGAAATATTTTTTACTAAAAATTTTATAAAATTAATTTTTTCAGTAAAACAAGAACAACAAGCCCAATCAGATCTCCATAACAATATTCAGCCAGATGCTAATTCAAAAACGACGGTAAATGAAGAGTTGAACCTTCAGAATCCACTAAAAATAGCAGTTTGTGTCAAAGGAATGGACTTTTACGAGGACAAAACTTTGGAATTGGCGCAATGGCTCATCTTACAGTATACTTTTGGAGCTGACTCTGTAACTTTGTACATTTATCATTTACATGAGAGGACAAGAGAAATGTTGAAGGAGTTTTCAAAGGAATACGATTTAAGAGTTGTAAGGGGTTTTTAATTTTTTTTGTTTTTAGGGTAGGGTAGAATAGGGTATGGCATGGCAAAGTGGGTATTATAAGACGGCTTGATTTAAAGGGTAGGGTTGTTATGTTTAGGGCAGGTTATAGTAAGATAAGGTACGTTCGGATAGTATAAGGTAGGAATACAGTAAGAACTGGCTAGGTACGATAACACAGAGTAAGTTAAGGTAGGTGTGGCTAGGGAGGGCAGGGTAGGGTGGATGAAGTCGGCTAGGGTAGAGTTACGTATAGTAAAATATGTACTTATAGAGTATGCAAGGCTTGGATACGATAAGTCGGTGGTACGGTAGGTTAGGGTAGGGTAGGGTAGGATGGGGTAGCGTAGGGTAAAATGAAATAAGGCATAGTAGAGTAGGAACGATGTTTTGTCGACATTTTAAAAATTGTGGCAATTTCAGATAGACATAGATCTCCCAGGCAACTTCACCCTCTCAGACCAAGAACAACATAGCTATATCTGGAACAATTACTCTCAAAAACGTCGAAACGAGCTAATACCATACAACGACTGCTTCTACTCGTACGCTCATACTCACGACTACGTACTCATCGTGGATACTGATGAAGTTGTGGTACCATTGGAACACGAGAGTTGGAATGAAATGATAAAACATTTTATCAGTGGATTTAGGCAGAATGCCACAAGCTTATCAGTGAGAAATGTTTTCAAGTTTCCGAATGAGGATGATGATGAAGGACTGATGGGTAGAAGGACGAGGGCGTCGATTATTCAGGAGAAGGGGATCAGTGGGAAGAGCTTTATCAGGTGGGTACCTATAAGGAGAAGTACATTAAAATTTGAGACCTATAAAGCCAGTACTTTCAGAATTATATTATAGCACTATAATATTTGTATCTCGAGTAGTTTAGTACTATAAAGGTATTACTATTCAAATTTGGTACTATAAAGCTTGTACTCTTAGTACTATAAAAAATGACATTAAAATCTGAGTACTGGAAGGCTAGTATCAGTACAATTTTAGCACTGTAACATCAGTACCTCGAGTAGTTTAGTATCATAAAGGTAGTACTATTCAAATGTGATACTATAAAGCTAGTACTATTTTTGGTACTGTAAGGAGAATGACAAAAAAATTTTAGTACAATAAGGTTAGTACTATAACAATCTTGATACTATTAAAATATATATAATATATGTTCAGTACGCTAACAATTATAATATCCTAAGTTCAGTACAAAAAATTTAGTACTACACAGTTGGTATCACAAAATATAATAGTTTATTCGAGAAAGTTAGTACTATTTTACAGTACTTGTACTACACAGTTAGTACTATAAAGTTTTTCATCCTTCAAGAAAGTTAGTACTATTCAAAATTTTTAGTACCCAAACCGCAGCAACAGTATTCAATCATTTCGCACTCCACAGGCTACATGGTAATGTAGCACGAACGGCGTATTTTCCGCCGAGTACGGCTTTAAAATTGCACTACAAAACCGACTGTCCAAGAGATTTTGCCGCCCAATGCGAAGGGCTGAAGAACTCTTCTATACCTGATCATAGTCTAGATCGGTGGCGAGAGACGGTGGTCAAAATGGCACATGACATTGTTAAACGGGTCTAATGTTTAAATTTTTGAAATTCTAAAAGGTTTTTTATTTGAGCATAAACTAATATTGAAATTAAAATCAGATGTTTGCAAAATCGTATTTTACATGAATTTACAAAGAACAACAATAATTGTTGTAAAAAGAACTGATGGTTGATGTAGACCAACAGCTGATTCATCTTGAGGAACGTCTTCTTGACGTAGTTTTGGCGTTTTGTTCAATGGACTCTCTTTTATGCCTTTGTCGTATTTTAGCAAATTTTGTTTTGGATTCTTTTTGGATTGCTCTGCGGCTTCTGAAATAGTCTTGGGTAATCATTGTTTTACTACTGTAATTTACGATTTTACAAGTTTTCGCTTTGAAAACCTTAACCTGGATTTTTATATGGGTTCAGGCTTGAAAGGGGTAGATGTATGCATAGTATCGATCGCCCTTTTAGAGGTCAATATGGTTCTCACCACGAAAAATTTAATTTTTTGGCATTGTGTTTTAAGTGTTGAATTTTTGACAAAACTTTAAAGAAAACCCTTTTTTCAACTCTAGGACCTTTTAAAAAGGTTTTTGGAATAAATTTAAAATATACTGTTCCTACCTGGAGAAGCGTTACAGCCATTAGCAGTACAAACAACAAACTGGTATTCGTTACGGCGGCGTTCTAGCACTTTTGCGTCGATCTAAAACAAAATTCGAAATTTAAACCTTTTTCAAATTAGAGCTGTAAAGGGGCCAGGCTCCATTATTTTGTTCCTGCGCTAGACCAGGTTTAAGGATCTTCTTTTAAGCCTTGTTAAAACATATTATAGTACCTACATAAGTCATTTCCCCACCGATAGTATTAGCACAACCGGCGATAAAAGTCATTCCGTCTGATACAGTAAAGAAAGCGCATGCTCCTGGGCATTCTATAAGACTTTCATTATGAGATAAGGTTTCTTTACTACCACACCATTGGTCTTCTTCACCAGTAGAAGCTTGCTGTAAAGATGGAGAAATGTTTTGAACTCCAAAAAGATAAGCAAACTTCTCGAGGTCGGCTTGAAGACCGTACCCACATTGGAAGCATCTGAAAAAAGTTTTTTGGTAAAATACGTTCATGGGCATTTTGCAAAAATATTATTAACTAACAAATATAAGATTTCATATGTTATTTGTAAGACAGTTATTCATTATGGTAGTTAGTCCTCACTTTAACCCATCAGTTTGACCAGCGAACAAACTAAAAAACAACAAAAGTTTAGCTAAAGAAAGCCAAAGTGTCATTATGACACAAGAAACAGTTTTGTAGTACAAATGTTGTAAAATACTATCGTTCCGTTATGTGATGCTAAAAACAATAACAATCCAATTAAAATTTAGAGAAAACGAAGAAAAAGTTTACTTTATCATTTTTTATGAAATGTAGGTATAGCTGAACAAACATTTGTCATGTTCGGGATTATTCATTTAGCTTTATTGTTGGATATTTTTGAAATTTAAGTGTTATGGCATAAAAAACATGATGATACAATAAAAATTTCCAAGTATTAAGAAAGTGGATAAGGCATATTATTCTTAAACGAAATCAAAAGTTTGTACTAGTCATAGTTATCGTATCATCTTGCTCTACCCTACCTCAAGGCCATACCGTAACTCAAGGTAGGGTAGGGTATGACATCGTAGGGTAGGCTAGATTAGGACATTCTAGGGTAGATTAGAGTATTTTATTGTAGGGTATTCCTCTTATAAATGCTACAGTTCTTTTAGGTAACGATGACAAATAGATTCCTTTCCTAATAAATTTCAAAACTTATACAAAAGTTGTAAAATTCTAGTTGCGGCAACTTTACAAACTACAAAGTATGTTTTCAAACCCAACTTTTTTATTTGTAGTCTTTATTTTTTTCTAGCTTCTTCTTCGCATATTTTATGATCGCTTCTAGGCAACGGCTTTTTGCATTTTTCGAAATTTTTGACCGTTGAAGATGTGCAAATTAAAGCTCTTGTTTCTGGATTTTTAAAAGTTCGGAAAAGGTAAGTTAAGCTAAACGTATTATTACTAAATGTAAAAAACTTTATTTTCAGGCAAGAATTACTTCACTAGTTACCTACTATATTATCTGTCGTTAGTATAAGAAACATTCAAAGGAAGGACTTTCATCTACTACCTTAACAATCGTGAGTAACTCGACCTGTATTTGGAAATCAAACATAATCATGACCGAAAAAACGTACTCCACTAATTATTTACTATACCTTGGATGCTCTGGATTAATATAAAACACGTTCAATTGGAAGAAACCATTTACTGTCTGAACTGTCTAGAGTAACTCGACTTGTATTCGAAACATAATGGTGACAAAACCAAAAAAAGTACCACGCAAAAATTCAAAACGTTCGAACAATCGTTCAAAAAGTTTGGTACTGCCAAAGAAAAATCGTAACTTTGATGAGCAAAAGCGAAGCGCACCGTTGCGAGACAAGACTAATGACAACGTGCTTAGGCATTCTGCTAGCGTGGATGAGGTAAAGATACAGTCTTTGTAGCTTTGTCGTATAGTTATCGATACAATGTCTAACCATTGTATTGTAGTTCTTAAAGGCTAATTAAGAAACGAAAGTCGAAAGTTCTTTTAGTTGTATCCAATATACCCAAGAAGACAAAAGACTCAACACGGTTTTGAGTACGAGCGTTTAAAGTGTATTAGAGAACGACGCTTGTATGAGGACCCGGAATTCTCACCTGAAGTTGCTATCAATCATCATCCTAAAACCGAATGGTGGAGGCCTTTTGTACGTTAGCTGTAAATATGTGGTCTAATAGTAAAATACGCCTTTTTGCCATAACACAGTTTAAAAAATTTTATTTTTTATTATAGACAATAGTAAAGAATCCTCGCTTCTTTACTCCAAATGTGTCTCGGCATGACATTCAGCAAATGGGGCTGGGAGATTGTTTCTTTTTGGCACCGTTAAGTTTGATTGCTGATAGAACTGAACTAATCAGACGTGTAGTACCAGCTGGGCAAAGTTTTGCCAAAAATTTTTATGCTGGTAAGATCCTACAGGAATATTCGCAGATATACTTTTATAAAATACGTTGGGCGTTGTCGTAGAAGGCTTAAAAAGAGTTACACCTTTTGCTAGTGTAGGGTAAGGTAAAGTAGTGTCAAGCAGGGTAGTTTTAATTAGGATTTTGAAAGTTTTAAAAATATTTTAGGTATTTTTCATTTTTGTTTGTGGAAGTACGGAGACTGGATCGATATTGTCATTGATGATCGCTTACCGGTCAATGTGAAAACAGGACAATTACGGTTCACTCGCGCCCGATCGTACAACGTATTTTGGGTTTCGCTGTTGGAAAAAGCGTTTGCCAAGTAAGAATTTTAACGGCCGGTTTTTTATCCTACACTCTTTTTTTCACGTATTTTACAAAATTTGGACACCAAAATGGTTTAATGACCTTTTTGCTTACAGATTGTATGGATCGTACACCAACATTCAAGGCGGACATGCCGCCTTTGCAATGCAAAACCTGACCGGTGGTATAAGTGTATTCAACTTGTGGCAGAATCAGTCGAAAAAGCACTTGGACAAAGTTTGGCAGAAACTAGTAATGGAATTTAAATTAGGGGTGCTGTTTTGTCCTAAAAGTCCATCTTTAAGATATTGGCTGCTCAATGACATTTCGAAATTGATGCCTGAAGACATGGGGATACAGTCAGGTATTCTTGCGCTAACTTTATTTCTTACCTTAGTCCTAGCCCAGAGCCCTAGTTCAGAGCCTTAGCCTAGAGCCCTAGCCCAGAAGCCTTACTCAGAGCCCTAGCTCAGAGTCCTAGCTCAGAGCCCTAGTCCAAAGCCCTAGCCTTAATTTTAGCCTTAACCCTAGCCATATCCTCATGTTCAGCCCCAGTCTTAACTCTGCTACTAGCTAATGTCCATGATCAAGCCCATGCTCATGCTGGTGCCCTTGCCCTTGTCTTACCCCTACCTCTATCTCTACCCTTACCCCTATCTTTACTCGCCTACCCGCTTTACCGTATTCCCATTCTTTTCTTGCTTTACCATATCTAACAATCCTTACCGTAAAATCCTACAGTCTACCTTTATTTTCAGGCCATGCCTACGCATTGACAGGCCTAAAAGAAGTCCAAACGACAAATGGTCTAGTCCGATTAGTCCGAGTAAGAAATCCTTGGGGTAGGCTAGAATGGAATGGCAATTGGTCTAGGCATTCCCGGCTTTGGCAGACCGTACTGGATTCAGAAGAGCGTAGGGAAATGGTCGATTTGAGAATCAACGGCGAATTCTGGATTGGCTTCGAGGACTTTACAAAGTATGGTTTTACTACATTTTGGGCGTATTTTAAGCTAGGGTTACATTGAAAATGGCATTTAAAGTAAAAAAAATATTTTTTAAATTTTGATGTGGGCGCAGCTTGCGAAAAATGCTTTAAAATCAAATAATTTTGAAAAATAAATTTTGGTAACAAAAATTTTTAAATAATAATTTTTCGTATTTTAGATATTTCAAAAACGTGGATCGATGCTATTTAGGCCCGGAAGTCATAGCCAAATCAAACGAAATGGGTGGTAAAATAAGTTCTTGCCATTTTGATTATGCATCAGCCCATGGTGAATGGAGTACGAATAAGAATACGAATGGAGGTGGATTTCCAAAAGCTATTCGTCGCGGGACATTCTTCATCAACCCTCAATACATTGTGACATTGAAGGTTAGACCTGACTCTGTTAAGGTATGTAGGTTTGGTAGGGAGGGGTAGGGTAATGTATTTGGATGGGGATATCAGAATGGTAAGGTACGGTAAATTAAATTAAGGCAAGGTAAAGGTAGGGTAGGGTAGGGCCAGATAAGGTAGGATACGGCAAAGTACGGTAGGGTAATTTAAATTTTAAGCCTTATTCTTCAAAATGAATTACTTAAAATTGGCGGGAAAACAAAAATTCAAAATTTTCAAAAAATTGTTTTAGGACCAAAAAGGCCGCGTCCTAGTAATATGGCAAATTGTACAAAAATTTGCTCGAGAACACAATTTGAAACAACTTTTCAGTAGTTGTGTTGTCTACAAGCTAACAAATAGAATGGCAGCGCCCCAAAAACGGTTTGGCAACAAGTTTTTTGAGCAAAACGCACCTATGAACAACGTCGAATACAGTATTTTGGTAGGAATATTATAGATTTTTTCATTTTCTAATGACTTTTACTACTAAAAGGTAGAAGACCAGTGATTTCTATCAACTTTCAGACCAGCCAACGCAAAAAATATGCGTTTGGAACGTATCTTTTTGTTCCATTTTGCCATAAATTCTCGTACGATGGTTATTTCCTACTGCGAATTTATGCCAATGCTGACATTACTATCCGGTGAGTTATGTCTATATTAATTTTAGTTAGAAAAATTCGAATTTCGGCTAAAAAATGGCTATATTTCTCCGAATTTCATATCAAATTTTCAACTTCATCGATTTTGATGGCTACTATAATATCTTTTTTTCATAACTCGAAATTTTTAGGAAACTGGAGGTGAATACTAATTAAAATAGATGAAGAAGATCAATATCTACCTAAATTTATTCAAAGATGTCGAAAAATGGCTCTAGAGTAGCCAGGAATGAGGTTGGAAGTCAAGGACAACATATCAGATTTGATGTTCATCATGGGGTTTTTGATGTTTTAATTAAACAAATGGCATTGAAGTTGTTTTATACGTATTGAAATTGTAGATTAATGTCTTGTTTACAATTTATTGTTGTTATTTTTACATAAAACTTTGGTTTTTACATTAATTTTTGGTCCAACGCACCTTATACTTAATGAATATCTCGGCAGAGCTCAATTTTCGATGAAAAGCCAAAATTTTGGATTTTGTAAATAAAGTTTTTGCAATTTTTTCAAAAATAGGTTTTGTAAAGAAAGTTCTTGCTATTTTTTATTAGTTTTGCAAATCGATTACTTTAATGTACAGCTGTTGTAAAACCCCCACGAATGTTTACAAAACCGATTACAATATCAGTTAAACCGCTTAAACGTTTTTGTAAATTAATGTAAAATGTAAAGGAACAGAGATAAAATCGAGTTGTGAGGTATCTACGTGTTCAAGTCGAGTGTAACTTGATAATTTTGGACTTTAGGAACGTTGAGACGATTTTTACTGATAACAACAATTTCAAATTGATTTTGATGTTGGTTGATAAGAAAAAATTGAACTTACAATCAATTTGTTCAAAGGTTTTCTATTGAAGTTTTGTTTAGGAGATCAATTTGGCCTATTTCTTGGATTTGTTTTTCTTTTTTCGCCGAGGAAAATTTTATTTTTCGAATTTTTTTCTCTCCGAGAAATTCATTGAATTTCGTTGGTTTTTTATATCGAAAACAAAGGAATATTTTGCGTATTTTACTTTAAAACTTCAAAGATCTAATTTACTATAATTTTAAATCTATTTTCCCTTCAATTTTTCCAAAATTCCTTCAATTTTTTCTTCTCGATATTATCCATGTCCTTTTGCAACCCCTTGTCCTCATTCTAATCTACTTTTTTCAGGTTAACCATTCAAAATGGACACGATTCAATCGAAACAAACATTGTTGGAGACTTCGATACCCATTTACGAGGACACGGTGTTTAGCGAGCCCAAATTGAAGAAGTCGAATATTATTGTTGTTCATCGGCCTACAACAACCCGAAAGTTGTACGTTTTTTGCTTTGTTTTTTGGTTTTAGTTATTTTGAAGATGGATAAGGATGTTGAGAAGGTTTTGTGAAAGTGTTGAGATTTTTGAGGGTGTTTTGAATAAGTCGTGGTGAAATTTATATTGACATAAGGATTGGTGAGATGGTTAATATATTTTTGAAGCAAAATCAAGCATTTTTTATAAACGTTTTTTGTTTTAAAGCAAAAAGATGTATTTTTTTAGTGTTTTGTTGTATTCTTGAAGGTATTGAAAAGCTATTGCGAAAATTATAGTCTAATTTATGTTGATGTAGGTTCTTTGATGGATAACATAAGTTTTGTTTTAAAAAATGGCTTTAATTTAGGTTTCTTATGTTGTATATCATCTGTATACCGTAACGCAAGTTTTATCAATTTTCCAATTTCAGCACCAAATCTGATGTCCTCATCTTTGTGACCCTCGTATTTCTCTTGGCATTGGCTGGACGTTGTGTTTATAAAAACTTTTTCATGAAAAAGGATCTTGAGACAAGATTAGCTGACAGATTGGGTAAAATTGAAAAAGAAATCGATGGACTCTTGGACGATGTTGAGGATGCTTATCAAGTATACGTTGAAAAGTTCCGGAAAGAGCTAAACGGCTGGGAAGAAGAGATGAAGGAGGCAAAGAAGATTGCTTTTGTGAAGAACTACAAGGAGATTCAGATATTACAGGTATGGATGGGGTAATTTTAGGGGGGGGGGGTGGTTCAATTTCCCAAATTTTTTCTCGTGCATGAGGTAGTTGGCTCGTGTTAGGTAAAAACTAATATTTAAAAGGCATTTTGAGGTATTCCTTATCAAAATACTTAATTGTAGAAACTCTCCAATGGCAAAACAGAATTTACCATGAACAACTTTACTGATATGACCGACGACGAGCTGAAACAGGTAGGATAACATGCCTTATCTATGTTAATATAACTTTTTATAACTTTTCTATATTAATTTGGTTTTTTTACATTTGCGTCATTATAAAATGCCCTTTATAGTTCTTAATTCCATCTGACTTCCAAAAACCAGCGTTTTTGGACACTGCCAAGCCCTTCGACACTGCTCCAGGCTACACAATCGACCGTGACCTAAAACGACCGGAAAGCTTTGACTGGAGAAAATTTGGCGCTGTTACTGGAGTCAAAAATCAAGGTGAGCTTAAGGTTTTGTAATAGTTACAAGGTGTTTTGAAAAAAATTGAGTTTTGGAAAGAAAGTTCTTTCGGTTTTTCGAAAAATAGACTTTGTAAAGAAATTTCTTGCGTTTTATCAAAAAAGCAAGTTTTTTAAATATGTCGTATAACATGTCTCCCGCAGCCTGCAGAGCGCTGATTGATGGAAAAACAACTTTTTTTGGTTCCTTATTATTATAAATGTTTGTCATATGAATATGAGGTTTATTATTGATAAGTTAAGTCTAAAACAAATAAAAACAATGTTTCAACAATAACAATACAATAAAGAAACAATAAAAATATGAAAAATTGGAATAAAAATTTAAAAACAGAACGAAAGTTTAATAAAAATTGTATTTTGTCAGCTGTTTCCACTCTAATTAGGCTGTTCATCTTTACTGGTCTTTCCAAAAACCTCAACCAGACATTTAACAGTAAGTTCATCTCCCGTCATCTGGGCCAACACCTCGTCTCTCCTCGCCAAACTGTCTGTTCCCCAAGACTTTTGATTCTTCGACTCAAACATCATAAATCTGTCAGTAGAATAGTTGTTCGCGATCAATTCCATATCAATCTCAACAATGTAATCAGGTGGGAGTTTGGGGAATCGCACGAAACAAGCAATACTACCCTTGTTTACTTGCGCATCACCATTCGGGTAGACGACCAACTCACAGTAGATCTTTGGATTGGGTTCATCACTAAGTTCTTGGGGTAGAAGCTCGAATTCAGGACTTGTTCGAGGCGAAAGGCCATTTGAGATGAAGCGGTCGATTTTGTAGTCAATGGAGCCTTTTAGCTGGAATGAAATAGGTATAAAAAACAATTTTTAATCCTTTTCTATCACAGTTCAATAATGTAAAATACGTCGCTGATTCCTTGACGAGGGTGGTAGGGTTTAAAGGAATACTAACACATAAATAAAAGAAGACTCGAAAATACAAGATAATAAACGGAAAATACTGTAAAAACAAGTACGAAATCAAAAAGGCTCAATAATGTACTACAAATGTACTACATAATCAAAATACGATAAAAACCACTTACATAAACACTGCCATCTCCGTTACTCATGTTTTTGTCCAAGAACCAACAAGAATGTAAGGTTATGGCTGCAAATGATTAGCTTTTCCTTTGCGTTTCGAGCTTTATTTTTAACCTCTCCGAGTTGTTTTTGGCTTTCTTTGTTGATCACAACACAATAAGTACAAATGCCCAAAACACAACAAACAAACACGCGATTCATACGTGATTAACATGATTTTTGGGTGGAATTCACGTTAATTTCAATTTAAAATTGGCCAGTAATTTGTCCTGAAAATACTTTTTTTAATTTGAAAAAAAAGTTTTGTAAAGAAAGTTCTTGCCGTTTCAAGCTTCGAAAAGAAAGTTCTTGTCATTTTTTGTTTTGTAAAGAAAGTTATTGCCATTTCAAGCTTTGAAAAGAAAGTTCTTGCCATTTTAAGGTTTGTAAAGAAAGTTCTTGCCGTTTCAATCTTCGAAAAAAAGTTCTTGTCATTTTTTGTTTTATAAAGAAAGTTCTGGCCATTTCAAGCTTTGTAAAGAAAGTTCTTGTCATTTTAAGCTTTGTAAAGAAAGTTCTTACCATTTTAAGTCTTGTAAAAAAAGTTCTTGCCATTTCTTGTTTTGTAAAGGAAGTTCTTGCTACTTCAACTTTTGCAAACCAAGAAAACATGAAAATTTTTCCTGAAAATCATGAAGAACATGACGATTCCTTGTGTAATTCATGCTGAAACCAAGAATTTTAGCCTGAAATCACGCTGAAAATTGAGAAATTTTAAGTGTTTTGATAAAGAACCTTTGCAAAACATTATTGTTGGCATATTTTCTTTATCAAAACAGTGAAACCAATAGAAAACAACCTTAAACAAGGTCAAAGTTGGAACATCAGATGATAAAAATTTCGAAAAAAGGTTACATATATTGTAATAGTTGTATTTGTTCCGTTCTTCAAATAATTCTGTGCCCCTAGCTTTAAAAATTTGTTTTGAGAGGGGTACGTAATTACTTGAACAATCTATTGATATGACTGTGAATGTTATAGTAGTCGTATTTAATATGTCACTGAAGATAAGTGTTGGCTTATTCGGTGGATATTGTAGTAGACCAGATAGTGCAGTTTAAACTAAAATTTGGAGCATTTTTAAATTAAGAACAACTTTTTAGCTAATTGTGTTTAGAATACATAGAATATGAACTTTCGTTTTGGTAATTCTTGTTTATTTTTATTGATTTGGCCAGTTAAAAGGCTTAAAATTGAAAAATTTGGATTTTTGTCATGCCGAACTTTAAGAGTCGATTTGACTTTCCAAAACAAAAGTTTGTGTTTCTTACTATTCTAAATAACATTAATAAAAACGTGTTTTTAATCTAGAAATTTTTCAATTTTTAGTTTGGACTACTGAAGTTTTTGGAGATGTTTCATCGTATAACATGTCACTCGCAGGCTTCAATTGCTTATATCGTTATAAACACGAGTAAAATGATACGGAAATTAAAAATAGGGTTATTTTATGACTTTTTAAAGTATTCTCATTCCTGGGCAGGTCATTTTAGTCGTGGGGGAGATAAAAAAATTTTTTCAACGGCATATATTTTTTTTCTAAAATTAAAACTAAAATTGTGTTTTAGTATTTAATTCTAGGTCAATGTGGATCATGTTGGGCATTCTCCATCACTGCCGTCGTGGAATCATTGAACAAAATCCATAATAATGTGTTGGTATCATTGTCTGAGCAGGAGCTGGTCGATTGTGACAGTCGTGACAGTGGATGTGGTGGCGGATTCAGAGGATGGGGATTCGAGTAAGATTTTCTTAAATTTTTATTTTTTACTTGGATTTTTTGTAAAATACGGTCTATGATTTGCTTAGAAATAAAATTTTGGGTATGGGCACGAAAGTTTGAATTTCGAAAAAACTTCTGTTTATATTTTAAAAATTTCAAAAACCAATCAATATTATGTGAAAATAAGCCCTTATATTCATAGTTACAGTATAAAAATTCCCAAAAAATATTTTAATTTCAGTTTTGTGAAAAAGACCGGCCTAGTACCAGAAGAGTACTATCAGTACCAAGGAATGGCAGCACAGTGCAGGATGCCTTCCCATGATTTGCCACGTGTCTTTGTTGATCAGATCTACACTTTCGATGGAGATGAGGAGGAAATGGCCGACTGGGTGGCTACTAAAGGTCCTATCACTATTGGTAAGCTCTTACCTTGCTTTTGTTTTTTTTAAGTTTTTAGGTTACAAAAAGGAATATAAATGTTAATTATAGTTATTTTAATATGAGATATAGGTTTTTTATTGATTGTTGTATCAGTTTTTATGATTAAAATTTGAATTTTAAAAATCCCGCCAAAATTGGCATTGTGTTTCAATACTTGATTTTGGAATTTTAGGTAAAAAAGAGTAAAAATTATAAAATTAGAGCGGTTAGTGAATGAAAAAGGCATTTTTATGGTGTTTTAGATGATAAAATTTGAATTTTTAAAATCCCGCCAAAATTGGAATGATGTTTCAAACTAGAATTAGGCTTAGGAATGTAAAAATATAGAACTGTAGGACTTATTCAAGCATTATTCTACTATGAAATGTACTTTTCGAAACAAACCGTAATAAAAATGGCATTTCAGGTGTAAACGTAACCCGTGGTATGTTCGCCTACAAAAGCGGAGTATTCGACCCAACTGAATTCGACTGTACTACCAACTCTTTGGGATCCCACGCCTTGGCAGTAATTGGGTATGGTGTGGAAAAGGGCCAAAAGTACTGGCTTTTGAAGAATTCGTGGGGTCCAGCGCACGGTGAAGCTGGCTACATCAAGATGAGACGAGGCGTGAACTCGTGCGGGTTCGCCAAGAATGTCTACACAGCTTTGATTACTAAGTAGATGGGGTATTATAATTGAGAGGGCCTGGTACTACAGTCTGCAGGTTTGAGGAGTAAGTGGGGTATTTTCCTCTGTTTTAAAAGACTATAAGGCGTGGGTATGATATTATGCTGTATTGGTTTAATTATGAACAACAAGGGCCGAACTTAAAGGCGTGGTAAGACATTCCGCTGTGGTTAAATTTTTTCAATTAAAAAAAATTTTTTTAAATTATCAATTTTTTAATGTTTTTTGATGATTTAGGCATTATTTCTCCTTCTAGACATATCTTTTTTTGTTTTTTAGGCATTCAATGCTAATTTTGTCTGATTTTTCTCAATTTTTGGAATGTTTTGCTGTCTTTTTTTACATTTTTTTAAATTTAGCAGTCTTAAAAATTTTAAGTTTCCTATTTTGTTTGTAATAATAAAATTTATGTGGTTTAGTATTAATGAAAAAAGACGATTTTTAAAATTTTTATATAGATATGAAGAGTTTTGCCACTTTTTTGATGATTAGAAAGCCAAAAGGACGGTAAACGACTTTTTTAGCCCTTTTATAACATTGATGCCTTCTTCCAATCAAAAAGACCTAAAGATCGACCAAAAAAGAATGTACTCTGTTGTGAAAGTACTGATAACACACATGATATTGTTAACAGCGTGGATTGAAGCAGAATCTCTTTACCAGCTAACTATTCCCCCTTGAAAACTCATGAAATTGCAATCAAGGACTACTTAACACTGGCGCGAACCCGAACCAGCGGCCTCTAGCACGCAATGGCCGCCCGCCTCACCACTGAGCTACGTAAACAACCTGCTGAGAGAGGGAAAATAAGCAGAGGAATGGAAGAGGGGAGTGAAGGAACGTTGAGATGAGGGTTTTTTATGGGTTTGGGGGGGGTGTTTTTTCGGCATAGATATTTTGTTGTTTTTGAATATTTTATGGTTTTTTGTCAAGAACTTTCTTTACAAAACGTAAAATAGTAAAAACTTTCTTTACAAAACAAAAAATGGCAATAACTTTCTTTACAAAACAAAAAATGGCAATAACTTTCTTTACAAAACAAAAAATTTATTAAAACAGCTCACACCTAAAAACCAACAAGTTTTGACTTGACACAACCTATTGTACTAGTAACTAACCATGACGTTAATGGGTATGCCCATGACATGTGAAAGTAGAAGGCGCCGAACCAGAAAAGCTGACATAATATGTTGCAGATGAGATTGTACTTGATCACACGAGGCTGGGAATCGTCGAATTTTCCGGTTTTGTAATAGTTGTGCAGTAACTTGTCCTAAAAATAAAAATTTTTAAATTTACAAAAAAACAGTTTTGGAAAGAAAGTTTTTGCCATTTTTTACTTTGTAAAGAAAGTTCTTGCCATTTTATGTTTTGTAAAGAAAGGTTTTGCCATTTTAAGTTTTGTAAAGAAAGTTCTTGATACTTTCTGTTTTGGAAAGAAAGTTCTTGCCATTTTAAAATCTGTAAAGAAAGTCCTTACCATTTCCCCCTCTATAAACAAAATTCCTACCTTTTCAGCATACCGGTCGTAAATCCATTCCTTAAACTTGTTTTCATCCTTCCATTCTGACTGGATTGGGTAGATCTTGTAGTGAATGGCCACATTTGGATTGTCATTTGGCCATTCAGCAAAAATGGCATTTTTAAACTCAATTCCTTCTCGATTCGGATAGCCTAGGGTGCAGTCTACCACATAGTCCAACGGTGGGTGGGTGGTAATATTGGTTTTGCTCGAATCTGGAAAATGTTCGTATTTTACAAAAACCTTAACCCTGCCATAGCAGATTAATATTAGGCCGTACACATAATTCTGCGCCCCCGTACTCCACAAATTAGCTTTGAGAAAGGGCGCAGAATTAAGTGAACAACCTAATACCATACCTACCTTAGCCATATCATACAGTAACTCTACTCTACCATACCGTAACTCTACTCTACCAAAGTAACCCCTGCCCTACAATACCTCAAAAACCTTACCATTGTTGCTTATTCCACACGTACTAATCACAGTATGAGCAGCACCAATCCGTGGATGTGCACAATGTTCAAACGGCTCAATCCCCACCTTCTTCGCGAACTTTCTTTCCGCTTCCTCGATCAAGTAATGTCGTCCGCCTTCAGGGAAAATGACGATCCATCCATAGTCGTGCCGCCAATACTTTTTCAACAAAAACTGCCTCAGGTCTTTGAGGACTTTCTGTCGATTTTCCGGCCCAAAATTGACAAAGAATCCGCCGTGAATCGCCCAGGTTAAGCCCACTGTGGTGGCACGGTAGACGTTGTAGATCAGCCAGAGGTACTGTAATTTGAAGCATTAAGAAGTAGAGTTACTAATAGTTGTTCACATAATTTTAGGCCTCTTAAAGTTGTCCGAATAATTCTGAGCCCCTTAAAAGTGTTCAAATAATTCTGAGCCTCTTAAATTTTTTCAAATGATTTTGAGCCCCTCTAAGTTGTTCAAATAATTTTGAGCCCTTTAAAGTTGTCCAAATAATTTTGAGCCCTTTAAAGTTGTTCAGATAATTCTGAGCCACTAACCCCGCAAATTTGCTTTTAGAAATAGCACAGAATTATGTGAACAACCTACAACAACATATTTCAAATTTTTATGTATTGAAAGCACAAAAACCTTACTTTAGGTGCCAATCCTGCCTTGTTGTGAAAAGCTGTCATTAGGCAAAAGTTATCCATGATACAGAGGTGATTACATAGGAAAAGCACCCGTTTGTTCGCGATTTTACTGATATCATCCCCATATTCGGTCAATTTAAGGCCCATATAATTGGCTGCTGATGTCCAACAATCATTCGTCATACCGATCATTAGTTGACATGCACGAGAGTAGTACAATATACTAAAAGTCTTCGAATTAGGGTCATGAATAATATTTTTAGGCTTAATTTTAGGGTCATGAGTAATATTTTTTGTCAAAACTTTTACTACATCAACAAAACGAACATAATATAATAAAAACTTACTCAAACTTGAAAATCCGTCGCAGAAGTAACACCCCAAGCAAAAGAATGGCAGTGCAATATACAGTGAGAGGAATCACCAGTGTAGTCATTGTAACATAATATACGACAGCGATTGATTGGATCAGTCGATCCAGCTGGGTCTTTGTGCCCATTTCGAGGATTGATATCTGGAATTTTATAAAAAAATGTGATTTTGAATGTAATTTTTGATAAAACTGAGTAAAATACTCCTATATATATCTGAAAATTCGTTTAAAATTGGATGTTATTCACAATATTACACTAGATAAAACACAAACAAACTATTAAAACTCACCAGAAAAAGTAAAAAGAGCCAAAAAACAAGTCCAACCGACAAAAACGTAGCAAATTTTGAATTGTGAAAGCATAATAAACAATTTTCAACTTGCAAAATTAGCATAAAAGATATTTTTGAATAATAAAAGGTAAAAAAACTAAAAGTTCTTCGTTCTCACTCACTGAAAAACCTTCTAATGGGTAATATTTACATTTTCAAAGCTTCTGAATTCTTCTTTAGCAGTAAATACAAGACGTTTTTATCAAAAATAGCAAAAAATTATCCATGCTTACCACCATAGTTATGATGTGCCATTTTTAACTTCGAATTGGTCTCCTGACGTGGATTCTTAGCTCAAAACATCGCGAGTCATGTTGAGAAGCTCATTTTAAAATCTTATCCGTGTACGCTGTCTAAAAAGCATCCAATTTATTAAAAGTATATTATTCATGCTTCAGGTGTCAGAAAAGAAGAGCAAATCGGTCTTCTGAATTCAGTTTTTAGCTCAAAACATCGTTCATCACGTTGAGAACCTCATTACATAAGATAACCCATACGCCTTTTCTACAAATCATCCAACTTATTAAAAGTATATTATTCATGGTATTATTCGAAAACAGAAGGAAATCCCTTCAATTTGCCTAAAAACAGAAGAAACAAAGATAAACTAAACTTACACTTATAGAACGATATCTTCTTCTTCTTTTAAATGCTATTCCATCGTATTTTGATTTGTATTTCATTTTTTCTGTCCAATTTCTCCCAGCTTATCAAGAGTTCATCATGGTGAAGGTATTTTTCACCATAACTTCTAAATTATTCGTTTCTAAACCAACTTTTTCGCTCTAAAACATTTTACACATATAATAAAATCATTAGTAACATATTTTACACATCTATCTTGTTCATTTCACGCAATGTAACCTTATAAACATGAGTTTATCGGCGTGAAATGCATAAAACTCTGTGAAAATCAAGGATTTTGGCCAAAAGCTTTGTAAAAAAAGTTCAAAATAAAGTAAAAAGATAGTAAAACAGTGTTGTCATTATGATATTCAACTAGATTTGTCACAATTCAAGTTCACAATTCAAGGAAAACGAGGGGAACGAAGGTTTGAACATCTCCCCGAAGCAAGAATAAATTGTGATTTGCTGCGAATAGCGCGCGCAAAGTTATATGATGAAACCTGCTTGAGAGTATCATATAAAGTAGGAATACTGGCAAAACCACTAATACACCATTACTTATTATAATATAAATAAAATTTAAATCATTTTAAAATCATTTATTTTCTTCGGCAAATAAATAAAATTATTATAGATAATATGTTGCTATCTAAATTACAACTAGATCGATATGAACAGTAAGCTAGACGGTACTATGTTATATTAGAGTATATTACAGATTAAGAGACATGATATATGATTTACAAGTTTGTACAGACATAAAAGTAGCTTTGAAGATCCAAAAGTCAAAATTTTTCAAAATTTTTTGAAATTTCAAAATTTTAAAATTTCAAATTTCAAAACCTCGAAACCAGCCAGTAGAACAACAACAACACTTTAACAACATACGCCCGGTGCTGGGGCGGGGGCAGGGGGAAATGGAAACCGACGCCGGTGAAAAGGGATGGGCGTGGTGCGGCTCGGGCCGTTGGTCGACAACGATGGCTGCCATTTATGCGGTCGGCCCGTGACCGTGATTCTGAAACCCGACTGTTTATTTGTAAAGGAAGTTCTTGCGGCTCTTTGAAAAAATGAATTTTGTAAAGTAAGTTCTTGCGGTTTTTTCAAAAAATGAGATTTGTAAACAAAGTGCTTGCGGTTTTTTGAAAAATAAGTTTTGGAAAGAAAGTTCTTGCGGTTTTCAGGAAATGAGTTTTGTAAAGAAAGTCCTTGCGGTTTTTTGGGAAATAAGTCTTGGTAACAAAGTTCTTGCAGTTTTTTTCATAGCATCGTATAACATGTCACCCGCAGCCTTCAGAACAATTAATTTTCCAAATAATCCTTCTGTAAAAAAAGTTTTTGAATTTTAACCTTGTAAAGAAAGTTCTTGCCATTTGTTGTTTTGTAAACAAAGTTCCTGCTATTTTTTGTTCTGTAAAGAAAGTTCTTACGTTTTGCTGAGTCGATGGAACGGTTCGCTGTTCTGAGGTCGTGCTGATGGTTCATTTTCGGTCTTCAAAATGGTCTCAATCTTCCTCAGTAATTCGCTGTAATCTCCGCTATACGATATGAAAATACGATTAAATTGAGTTTTCGACCGTTTTCACAGCAAAACACTCCGTTATTAGTGTAAAGAAATTTTTTGTTATTTTTGGTTTTTTAAAGAAAGTTCTTGTCATTTTTTTGTAAGGAAAGTTCTTGCCATTTGTTGTTTTGTAGAGAAAGTTCTTGCCATTTTCGGGCGTTTTAGTATTAAATTTCCCCTGCTACTTGGAGTTTGTCAAAAAAGGAGCTGTTTGCCCCTTCGCTCGTAAATTTTTTTTTACCATACCCCAATTTTTTTTTGTTTCCATGCCCCTATGTTTTAAAATTTTAAAGTATTTTTGATTCTCCTGTCTCTAACCCTCTTCTCCCCCGCGTTTAGAAGGGTTTTTACCTCGCCTGTGTGATCCATGCCTTATCCCGCCCATGCTATCTATTTTTTACCCTGCCCTGCAAACGATTCTTTTTACCCGCCCTTTAACACTAAAAGGTTAAAAAAAACATTTTAAATTCACGTTAAACCCAGTAGTATAATATAATATTACCACAAGCAATTTGTTATACAGGAGTTAAATATAGTACTAAAAAGTACAATACCCAACTCTAGTACTAAATAGTACGATACTACAATACAGTGATAAGCAGTTTAGTACTACACTATAGTGCTAAATAGTACGATACGACTTTATAGTACTAAATAGTACAACACACTCAACTTACTTCCGATCAGCACCATACTTGTCAGTCAAAGCCTGTAGCGGGTCGTGTGTTTGATTTAGCCTTGTCACTGCCAATTGAGGATTGGTCGTATCTTGTCGGTAACTGAATGTAGACGGAGTAAAGGTCTTTCGACCTTTTTGGCCCACAAAGACGGGTATGGTATCTTGAGAGCTGTGAGGCAAAGTGGGAGGTGAGTTTCGTATCATCGTATCTTGAGTGCTATGAGGCATTGAGTCTTCTCTACCGTATACGATGTCTTGAGTACTGTACTTGTTGTCTGTAGTACTGGGTTTTCTGTCGATGGTACTGTATTTGGAGCTCGTACTACTATGTGGTACTGTATCTTGAGTACCTTGTTTTGAGTAAGTGCTACGCTGGGGTACTACCTCTTCTGAGCTTTGTGTTGTATCTTGGCTTTCTGTACCTCTTACTGTACCCACTGTACCTCTAGCATTGCCTTCCTCTACTCCTACCGTACTAGCATGCCCTACAGTACGACTAACACCATATGGAGTATCACTTCCAGCACGGCTCTCACTATATGGGGTACCATGCCCTACGGTATGCCTAACATCATACGGTATAACATTCTCCTTAACATAAGCTACAGTATCCTCCTTATCGTAGCAAGCATCCCTACAGTCCACTACAGTATCCCCTCGTACTAACTTTTCATTCGGTATACGATACTTTTTCATCTGTACAGTAGGCTTGTTGTGCATACTGTCATTGTCATCATCACCCGCTTCTTGGCTGACTACCGTAGTCTCTTGGCTAGCCGGTGTTGATATAGATGAGCCAAATTGAACTCGAGGAAAAGAAGCTGTTACCTTGCCAGTTTGACGTGGACTAGACGGGATACGAAGCGATTCTGGCGCTGGTAGAGGTACCACTACAGTAGGAATAGCAGTAGAAGCGGCCATCGGAGAGATAGCCAGAGATTGAAGAGCAGTGACGTCAGTTGAAACCTCATTGTTCTCGGCCGTGCCTTCACTGAAAGTAAAAGAAATAAGTCTACCCTACCCCACCCTACCCTACCCTACCTTACCCTACCCTACCCTACCCTACCCTACCCTACCCTACCCTACCCTACCCTACCCTACCCTACCCTACCCTACCCTACCCTACCCTACCCTACCCTACCCTACCGTACCCTACCCTATCCTGCCCTACTCTACTATCCTATCGTGCCCTTCAATACCATTCCCTACAACACCCTGTCTTATCGTACTCTACCTTAGAAATACCTTACAATCCCCTACAACAACCTTTTCTAGACCTAGACATAGCCCTACCTTATGTTACAGTAACCCTTTGTGCCCTACTCTAGCACCACAATTCGATATACTTACCCTCCATACACTTACTGTACTTTTCTTGACCAATACAGAGGGCATACCAACTACTGAAAGCTACCTTACCCTTCCCTACCCCAGAACTACCCTACCCTACCGTAAAATCAAAAGAAATTAAGTGATACACCCCTTGCCCTACAGAAAGCTAACCTCCTTTGCCTTGCCCTTCTGGTCTGAAAATCTGCCTGCCCTATCCTATAAATACCCCGCCCTATATTTCCTCTCCCATCTATAACAATATAAAAAACCTTACGGCACAGGCAAGGCAGGTCTAAGACAATACTTCTCATCAGAGCCATCAGGACAGTCTTCTTTGCCATCACAGACCAGAGTCTTGGCCACTTGATCTTTTCGGTTCTCACAGATATACATCTGGCTGTTGTCCTTCTTACACAGTGCTTCATCTTCACCTTGAGGACAATCGTTATGGCCATCACAGCGTAGTGCTGATGGTACACATTTATTCGACTTTCTGCACAGGAAGTTGCCGGCTGGGCATTCTGAAAGTGAAAAAAATTTTTAAAAATGATTTTTATGACTTGAAAGTTTATTTGTTTGTCTTAAAATGACATTTTAAAGTAAGAATAAAAAATCAATAATTTTGTGACATTTCGTGACAATTGTAAAACATTTGCATTGGGTTTAAAAATACCTTATAATAAGTGCCGTATGTGTATCTATACGCTATATAACATTTTTGAGTAAAAATGAAAAATCAATAATTTTGTGACATTTCGTCACATTTGAAAATTTTTGACATTTCGTCTCAAAAACAATTCTCTAAAAATTTTCTTCCTTTAAAAACATTATAAGCAACAAAAAGAAACCAATAAACTTTTTGACATTTCGTCACAAGAAAGACAGTGTGACATTTCGCCTTCAAATAAGAGTTTTCGAACTTTAAAATTAGAAAAAAAGAAGTTTAAAGCGATTTACCTTCACAATCCATTTCATCAGTACCATCACGACACTCTTTGATACCATTACACCTGCCTGACATAGGTATACATTGCTCCGATGTTATACATGGGAACTCGTCCGCTTTGCACATGGCTAAACATAATTTATATTATTGTAAGTTCTGTTTGTAAAATACGGCTAAAAAAAGAATTAGATTATACATAAAGTCATGTTTAAAAATACTGTAGATAGAAATTACAGTAAGATGAGTAAGAAGAAGTAAGGTAATATAAAGCTACCTCACAGCTAAGGTAAGGTAGGGTAGAATAAGATAAGATAAAGCAAGATGAGATAGAGCAAGGCTAGCCAAGGCTAAGGCACAGGCCAAGGAACAGGCCAAGGCACAGGCCAAGGCACAGGCCGAGGCACAGGCCAAGGCACAGGCCAAGGCACAGGCCAAAGCACAGGCAAGGCCGAGACAAGGTATGATAAGGTAGGGTAGGGTCGTTTAACTTACGACAGTTCTGTTCATCCTCTTCCAATATACAATCGTAAATGCCGTCGCAACGTTGTCCCAATGAAACGCAAGTCTCCGATAATGGACAGGCAAAGTCCGTGGCATTCACACATTTTTCTAAAAATAATATTATTGTAAAATACGGCGTACATCTCAGGAACTTGCTCAACATTATTTTCAAGCTACTACAAGGTTTCACAGCAGAAAATGCACTAGCATGGCCGTAAAGTTTAGCACTGTAAATAGTACCAAAAACACAATTTAACACTGCAAACAGTACTAAAACATCAAAAATAGTACAAATTTTAGTACACTAATTATAAGTCATAGTACTATCTCCTCTACCTTGCGTCTCTCCAGCACATAGAAAATATAGTGCTGTACACATTACTTTTGATACCAAACTTCGTACTATAGTAAATAATATTCCTTGTACATACCTTTGTACTACTGTATATACCAAGTGCACCGAAAACAAAATATAGTACTACCTTATATAAACAGAAAAGATGGTACTACACAAAGTAGTACAAGTCCAATATAGCACCACATGTTAGTATCCGTAGTACTATAACCAAATTAAAAAAATATATAAAGACTACAAGATCATAGACAGTTTACTGATAAAGTATTATATATTAACCTACCTGGAGCTGACTGCATGCCACAAGTTTTGACATTGTAATCGTAGTTACAGTTCTGGGTGCCTAAGGTGTCAAATACCAAGCCTAAAATTGAAAAAAAAATTAATTTCAAAAAAAATTTTTAAATTTCAAAATTTTAAAATTTCAAAAAACCTCAAAAACCCACCAATCCTACAGTTCTTCTTGTAAGTATGATACCCATCCGACTGCCATCTACAATGATAAAACTCTGGTGAACATGGGTAGCCCATAAACTGGCCTAACGTCGTCTTCTGAAGCCCATTCTCCAATGCCAATTCTGTTTGATTGCAAAAGTTGAGAGGATGTTCTTCCAGCTGTCGTTGACTCTGTAGAACATCAATGGCCTTTGGGTTGGATAAGGTGGTGAAGATTGAGGTGAACAGTATTGTGGTGATGAGGTAAATGCGGAAGGGCCGCATTTTGGCTAAAAATAAAAAAAAAGTTTAGTTTTTTTTTAAATTTAGATAATAATTTTTTTAAGTTTAGTTAACAAATTCATTTAAAATAAGACTAAAAACAAGTTAGGAGGGGGGGGAATGGTTAAAAAAGTTGTGGGGGGGGTACTAAATTTAGGGGGGGTAAAAAGATTAGGAGGGGGGGGAGAAAAGAAGCAATAATTTATTTTTCATTTCCCTGTCTTTACCCTACCATACTTTACAATACCCTACCTTATCCTATAGTAACTTACCCTGCCCAAATGTTCACTATCCTCTTCCTCTAGCCCAACATAATCATCCCCTCGCCTTTTAATTACTTTACCCCTACTCTATCCTATTCTACCCAAAATTACTTCCAAATTACCCTACCCTAACGGTACCCTATCCTATAGTACCTTCCCCAACCCTCTTCTACCCTACTTTGCTCAAAACCGTCATACCCAACTCCAAAATTACCCTACCCTACCTACCTAAACTAATTTATTGTTAATAAACGTACTGTAGAAGCTACAGTAACCTAAATACCTACTCAGTAAACATACATTCCCCTACTTTCCTAATAAATACCCAAAAAGCAGTAGCTCTCCCGTGTACTTCTGATTCAGCTCCCGATTCAGAAGCCCACGGTATTATGTAATAATCGAGAGCAGCCCGCGACAATTACAGACCGAGACTTCGTGGTAATGTTGGTCATTTCCTTGTTTCACGTTACCGTTTTGTAATGGATATCCCGCGCAAAAACAAAACACCCCCGCCTAAAAATAGGCCTCTGGGCAAATGGGTCGTTAAACTTTTGAACACAAAACTTTGATCCAATTTTTAGATTTGGTCTAATCATTCTGAAAAAAATGAGATCTACTCATAAGCTTATTTTACATTACAATAATAGATACAGCAACAGAGCAAACTAATATAAACGTAGGGAGGAACAGGGTAAAGCAGGATAAAATAAGGCAAAATAGAGTAGGGTAAGGTAGGTTAGGCTACAGCAGCACAGGATAAGTTAAGGTAGAGTAAGGCATGACAGAGTAATAGAGGTTACGGTAGAATAAAGGAAAGCAAACCGCCTCTCAACTTTCATAAACCCTACCGAAATCTGTTTTAGCCCCCTTCTCCCTCCCTCTATATGTTTTGCCAAAAATTTACCCTACCCCCTACAAATGCCCTAAAAAGCCATTCCCTGTGAAACCCATTACCATATCTTGTCCTCCCGTTAGTCCTCTACCCTTAATTTAAATTATATTTCTCTACCCAAACCCAACTTTCTCTTACTGTAAGTTAAACCCCCCGTCCCTGCCCAACTCTTTTTTACCCTACCCTCACCCCTTCGTTACCCTTCCAAAACATTTCCTTTCCCTACTATCAGACTTTTCGAAATCCCTTCCTTGGTCTCCCCTTTCTTGCTCTACCTTGAGCCCTTCTCTGCCCTACCCTCAGCCTTCCTTCAAACCCATCCATGCCCTACCTAAAATATTGGGACGTTTATTAAATAAACCTTGTTGTAAAGCTCGCAAGTTATTACAGTAAAAAAATGAGATCAATACGGTGTAATTTAGCTACCAACCTCATAAGTCATATATATACCAAATCTAATTAAAAAACTTTAAATAAAACGAAACCAGACACCTATCGCAACTTGAATTTGAAACAGTAACCCTTTATCTTCGCCCGAACAGACGAAAATACTCGAAAAACGCGAGTAAAAGCAAGTAATAGTAAGTAGGAGCGCGCGAGAGTAAAGTTTGTACTCATTTCCTGGTGTCTAAATTAATGTTGTTCCAATCAAATTTAAAGTGGGGGGAGCTGCGCAACAAATTTCGGAAATAAATATGATTATGAATCGAACGCGGTCGGGATTAGATTAATTTAGGTAACAAAACACGTGCAAGTATTGTTTTTTGTTATGAAAACACGTAAAATCATTCAAATTTTTTTGACACTTAATATAAGCCTACAATCAACTTTTTAAGACTTAAATAAAAGTTCTAAGGCTGATATCCTTAATTAAGTCAAAATGATATATTTTTAACCCTAGCACTAAATGCTGAAACCAAACTGACCTTTTCAAGCCTAAAATAACCCTTTAAGCCTAAAGTGCCAGTCCAAAGCCTAAAAACTTTTTTTTAAGCCTAAAAGAATACATATAAGCTTAAAAAGTAAATTTAAGCCTAAAGAAACAGAATATAAGCTTAAAGTCATGTTTCTAGCCTAAAATGCATTTATAAAGTTTAACCGTCATTTCTAAGCCTAAAATGATAATTATAAGTCCCAAGTCACATTTTAAGCTTGATAAGACCTTTTAAGCCAAAAATTACCTTTTTAAGCCTAAAATGACATTTTCAAGCCTGAAATGAAATTTTCAAGCCGAAAATGACCATATAACCTACAATGTCAATTTTAAGCCTAAAATTGTATGTCTAAGCCTGAAAAGCCATTTTTAAGTCTCAACGAATACACATCAGCCTCTACAGTCCTTTTTAAGCCCAAAGTGCTTTTCTTTCTCAAATACAGTGAAACTCCTGTATAACGAATTCCTCTATAACAAAAATCCCGTATAACGAACAACTTTTGAATTCCTGTCTATCACTGCACAGTGCATTTAAAACTCCTGTACAACAAAACTCCTTTATAACGAACAAATTTCAAGTCCCCGAGCAATTCGTTATACAGGAGTTCCACTGTACTGCAATTTTAAAAACCCTTAAAATCCGTAAAAACTTCTAACTTTTTTGTATTTTATATTAACAAACGTTGTTCTTGCATAATAATAAAACAAAATTTTAAAATTTTAGGAATTAGAGGTGGTGTTAAGTGATGATACAGGTTGGAATTCATAAACTTATCAATGATATTTCAAAAAAAATCTTTAAATTTCAAAAAAACTTCAAAATTTTGAAAAAATTTCAAAAAGAAATTTCAAAATTCAAAAAAAATTCAAAAATTCAAAGATATTTCAAAAATTTCAAAAAATTTTTTAAAATTTGAAAAAAAGACGATTAAGCAAGGCAATCGAAGAGAGTTTACCAGTTTTTTTGGGGAATATAACTGAATTGTAATAGGTAATTAATAATTTAGGCGATGGGTTCGTTGGCGTGAACGTCGTCGAGTTGGCGTTGGTAGGCGCGAGCACGTGCACGTTCACGTGACACCTCTTCCTCTAGATCATCGACTTGACGTCGCATTTGACGGGCTTTGGCGCTGGCTCGTTCGGCCTGCAAAATCAAAATTTTTAAAAAATCGAGTGAAAAGCATTTAAAAATGAATTTAGGTAACAGTTTTGAGGGTTTAAAACTTATAAAGAAAGTTCTTGCCATTTTATGTTTTGTAAAGAAAGTTCTTGACATTTTTTGTCTTGTAAAGAAAGTTCTTGCCATTTTATGTTTTGTAAAGAAAGTTCTTGCCATTTTTTGTTTTGTAAAGGAAGTTTTTGCCATTTTTGTTTTGTAAAGAAAGTTATCATCATTTTTTCAAATTTCGGTAACAATTGAAATTTTCAGTTCGTAAACCCTTACAGCTTCCTTGAATTCATTCAACGATCGTCTCTCCTCCTCGGTTTGAGCGTTGGCTTCGGCCACCCTCTTCTCCAACCTCCTGACCAGTCTGTTCGCATTCTGGCGCTCACTCGACTCGCTAGCCAACTGATCCTGCAGTTGTTTGATTTGCGACTCTAATGAGGCAATTTGAGTTCGTGAACGAGTTTGAGTGACGGTTTCTAGCTCCACGACTTGGGCACGGAGCTCACGATTCTGGCGTTCCAACGACTGAATGTCGTTCTCTAGTTTCTGGGTCAGAGAACGTTCGCTGTTTAGGTCGTTCGAGGTGGTGTCGGCCTGAAAATGGCAAGAAATAGCTTAAAACTCGATATCAAATTAGTAATTTTAGTACTGTTTTTCGTGCAGTAGGTCAGTGTAGAAGAAATTATGACAGAATAAGGTAGAATAGGGTAATTTAAAGTAAAATAGAAAAAGATAGGGTAAGGTAGAGTAAGGTAGAGAAGGATAGAACAGGATAAGGCGAAGTAGAGCAGAGCAGGGTCAGGTAGAAAAGAGTAAAGTAAAGAAGCGTCAGTTACACAGGATTGAGAGAAAGTAAGGTATAATAGAGCGAGGGTAGGTAAGCTAGAGTAAAATACGGTGTTTATTTTTATACGGTAATAGAGTAGAAAGGAGTAAGGTAGTATTAGAAAAGGCAGATTAAGATAAAAAATGTTAAAAATTGCATTTGTCAAACACATTATGCCTCAAAATTTAATTTTTTTAAAGTACCACGCCATGCTCAAAAACAACGTTTTTACTCTGCACGGCCCTCAAAAAACAACCTTTCTATTGCTTCCATCCATTCAAAAACCCCTCAATATTTACCCAAGATCAACCAAAAACAGACAAAAATGTAACATAAATCAACAAAAAACAGCCGAAAGCTCTTACTACTAAATAGACCCAAATGGAACTTTTCCGATATTTCCAAGACCGGCCCGACCTGAGTTTTGTTCAGACTCGGCCCGATGGTAGGCCCGGCCTTACCCACGTCTAACCTGATTCGATCCTTTACAAGTCCACTTACCACTTGTTGTGCCCTTCTCCACTTGTCCTGCCATTCCGCTGCCGCATTTTCCGATTCATCAAGTTCATCCTTAAGCTGTGCGATCTGATTTTCGAATCTTCTCTTATCCTCTCCAGTCAAACTGCCCAGCTTGCTTCTCATTTCCTCTAGCTCATCTCTTTCGGCTTCTAGCTTCCTCTTTTGGGCTGATAACGATTCATTTGCTTCTTGTAATCTCACTACCTCGCCTTCTGCTTGTCTCATGCGGCGTTCGGCTTCTCTGGCTTGAGCGGCGTGTTCTTCTCGTTGAGTTTTAGCGTCTTCGGTTTCTTGTTGTAGCTCCTTCAGCATTTGCTGATTCTTCTTCAGCTGTTTCGAGTAGTCGTCTTTGAGTCGTAGCTGTACATCGAGTTGTTGTTTTAGTTCGGCTACTTCATTTTCCAGCTTCTTTCTTTGGCCAACGGCTGAGACTTTGCTTCTTCGTTCTTGTTCCAGTTCTTCTTCTAGCTCTCTGATCTGCCTTAGTAAGGACCGTCTTTTCTCTTCATCTTCAACGTCTTTGGCCGCTTGAATTCTTTCAAACTCAGCCTTTTGTCCTTGAGTCGTTACCTCCAATCTCAGTCTGGCATCTTCAGCTATCTGTACCGCATCTTCTAGCTCTTCCACTTGGCTCAGCAGATCAGCATTTCGTTGTTCGAGCTCACGTTTGGCCTTCTCCAGCTCGTGAACATTCTTTCCGACGTCATCCTTCGAGCTCACCGACTCTTCCAGCTCGAGTTGAAGCATCTTTTTGACTCTTTCTGTATCTTCAAATTGAGCTTGTAGTTCTTCAAACTTGTTTGTTAGACTTAGAAGTTTGGTTTCTCTGTCTCTGTAGTCTTGTTCGAGTTGATCACGTTCGGAGACTGCACGTTGAAGATTGGCACGTTCTTCTGCTAGTTGTTGGTCGAATTTGCGTTGGCGTTTGTCGGCGTCACGAGCTGTTGCTCTTAGGTTTTCCAGCTCCATGGTGAGGTCTTCGAGCTGAAAGTATTGATATTATAGTCGATTTATATTACAGTATGTTTATATTATAGTAGACCCTCATTTTAAAGAAAGTTGGTACTTAAAAATGATTTTTAAGCTTCAATTGATGCCCTGCCTCAAGGCAAATGACCTTAAGAGACACCTTGCCTTGTGTTCAACCCTGCCCTATCTCTAGAAATTCAAAAAATCCCCATACCTCCTGTTGAGCCTTCTTCTTGGCCCTCTCCGCCCTATCCTTGGCGGCGTGAGCATCTTCGATTTCCTTCTGAAGATTCTCCACGTCCTTTTGGAACCGCTTCTTGTGTTCTTCTAGCTGAACGGCCGCGTTTTCCTCCGATTTTTTCTTTTCTTCGGCCAATTGTTGTCGCATAACGGCCAAGTCTTCTTGGACTCGTTGATGATGAAGTTGTTCTTCTTCACGTTGTTCGTTGAAGGATTGGATTTCGGATTGGAGTTGGCGGATCAAGCTTTGGGCGGTGAGTTTTTGGCGAGTTTCGTCGCCCAACAGCTCCTGACTTTCGTTTACTTGTGATTCCAGTGAGGCGATCTTGTGTTGTTGAGAGTTGATTTGTTGGTCAAAGGTCTCGCGTTGGCGTTGGAGCTGTTCGAATTCTGGAGCAATCTGAAAAATAGGCAAACATTATACCTTTTTACCTTTTTGTACAAAAGTTTTCAAAAAAAATTTTGAAAATTTATTTATAGACTAAAAAACTAAAAAATATCAATTTCTAGGCTAAAATCTAATTATTCAGTTTTTTCCAACAACTAAAAAAGTTTTTTAAAACGCTAATTACAGTGAAACTCCTGCATAACGAATCGCTCGGAGATTTGAAATTTGTTCGTTATAAAGGAGTTTCGTTATAGAAGAGTTTTAAATGCAATGTGTAGTGGTAGACGAGGATTCAAAAGTTGTTCCACTGTATATTTTTCCCTATACTAAACTCAAATTGTTAAATAAAACCCCGTTTTTTCAAAAAAGTAACAAACTAACTAAAAAAAGTGTTAAAACTGCCATAGTTAATAACTACTGCGGCATGTTTGTTCAAGTGAAATGGAAATGAGAGTTCAATAACTTGGGGTTTTTACTGACTTCATTCTTTGCCATTTTTCAGTTTGTAAGCTTAAAATAAGTCTGAAAACTAGCATTTTTGACTTAAAAGTGTCACTTTAGGCTTAAAAAGTCATTTTAGGCTTCAAAGTGCCAACTTAAGCTAAAAAACGTCATCTTAGGCTTAAAAAATCGTTTTAAGCTTAAAAATGTCGCCTTAAACTTAAAAAGTCCTCTTAGGCTTGAAGGGTCCCATTAAGCTAAAAAAGACTTTTTAGACTTAAAAGATGTCTTTAAGCTTAAAATATAACTTCAGGCTTTTAATTTACATTTTAGGCTTAAAGGACCATTCTAGGCTTGAAAATGTCATTTCTGGCTTAAAAAATCTACCCCAGCCCTGGCCTTCCTATACCAACCCCAATCCTTCTAAGCATACCCTCCTGAACCTAGACATGAGAAACGGGCCGGGCCCAAAAGATCGAAATTTTGCTCAGGGCCGGCCCGGCCCGATGGTAGGCCCGGCCCGATGGGAATTTTGCTCAAGGCCGGCCCGTTTCTCATGTCTACCTGAACCCCCACCCTCTCACCTTTTCCAAGTTCTCTTTAGCCGCCGCTAATTTGGCTTCAGTATCAGACAGATTGGCTTTCAAATCCAGAATCACAGCTTCTGCCTGCTTTCTCTTCTTTTCCGTTTCATTTCTATTGCTCTGAACGTTCCTCAGCTCTTGTTGTAGTTCTTCATTCTCCTGTTCAATGGCGGTTTTGCTTTTATCCGCTTGGTTTCGGGCTCTTTTTTGTTGTTCTACTTGATCCGTGAGGTCTTCGAGTTGTTGTTGATACTTCTGTCGTAGTTCGTCTAGTTTGGACTGATGTTCGGCTTGAAGTTGGTCGATGCTGGCCTGAAGTCGGCTCAGTTCGTCGTCTTTTTTGCGTTGAATTTCGAGGGCAATGGTTGATTTATCGACCGCTTCTACACATTCCGTCTTGAGGGTTTCGTATTCTGAAGCCAGTTCCTTGCGTTTGGCTTCTGACTTCTGACGAAGGTTTCTTTCGTTGTCCAAGTCGTCTTTGATCTCGTCCATCGCCGCTTCCAAGTCACGACATTTCTTCTGGAGTTGGGCGACGGTGGCTGAGTCTTCATCGGCTCTAAAAATTCATTTTTTAATTTTGAAAAATTCAAAAATAATTATAAATATTGTTAATAACTAACTTTTTAAAAAAATTTGAATTTTTTGTCTTTTAAAATCCTCATTTCTAATGAAAAATGTCACAAAACTTTCAGTTCCAATGAAAAATGTCATCAAATCTTCATTTCTAATGAAAAATGTCATCAAATCCTCATTTCTAATGAAAAATGTCATAAAATCCTCATTTCTAATGAAAAATGTCACAAAACCTTCAGTTCTAATGAAAAATGTCATAAAATCATCATTTCTAATGGAAAGTTACATAAAATGCTCATTTTTAATAAAAAATGTCGTTCGTTAATAACAACAAAAAATTTCAAAAAAAATTTTTTACCTCCCCCAAATGAAAAATTACCCCGCCCTTCCTCTACCATGAAAATCAAAACCCTTAAAACTCCCCCTGCCCAAGAAAATCCAGGCTTTCAAAAAAAATATAGGGCATAAAAACCGGCCTTACCTCGAATACAAAGCGCTCAATTCCTCATGTGTTTTGATGAGCTGAACATTCAACTCTTCTATTTTATTCCTCTTTTCCTCCAGCAATTCCTTGTTTTCATTCAGTTCTCCTTCGTACTTCCGCTTTTGTTTCTCCACTTCTGTTCTGTTGGTCTTCTCCTTTTCTAGTTCGGCTTCTAATTCCGTTAACTGTGCCTCGGCTTTGCCTCTTAGTTTGGCTGTTTGTTTTGCTTTCTCTTCTTCTTCGACTAGTTGTTGGGATAGTTGATTGGCTCGTTCTTCTAGATACTTGCGCTCTTTCGTTAGTTTGTTGTTCTGATCTTCTAGAAGGGCAACTTTCTCCTCTAATCGCTTTAGGCGATCTTCTACTTGGCTCTTTTCTAGCAATGCTTTCTGTCTCTTCTGTTCTTCTTGTTCTAGTTGTTCCTCTAGATCTCTTATGTTTTCTTCGTGTTTCTTGAGCTTTTCATTGGTTTGTGTTCCTCTGTTCTCTTCCTCTTCCAGTCGTACTTGTAGATCTTGTACTAGGTAGCTGAGTTCTTCGTTTTGGCCTTTGAGTCGTTCTGTTTGATCCACGGCTTCGGCACGTTCATCTGCTTCATTTTGGACTTGTTCTTGTAGTTCAGCGCGTTCGGCCACCAACTGCTCCAGTCTTTTTTCAATTTCTCCCAGGCTGGTTTCGGTTTTGGCTAGCTTTTCCTTGGTGGTCTTAAGTTCGTCGCTTCGTTGTTGTAGAGCCAGTTCTTGGTTTGTTACTTGAAGTAGTGGCTTGACTTTGGTGAAGAGTCTCCACCACTCCCAGTTCCTCAGCTTTAGCCATGACACACAGTTTCTTTGCAGTACTCTGATGGCGTTGCTTTGTTGTACACGCTTTTCGTACAACCTTCTGGCCAAGAAAGCTCGGCATCTGGCCTGGAACTCAATGACTAGTCCGGTGATCTTAACGTCGCGTTGTTCTTCCAGTCTAGCCAGTACTCCAGCGCGGAAAAAGACTTTAGACATTCCGATACGATAGGTGGTGACATCAACCTCCAGGGCGTCCAGGATCTTCTTGACCGACTCTTTGCCGTCCATGAAGCCTCGAGGGATGACGCCTGGAGTCAGCATTTCGTAGCGATGACGGAATTCCTGGAAGGGTACGCGGTTGGGAAAGCCTTGACGGCAGATTCTGATGCCTTCAAGAACACCGTTGCATCGTAGCTGTTCCAGGACTAGAAGTGAGTCCACTTTTCTAGGCTTCTTTTCGTGATTTGGAATGATACATCGTACAAAGTTTGGCGCTGTGTTTCTCAATGTTGTCATAAGTTTAGACAATTGTTCTTTGTACATTTGTGAAACGGTCCGGAACATTCCTTTTTTGGTTCGCATTCCGAAGGCAGTCTCGTTCATTTCTGTCGCTCCCATGCCGGCGAATTCAGCTGAAAATTGAAATTTGAATTTCGAAAAAATTTCAAGTTTAAAAAAATTTAAAAATCCTTATTTCTAATGAAAAATGTCATAAAAGCCTCATTTCTAACCAAAAATGTCACCTAAGCCTCATTTCAAATGAAAAATCAAAATGAAAAAAAAACAAAAAAAAATTTTTTACCAAATTTTTGCCCCACCCTAAAAAAAATTTTCCCCTCGTAACTCAGCCCCCCCCCCGCTCTCTAGTCCCCCTCATAACCACCACCCCCCCCTCATGCCAATCCTTCCCTCTCCCCTCCTTACCATCCTTCCAGATGCCTTGAACAAACGGATCCGAGCTGTTTTGCATCAATGCCACCACATTATCATTCAGGGGGTCCATATTCTTCATTAGCCATTGGTCGGCCGAGTAGTCCACCCTTCCGGCGTAATGTACCACGGCAAAGTCGGACTTGGCCCTCATTTCTGGTACCACAAACTTGGGGTGTCTTTCGTGATTGACCAACAACTTTTCGACCAACGACTTGTCCGTCGCCTTGGGGAAGAGGCATTGTTCGTCGAGTAGGGCGAGGATGCCCATTGGCTTCTCGATCAGGTCGATTGTTGGTTGAAGGTCGAGGCCAAAGTCAATGAACTGCCAATCGATACCTTCTCGTTGGTACTCTTCTTGTTCTAGTACAAACATTGTGTTGTTGAAAAGTTGTTGCAACTTCTCGTTCGTGTAGTTGATGCAGATTTGTTCGAAGGAGTTCATTTCGAAAATTTCAAATCTGAAAAAGTTAAATTAAGCAAAAATCAAAAATTCGCAAAAAACTTTCTTTACAAAACATAAAATGGCAAGAACTTTCTTTAAAAAATTGAAAAATAGCAAGAGCTTTCTTTACAAAACAAAAAAATGACAAAAACTTCCTTTACAAACCGAAAAATGACAAGAACTTTCTTTACAAATCAAAAAATGGCAAGAACTTTCTTTACAAATCAAAAAACAGCACGAACTTTCTTTACAACCCTTACCCAGCAATATCCAGAATCCCAATAAAGCTGGTGCCTTGTCTTCTGGTCCTGTCCAAGCTCTTGTTGATTCTGTTGACCAGCCATTTGAACATTCGCTCGTACGACGCTTTACTGATGGCTTCTACTGCAAATTCGGCTTGTTCTCGATTCTGTGCCTTCTGTACATACTCTCGGCCCACTTTGATCTTGGGTTTTAGGAAGGCTTTGCTGAATTCGCTGACCGGTAAGCCTAGCAAATGGCATACCTTTTGGGCTACGCGGTCGTCGGCTAGACAGGCTTGTTCTGACTTCTTTTCTTGGACGAACTTGATGTTGCCGAAGAGGAGGACTGAGCTGATGATTCGGAGGACCGCTGAAATGGTCTCAACACGTATTTTACAAAATTTTTTTTTAATTTTCGAAAATATTTTTTTCCTCATTTCTAATGAATGATTAAGTTTTGAAGTGCGAGCGCATCTCGGAAAACACAGAAAAATAAAAAAAAATTAAAAACCCTCATTTCTAACGAAAAATGTCATCAAATCCTCATTTCTAATGAAAATGCCATAAAATCCTCATTTTTAATGTAAAATATTATAAGCACCCCTACTTACAAGTGATTTCCTCATCAGCAAAGCCCATAATCCTCATCGACTGAATAGTCTGATGAAATTCTTGCGCATCGTCCACGTTCGGTACCAAAACATTGCCATTTTTCAAGAAACTATAGTTGGCCACGTCTTCCAAAAGGTAATTTTGCTTCTCGTCGGGTGATGTGCCATGTAGAAATTGATAAAAGATATGGAATGATCGTTCGTCCTGAGCTTGACGGCAGCATCGTGACTTCTCCAGAAGATAAAAATCAATATTGGCGCCTGATATGTAGCCACTCATGTCAAAGTTGATGCGAATGAATTTGCCCTGAAATAGATTTTTAAGAATTTAAAAGGCATGGGTAAAATTGTTTGCACAGTGCAAAATAACTAGTAATTTTAAAAATAAAACTTACAAATCGGGAAGAATTGTCATTTTTGACCGTTTTTGAGTTTCCAAAAGCCTCCAAAATAGGATTGGCTTGTAGAAGTTGGTGTTCCAACTCTCCCTGTAACAAGTTTTATGTTATGCACTCAATTTTCAAAGAAAAAAAAACGTTTAAAATTTTTTTGAACAACCCCTGAAAAAATTTTTTTACCCCGCCGGAAAAATTTTTACTCTTTTTAAAAAGCCTTTTTTTACCCATTCCTCCCCCTTTATAAAAATTTTTATCCTCTCCCCCCACCACCAAAAAAAATTTTACCCCGCCCGAAAAAATTTCACCTCTCCAATAATATCTCTTTTCTCGCTATCACTTCTCAAAAAAAATTTTTCCCCTGCCCCAAAACCTTACCTTGGACGGTTGATTAGTGAGCTTGTTAAACCGAGTGGCACCGGCGACATGAGCAAGGTATTGAATAACTTTTTTCGTGTTTTCCGTTTTTCCGGCACCAGATTCGCCGGTACACAGAATACTCTGATCCTCTCTTTCCGACAGCATTGAGCGATAGGCTGTGTCAGCGATGGCGAAAATATGAGGTGGCCGTTCGTGACGTTTCTTGCCTTTGAAAGCTTCGATCAACTGCTCGGAATAGATTGGAAGCCGTTTGTAGGGATTGATTACGACACAGAACAGGCCGGAGTAGGTCTGGAAAGTTACAATATTTCAATTACGTAGGTATAAGGGCCAAAATAAGTCTCAAAGTTTGGCTTTTCAGATTAATTTTGTAAAGAAAATTCTTGCGGTTCTTCAAAAAATGAGTTTTGTAAAGAAAGTTTTTGCCATTTTTTACCAATACATCCTTCTCCATGCCTAAAAATGAAAACCAAACTTAGAAATAAACTTACATAGATCAAATCAGAGTAATATCGTTCCTTCAGGTTATGTAGAACGCTGGCTTCGTTTAAACATGTTAAATCGGCCATATCTTCAACCTAAAACAATATCATTAATTAACAAGCATTTAATTCTATCCGTTTTGCGCAATAATATACCCAAAGTTTAGAATTTTGATTAAAAATGTCATAAATAAGATGTTAACAAACTTTTTTGCATGGTTTTTCTTTAAAATTTTGGTTTATTGCCTAAAAATTGGGTGAAACTAATATAAAACTCTATATTATCCATCCTTTAGCACTTTAAATTTGTTTTCAATAAAGAAAACAACGTAATATAACCAAAAACGACCCGTAATCTTTTGTAACAGATTCACCGTCAATCTCAACACCCTTTGTACCTAAAAACCAAACAAAAACTATCAAAAACCAGCTTACTTTGTCAAATTTAGGTGGGTTCATCTTCTGACAATCATCTTTACTCAATTTCATCTTCTGACCCGTCTCAATGACCTCAACAATCACTGTCTCACCTTGATCTTCCTTCACGGAAGCCGCAATAAAACCATCCCTCTCGTGTGGTACCCAAATCTGATGTTTCTGGGACCATTCGGCTAATATCGATGGATCAGCGATGGCTGACCGTTTCACCATCAAATATTCGAGGTCTGAAGTCGACGGTTCATCGTTCTCCTTCTCATCCGCTCCATTTATACCATTCGAACCCAGTTTCAGGCCATTCAACCGAGACATCTGAATTTGACGTTGATCTTATTCAAATGTCTGAAAAAGGTGAAAATTGGTATCGAAATCAACCGATTTTCATATTTTATTAGCAAACGGTAGTTTAGGTAATATTATAATTAAAAGAAAACAATATTACGCGACGAAACAAGCAAGAAAATGATCAAAAACTCATGGATAACATAAAACTCGCCTCAAAAACAAAAAATTCATATTTCAAAAACTAGACGTAGAAATTTAATAAAACTTTCCAAAAACCTTCTCCATATCACTATTGCTGATCATACCAAATTTCAGCCCACAATATTCACTTCTCACAGTTCACTGATAAAAAGCAAAGCACTACCTACTACAATATACTAAACCATTAAATTTGATCCAACCACAAAGTTTGCTGAAGACCGCTAAAAACTGGTGTGAAATCGCACAACAAAAGTCGAAAAAATCAGAAAAAACATTTCTCCATGATGATGTTATTCATTTTAATCCAGGGCGCGCCTTCTAAACCCTCGCTTTTTCAGCTCTAATCTATTATTCTTCGCTATCACTCGTCTTTGCACATCGTTATTGTTGAAAAAATGTATTTTATTGTTTCGAATTATGTTCTAGAGCAGAGTTTTTAGGTTTTGGAAGTTAGAAATGGTCGATTTACAAGTTTTTTAAATGTAAAATACGGGGGGTAGAATTCTTGTATGAAAGAAAATATTTAATAATAGTTGCCCAAAGTAAGGTTTTTAAAAGTCAAATGACTTGTAGAATACGTAAAACAAGACCAGGAATAACCATTTTCATTAGAAAAATTAAGCTACGCAGTCTTAAAATCAAAAATTTGAAAATCTCCCCCTAAATTAAAAGAAAAACACCCTGCCTTATGAAAAATCCTCTTTTCTAGCATTTTCAATTGGAACGGCAGTGTTTTTACGCCTATTAACAGTGTAAAACTACTGCATATCCATTGAAAATGTCCAAAAAACTAATTTTTTGCGCATAACTGAAGGAGAATCATGTTTTCTTCCGTTCATTTTTACTATAACTAACGGTTTATATGACAGTAACTCTTTGTAATATTGTTAAAAAACATTCTTGAAGACCTTTTAGTATCAATATATATCAGTGTAGACCGTTATATCCAATCATTTTCAAAGTTATCGCTAATATTGTCAACTTTTCTTAAGGTGAATATAATATTTTAAATTTTGAACTCGTTGAACTTTAAAAATTAGCGAAAACAGACAATATTAGCTGAAAATTCCTGTTTTTCATTCTTTTCTGAATTTAAAAACCGCCACCCTAACCGAATATAACATTCTTGATCACATTAAGCCCACACACAAACCTTACCACCTCTTTACATTAGGTAACCTAAATTCTAAAAGCTCATGGCTTAAAGAGGGTTTTAGTTTGTAACAAGAATATCATGTTTGTAGTTTCAAAATTTAATAAGAATTAAACCAATAGGTTTAAAATAGAGTTCTAAAGCTCCGAACGGTCACAAAATATATTATAGTAGCCTTTTGTAATAAAAAAAATTAATAAAAAATCCAATTTTTTTACAAATTCTGCCATTTTAAAATCATCAAACTCAAAAAACATCATTATTACACAAACAACATAACAAAAAAAGGCATGCCAAAACCATCAAACCCCTTAAAAAAACAAGACTCTCCTTGATTACAAGCCTTTAAAAGTTCGAAAATCCAGCAAGACTTGAAGAGGTGGCTGCGCCAAGAATCCCGAAGGTCGTTAGAATAAAAAATGTTGAGGAATGCGTTAATTAAAAGCCGCCCATTCGCTCTTTTCGGTTTTAATGCTCCCTCCTTAACTGTCGCGAGGATGTAGCCGCTAGAATAGGCGCGTCATGGTTTGTAGCCTTCCACCAAACATAGCTTCGTCGATTAGATAGACAATGCTATGTATGGTGGAGCAGTTAAAAGATTCATATAAAGAGTTCATGATAATTACAGTAGAGCCCCTCTATAACGAACTCCTGTATCACAAAGTCCTTTATGACAAAAAGCAATTCTTACCTCTGCATCCCTTTCTACCTCTCATCTCTTACAACCGCAGCCTTTTTCGAATATCATGTTTACCCTGCCTTTTAATAAATTTTGTTTCTAATCTAATTTTCACCTTTTTTCCGCCAAATTCCCATCGTTCCGAACGTTCTGAAGCCGGTCCAGCGGTGTAAAAAAGGTCATTGGCTTTCGGAATTCTTGGCGCAAATTGTATAAACAAATCGTGGTTATCACGTGAAAAAGCATGTTTTTGATGCTAACTTTGATTCGAACATTATGTCAAGATTAGTTTTAGTTAGAAAATGAACCTTGCTTTCATTATCTATCAAAAAGCCAAGGACTGGTTTAAAAGTCTCACTGAACATTATCAAACTAAGTCATTTCAATTTTAACTTACAACTGGTCAGTGTTTCTTCTATTTTCCATCTTCTATTATGAAAAATAGAAGGAATAATGACCAGTTTTAAGTAAAAATTGATATTACTCATGACAATGCACTTTTGCGTTATGATTAATATAACTGCATTTTTGAAGGATTATTTGATAACTGTTACTGATTTATAGTTTATGACTATAAAAGCTCGCATAACTATATTATTTGACTCAAAAATAAGTATAAAAAGATTATTTTTATCTAAACCGGCGTGTCCTACATAAACCGGAACGGGAGTCCACTAGGCCCGGTCCCATTACAGGTCTAGCCCTACAATAAAAATTCCATCTTAACCCCTTACTACTTAAAGTAGTCAATTACTTATAATTTTTGACAATTCTGATAATCTGAACCACCTGACAGTACTAATTGAAGACTAAAAAGCACCTTATCATTCACAAATTCCACTGTTTTAATTTTATTTTTTGGAAAATCAAATGAATTCAAGTAATACACCAAAATTCGCAAAAACAGACTTAAATCGTTATCAGTGTTTTTGAATTTTTGATATAAAAAATGAAATTCCAAAGCTTTTTTAAGACTAAATCAGTATGTCAAATGGTAAACAATTGGCCGTATTTTACCTTGCTGTGACGTGGTCTTACCTTATCCTATCAAACCTTGCTTTACGTAAGCCTACCCTTCATTAACATACCTTGCTCTACTCCATCCTACCCTACTTTATTCTGCCCTACCTTACTTTAGCCTATCCTGCTCTATCCTACCTTATCATAACCTGCTCTACCCCTACTACTCTGAGCTATGATACTTCACCCTACCCAGTTCGAATCTTTTCGCAGCACTGATACCTACAAAACACTTCGCAATCCATTAATTCTCCACCGAAAGACCAAAACTACCTCTGTACCCCAACAAATATCCACAAAAACACCTTTTCATTTCGACCCGTGCCCATAAAAACACAGTTTTACTTTTGACCAGAAGCCACAAACAATCCGTTCATAAATAATTTGCAAGTAACTCGGCTTCTTGGCCACTCGTAATTAGCTTAGGAATGGTCAAGAACTGCATTAAACGGCTTGAAAATGCCAAATGAGCTTGAAATTAAGCAAATCTTGGGGTGAAATGGGCTTGTTATTGTTGTTGGTTTGGGGAGAGCGAAGTAAATGGGGGTGGGTTTACAGATCCCAAAAAATCCATTAAAATACCTGTATTTTTGGCTCCCCCCCCCCTCCTCCAAAGAAAAAAGCTCTAGCAACGTCCCTAACCCTACCCATGCCCAAGAAATTCCAAAACTATTCAAATTTAACCAAAAAACCCCAAAAACCTATTAGTCACCTTGAACACCATCATCCCCAAGCATCAAATCCGTCGTTTATACCAACATGATTATGCAACAACTGTCACTGACCAACTCATCATGAATAATATACATAAATCTCGAACGTTTTTGTCGCGCCCGCTTTTTTCGGTATTCGCGAGTGAGTGAAAGGGAAAAGGAATAGAGATAGAGGGAGAAAGAGAAAAGGAGAATATTGGCGAAGCGCACGCAACTTCCATAATCAAAATATCAAAATATTGGATTTTTTGATCTTTAAATTGGTGATCAAGAAAGAAAATCGAGATTTTTGATTAAGAAAGACAAGTTGTGCCTAGAAATTGACCTTAAAAAGGCTTTGAAGCTACTTTTGATACCTTGAAAACATCAAAAATTTAGAAAAATAGCATTTTTCGAAAAGCCTAACGAAAAAATCATATATTTCTAGTCATTTTTCAATATTCTAAAGCCAAAACGCTTCAAAAACTGAAAGTATTACCTAAAAAAGAGAGTAAGATTACCCTAAAAAGCGATCGGCTTTCGCATGAATCACCAAGGTAATTTATCTTGATTATCTTTGTAGACACGACAAACTTAAAAATGAATCACTCTTTACTTGATATGGCTATAGGGTCTTTATATCAAAATAGAGACCCTATAACAAGTTATAGGGTGAAATGCAAGCATAGTTTTTTGAGAAATTTGAATTTTAAAAACGACTCTTTTAAATTTTAGGAAAGCAATAATTTACAAATTTTTGACTAGTGATATTGTTTGCACCAAGCTGTAAAATCAAACTTGATCCAAAAAAAACCATTAGTCCGAAAACTAAAAAACTTTATTCTCCTACAAATTTAAAAACTAATTTTAAAATTCAAATTTCTCAAAAAACCATGCAAGTCATAAGGTCTCTATTTTGATATAAAGATCCCATAGCCATATCAAGTAAATAAATGATTCATTTTTAAGTTTGTCGTGTCTACAAAGACAATCAAGATAAATTACCTTGGTGATTCATGCGAAAGCCGATCGCTTTTTAGGGTAATCTTACTCGCCTTTTTTAGGTAAGATTTTCAGTTTTTGAAGTGTTCTGGCTTTAAAATATTGATACATGACAAGAAAGATATGATTTTCTGGTTTATGCTTTTGAAAAATGTAATTTTTCTAAATTTTAGAAGCGCCAAAACGAAACAAAATTTTATAGATCAAATCAGCTAATATAAAAACCTCTCAAATGACTATAACTTCTCCTTGTTTGACTGCCTCAACCTTGACCAAAAACCCGGCGCCCGAGCCCAAAACCCCACCTTGATCCGGCTTAAAATTGCGTTATTTGCCCTGCAGCTTTTCCGAAAATTTCACCCCTCTTTCCATCAAAAAATGTGAATTTGAAGCGCGCGCGGTCACTACGCCAGAATTACCCCATAAAAGCAAAAATCGCGGAAAAAATCCCCCTGCCCCCCTCCTTCTAAAATGGTTTTGACAGCGTTCTTCGTCTCGCGAATCTCCATCATCATCATCATTTCCAGGGAGCGCTTTTCCGCTTTGCACAAACTCTTTCTGACTCGCCCAAATACCGTTCCTTCCGAGTTTTGATAAACAAATGTTGAGGACGAAAGAAAGACGAATTGTTTCTAATTTCAAAAAAATGAAAAAAGGCGTCGTTTTTGACCCTTTGGGCTTAACGTTAATTTTGTGACGAGGTCAGTTTTGGACAAAAAGTTTCGTTTGATATGGTCAATTTTGAAAAAGATGTAGAAAAAAGACATGAAACTCAGTATCCAAAGTCCAAAACAAGGCTAATGTGAGCCAAAATTCTGTCTGACAAACGGCTAAAAAAAGGCCAAACAATAATTCTCCATTAAAAATCTTGATCAAGATGACACAAAGCAAAAAAATTGTAATTTTTGTAACCGATTTCCTGTCTAAGTTTACTTGAACTAGCTAAGGATATAAAGCCGAAGACAATAGATAATAATGGTAATAAATTAGGCCTAATTTAAGCTGATAACACGATTTTTTTAAGTTTCAAATATAAAAATGCCAAGGCTGGCTTCAAAAAACAAGGCACAAAATGACAAAAAATAGTGGTCGAGCTGCCCAAAACAAGATGAATAGACTATAAAAGAGCTATGAGGATGTCTTGAAGTTAAGTTGATGTATTACATTACAAATAAAATACTCTTCAAATTTAAATAAGGTTAACTAGCTTGAGTTTCTTAAAATTTTTTGTACTTGAACCAGTGATCACCTACCAGTTCAAGTACAAAAACCTTAAAAAACCCAAACTTTCCACCCTTATCTCAACTCAAAACGAACTCTATTTGTAATGTATTCAAATACAACTTCCCTTCAAAACATCCTCATAGCTCTTTTATAGTCTATTCATCTTGTTTTGGCCAGCTCGACCACTATTTTTTGTCATTTTTAGGCCAGGCTTAGCGTTTTCTAAATATGAACGTTAAAAGTCTTGATATCAGCTTAAAGTACAGCCTAACTTAATATCAATATTATCAATTGTTATCCACTTTATCCCCTTTGTCAGGCTACGTAAATTGATATAGCCCCTTAGGTAAACCAAATTAACTGAAATCAAATAAATTACAAAAAATCGCGGCTCCCCCACCTAACCTAACATAATAAAGGTAGTAGAAATCCGCTGTTATTGCGACTATTTACGTTTCATGCCTTTGTCCACAAAACCGGCCTTACTTTTCAAATAAATTTATTTTTATTCCTTTATTCTTCCCCCTGACACCGACTGACCCTAAAACGACGTCTTTATACCCATGTTAATATAAGGTCCTTAAGAGGAAAGTGGGTTCGCCGGTTTCAAAAAAAAGAAGCAATAAGGATTAGGCTAAACTACAATGACCTTTCGTCCTTTTGTGCTTAAAACTAACTATAATTTTCAACGAATTTTGGGCTTGAAAACACATAAAAAGGTGAAATTGGTTGTAGGTATAGGGAAAAATAGTGGAAAACACCGAGATTTATGTTTGAAACCATATGAAATGATCCGTATATCAACGCCTATTCTATTAAACTTATTGTAAACCTAATTATCACCCTTGAAACACAGAATGACGTATTTTACAAGCTTCAAAACATTCAAATCTTAAAATTGGTAATACCTGCTGATGAATTTACTAAAACAGCAAAAATTTAACTGAAACACAATGTAAAACAAACTGTAAATCCAAGCCTGTTAAAATGCGCATATTTTAAGCCAAAATTCTACCTATTCATCCGTCGTTGCGCAGAGTTACACGTTATATTACATTTGACATCATATAACCCAAAAATAATCCAAAACAAAGAAATACTGCAAAAACAGCAAACAATTTTAAAAACAAAGTAAAATACAAATGTATATCCAAATATACACAAATTTCAACATTCATCCCCTAAAAACTTCATGTCCTATATTAACCATGCCAAAATATTAGTTAAAATAGTGAAAGCCCCTAAAACTCCCTTAAATTCACAAAATTTTAAATCTAAAAAACAATTAAAACACAAAATCTACGCAAACAACATAAAATAACACTAATTAGCACTAATTTGATTAGTTTCGTCCCAAATTTGCCAAAGTGGTCAGAACAGAGAGAAACTTGACGTAAACATAAATTTGCGACAAGTGTCCGTCCGTAAAATGAAATAAAAGCAGGCTGCAGCTAGGGGGCGCTAGTCGCAACAAAAATTATTTTATTTTTTATTTTTTGGGGCCAAAAATGAGGTAAAATCAGAGCTTTTTAGACAAAATCTTGCTTGAGAATTCGGAATTTGTATTTTTGAAATATTATTCGTGATAGTTTTGATATTTTATATAAGTTTTTTGTTTATATTGTATATGATTTATATTAAAAGCAATTATTTCTAGATGCTCGGAAGATTTTCCTTGCCAACCGAAACTCTGTCTTCAGAGTTAAACGGCCATGATGTATTCAAAAAACGAGTCAAAGTTGTATATTACAACCGCAACAGATACGGAAGGATCAGAAAGGTATGTCATGGTTAATATTGTGTTTTATGTTTAGCAAATCCTCGAAAAATATGTGAGAAATGATGCACATTGTGGGTTGATGTCTTGTACTTGCAATGGAGGTGCATTGGAGACAAAAAAGCTTGATCCTGTTACGAATCTTGTTCAGAACAAGGTGATGAACTTGTCGCATGTTGTTATTGTAGATTCTCAAGTTTTGTTCAAGTTCCTGGACATTTTTGTTGAGGGAAAGGTTCCGTGAGTTTATTAAATTGTTTTTCCTTGATTTTAGATATTATTTTGATCAATTTTGTATGTGATTTTGAGTTTTATAAGCTGATATAGATCAAGGCGTTGGTTTTATCTAAATTTTGGTCAAATGCTTCAAAGAAACTGTTGTTTTTGCTGAAGGGTTAGAGAAACAACTTTTTAAGGTGTTAAATATAATGATACATTTTTCAGGAACGTTATAATTCCGTATTCCGCTTGGAGAACGATAAAACAAAGGAATCGGAAGGTGTTCAGTGCTTTACAAGACTTGTATGGAACTGTTAACGACAATTTCTATCTGTTTGACAATGAATTTTTTATCGAAACTTTGCCAGAGGGTCCTTTGAGTCAGTCTGATGGGTAAGAATGCCTCTAACTTCATCTTAATTGCGCCTTTTGTAAAATTATGTTGGATTTCCTTTTTTTAGTGAAACAATTTTGATTGGAAAGATGGCCAACTATTTGTTGGAACATTGGAGACAGTTTAAGGTGGTGCCGATTGTTTTAACGATGGATGATACTTCTTTGGATCAAGTAATGGTCTACTACAAGTATTCTACAACGTTTTTGAATTATGTCAAAGGTAAGACTTGTTTATTGTTTAAGTAACTTAACAAAACTTTCAATACTTATTCATAGGTACTTGTTTTATCTTATTTAAAGTTTTATGGACTGTGTAAAGGCTTGTAGTTGAATGGAAGGTTAATTTTGTATCAAAACATTGAATTTCATTCAGGTTTTTGATGTTGTAGTAGGGCATTGAGTTACTTTTGTCGTTTTTCATAGTTTGTTCTGGGTTTTCAAGGCTTTTTCTCGGTTTTCATGGTGTTTTCTTTCTTGTTGATATCTTCTTTGTCGATGGAAAGCAGGTTTTTGATATTTTGTAGCTCTTTCTTTTCATTATCATTCAATTGCTTATCATTATTTTCATCTTTTAGTTCGATGCACATACATCGTCTATACGATATGTCGGTATTGTTGCTAGTTGTAGCGTTGAGTTCAGTTAAGGTCGTCACATTAGAAGCTTGATATGAGGTATTGAAGGCCTTGTCATCGCAAATTTGACATGAAGCGTTAAAGCTTGGGTTGTCGAATGGTGGACATGAGAGATTCAAGTTTTTGTCATCACAACTTTGATATGGATTATTAAAAACAGTCTCGTTAAAACCCGGAACATCTTGACATTTCAAATCACTCATTTCAACCATTTCCGTACCGTTCTGTGAACAGAGCGGCATACAATAACAATCACAATGGGCATCCTCATCTCGAGGACAACAATGTGAACAGCAAAAAATGAAACAACTGGGCTTATTCTTTCCAACACTAACCGGTAAATTAACCTCCATATTGCGGGTCATAACATCAATTGTGTACATGAGGTTGATTTTCATCAAACAAAGGGGTATTGAACATATTATACATAATGGTAGAGATATTAAGAGTATTAATGCCACAATAGGGCTGAATGATGACTTGATGCGACTAGTTTTGTTGATCTTTTTGAGTATGATAGGCTTGGCTTTGTGGTAGAATGTTAGGAATTTTTGGTAGGATTGTAGGGTCTTCTTCTTCTCTTTTGGGTTTAGGTAACATTGCTCGGTTACTGGGGATACGTTGGTATCAATTATGTTTATTACTTGCTGAAATTGAAAAGATTAGGTATAGTTGAACTTTTTCAAATACTTCTGTGCCTCTTAAGCACGGGTATTTGCGTTGAGAACGGGCACAGAATTATTTGCAAAACTTAATATTAAAAGGTAATCTCACCTGAATCTGACTAAATTTTCGGTCAACTTCCTTGAAATTCAAGTGTTTTTTCATCTGTAATCTGTTGATTTCGATGGTACACCAGTCGATTAATACTTGAGCGTTTATCATCTCCTCAGGGCCTTTAAAATTCAAATAGATGTCTTTGAATTCAAGTGGAGATAAGTTGGCAGAAGATTGATTCATAATAATGTTGTCTAACACTACCGTCGGATAACGACGAGTTAGCAGTAGGAGACGGAAGAACCTTAAAGTATTGAGTTTATGGCTTGAAAATGATATTATAAGGTTTGCATAGCCTGATGAGAACAATACCATGAAGGAAAATGTTTAAGACAAGTTTTGGCTTACTTGATAACAGGTTGAAACAGTTTCACAATAGGTCGAGATAAGTATTCAGCTAAGTATTGGAAGCTGAAATATTGATTTTAAAATGATTTTTGTCTAATTTTTCACTTACGCGTAGAAACACTGAACACAACAACAAAAACAAATCGAAATTCCAGTATAACATAAGCAGTTTGATACTCTGAAAGATTTTTTATAGACTTGACATAATACAACTAAAAAATGTTGAATTCTTTAGCTTATAACACGTTGACATACGTTCTACCAATGCAAGTGTCGTAGTAAACCCAGGTAAAGCAGTTGGTTATCGAAAAGTAGCTAAAAATAAAAAAATATATATCAACAACCTTTACAAGACTATAATAATGAAGCAAACACTAACTTTAAATATCTTATTCAAAGATTATTAGAATTTTGCCTAAACAATCATAACTTACCACTGTCCAAAACAAGTCACTACAGACTGGAAAAACCTTGTGAGACGTGAATTTCGTGTTCTACACATACAACAACGACATTTTTTACGTTGTGTTACAGGAACGTTAGTACAAGTCTTTGGTGGCTTTTTGTCACTTCTAACAGACTTTAATTCTTGTTTACAGTGAGATTTTCTATGTTCAGTAGACGCAAAAATTGATTTTTTTGTATCGTCAAACTTGACAGTTTGTCTTGTATCAATCTGTAGCGTTGATGAATAACCAGGCTCACTTTTGCGTCGTTTCAAAGTACTGTAACTGGGCGTATACCGGTATATAGAAGGAGGTAAAGTTGTTGGTGAATAAGGCACATAAAGTTGAGAACTGTTGTCGGTAAAACGAAAAATGTCGCTTTGAGTAGAGGGAGAAAAATTACTTTTAATATGACTAGAATTAAATTCTTTGTTCATTTATTAATTTTAAAGTCAAAATGAACATAAATAAGGAAAAAATGGTAGAAATGAAGTTAATATCAAGCTGTCTGATCGGAAAATTTATTTTATTAATTTTGAAGTTGACATAGACATGTTTTTTTTGGAAGCTATAATTGATACGAAAGACCAATCTGGTTAATTTTTGCTGGCTTTTTTTGGAAATATTTTAGATAAACCAAATTTAAAAACTGAAGAGATATTTTCAGAAAGTATACCTTAACTTGCAATTAAAAAATAAAAATTTTGATCAGATAGTTTATTATTAACATTTTTCTGTGAGACAACTAGATATTAACATGATTTCCATCATTTTATCCCTATTTACCTGTGTTTTGGCTTTAAAATTATTAAATGAACACAGAACTTATCTCAAATCATATTACTTCCACTCAATGTAACTTATCTCATTCTACTCAAAAGTGGCATTTTTTGTTTTACCAAAGATAAAACGTCTCAATTTTCTGTGCCTTATTCACCAACTACTTTACCTCCTTCTATCTACCGGCATACGCCCAGTTACAGTACTTTAAAACGACGGAAAAGTGTGCCTGGTTATGCATCAATACTACGGTTTGATACAAGACAATCTGTCAGGTTTTACGGTACAAAAAAATCAACTTTTGCTTCGACTGAACATACAAAATTTCAGCGTGAACAATTAAAGCGTGTTAGAAGTGCGAAAAAGCTATCAAAGGCTTGTAATAAGGCTCCTGTGACACAACCTGAAACATTTTGTTGTTGTATGTTTAGAGTAAGAAATTCTTGTCTCACAAATTTGTTCATGTCTGTAGAGACTTTTTTTGGACAGTGGTAAGTTATGATTGCACAAACACAGGTTTGATCTTCTTCGAATAAGCTATTCAGGCTATTATTTGCTTAGAAATAAACTTTATGAGTTATAAATAGGTTTTAAATTAAATCTTATAATCTTAAAAATTTACTGTGAACTAATACAAACCTACCTTCCAGGGTTTCCCAAATCAGATGAAAAGAAACTACTGGTTCAGCGAGTCAAAGAGCTTGGTAAAGTCGAGGAGAAGGGCGGTAAAAACCCACATTACCCCTATTACATGGGTGAACGTGAATTGGACGCCGCCGTACGAGATGGTACCGTTCGTGTCGGCAAATTTACTGTGACAATGGAGAATCGACAAGAAGCCTACGTCCAAGTCAACGACAATCTAAAAGTTTTGGTGCACGGAGTATTGAACATGAACCGTGCTATCACAGGAGATACTGTGGCTGTGTACGTGTTTCCCGAATCCAAATGGCGTGCTCCAGAAGGCCGTTATCGTACACAAGACGAGGATGAAGAGAAGAAAGAAGAGTTTGTTAATGATGAAGAGCAGGAGAACAAAAAGAAGGAGAATGTGGTACCGACCGGTCGAATCGTGAATATTGTGAAGAGGCAGTTGAAACATTACTGTGGTATTTTGGAGCCTCCGACGGTTAAAAGTAAGGAAATAGGGAGAGAACTCTGTTTATATAATAGAAAATGGCAAGAACTTTCTTTACAAAATCAAAAAATGGCAAGAACTTTCTTTACAAAACATTAAATGGCAAGAACTTTCTTTAAAAAGCAAAAAATGGAAAGAACTTTCTTTACAAAACGAAAAAAGCCGAAAGTAACAAAAATATTGTTTTAGATGGCAGTAGATGCCTCTTCCGACCAGCCGATCGTCGTATGCCATTGGTAATCATTGATACCCGCGCCTATGAAATGGCAGTTGGAAAGAAAGTTCTTGCATCAATAGTAAGATGGCCAGCCGACTCATGGCTACCTCAAGGATCGCTTGTCCGAGTGATTGGTCAAGTCGGTGACAAAGATGTTGAGAATGAAGTCATCCTTCTCGAGCACGATGTCAGATTCCGCGAGTTCACGGAGGAGGAACGTTCCGAACTACCACCAGCCGAGTGGAAACCAGCCTCACCGCTAGAGGCGTACAGAAGAGATCTGACTTATCTTGATGTATGCTCAGTGGATCCGGTTGGTTGTACTGATATTGATGATGCTCTACACTTCCGAGAGATCAGTAAGGGAAGATATGAAGTTGGAGTGCATATTGCTGATGTCAGTCATTTTGTCAGGGCTGGATGCCCATTGGATTTGGAGGCTAGTCGAAGATGCACTACGGTAAGGAGGGGTGAAGAGTTGGGGGTCCGGTGGGGTAGGGAGGGTTGTGTAGAGTAAGATAGCTTAAGGCAGAATGAGGTAGAATTGGTATGATAGGTCAGGGAGTAAGGTGGATGGGTAAAGGGTAAAGAATGATAAGGAAAGGTACTTTCTTTAGGGAAAAAAAGCAAGTTTTTTGTTCATACCGCAAGAACTTTCTTTCTAAAAGTCTTTTTTTTGAAAAACCGCAAGAACTTTTTTTTACAAAATTTATTTTTTGAAAAACCGCAATAACTTTCTTTACATTCTCTAACTTTTAAGTTTTCTAAATTTCAATGGTATAATAATATTGTTATAGGTATACCTATGTGGTCGCAGAATCGACATGCTGCCAGAGCGTTTGTCTTCCTTCTTGTGCTCATTGAGAGAACACGAACTTCGCTACGCATTCTCGGTCATTTGGGAGCTGGACGAAAAAGCCGAAATTCAAAATGTTCAATTCACAAAATCACTGATAAAATCGAGAAGGGCCTTCACCTACGAACAGGCGCAGAACCTGGTGGATTTGAAGGAGGATGTAAGGATTTTTAGTGGGAATGGCAATTCTAAATGCCATTTTTTAACTTCGAAAAAAAAATTTTTGATTTATTGAAAAATGGCAATAACTTTCTTTAGAAACCTAAAAATGGCAAGAACTTTCTTTACAAAACAGAAAATGGCAAGAACTTTCTTTACAGAACTCATTTTTTGAAAAACCGCAATAACTTTCTTTACAACTTTTTTTTATTACCGAATTCCCAGGATCGTATTTTACAAAATCTTTTCAGAACTCAGTCTTAGCCAAATCTCTCCGCGGCCTAATGAAATTGTCCAAGATAATGAGAGAACGCCGACGCCAACGAGGCTCATTAACTTTGGCATCGATGGAGATTCGCTTCGATTTCGACGAAAAAACCGGAAATCCAGTTGGCGTGTCGGCCAAGAAATCCTTGGACACAATGTCAATGGTTGAGGAATTCATGTTATTGGCCAATGTGTCGGTGGCCGAACGCATCTTGAGCGAATATCCAGGAGCAGCGATGTTGAGAAGACATCCTGTACCGAATCAAGAAGCCTTCCTACCGCTCATTGAGGCCGCTAAGGAAATGGGTTTTGAAATTAAGGTGAGGAGAGGGGTTTTGGAGCGGAAACGGGGTTTTGGGAAGAGGGGGTTGAGAAAGAAGGGCAGGGCGAAATGGAAGAAGGGGTGGTTCTTTAAAAATTAAGGTGAGGAGAGGGGGTTTGGGAAGAGGAGGGGGAGGGATAAGGCAAACTAGAAAAGGGATGGTTTTTGAAAACGAGGTAAGGAGAGGGTTTTAGAGAAAAGGGAGGGGTAGGGTAGGATAAAATGAAAGAAGGGGTGGTTCCTTAAATTTTTCACAAAAATTTCAAGAACTTTCTTTTCAAAACACAAAATGGTAAGAACTTTCTTTACAAAACAAAAAATGGCAAGAACTTTTTTTACAAAACATGAAATGGCAAGAACTTTCTTTACAAAACAAAAAATGGCAAGAACTTTCTTTAAAAGCTTTAAAATTACTTAAAAAATGTCATTTTATACCTAATCCTCTCTTTACTTTCAGACCGACAACAATATTCTCCTAGCCGAATCCCTGGACAGAGCCGTCGACCCAAACAATCCAAAGGCCAATCAAATGTTGCGAATGATGGCCACAAGATGTATGACTCAAGCCTTGTACTTCCCCGCAGGAACAGTACCAACCGACCACTACAGACATTATGGTCTCGCCATACCCATATACACTCACTTCACATCACCAATTCGAAGATACGCCGATGTTGTTGTACATAGACAGTTGGCTACACTGCTTGGTGTATTCAAGAACACTGAAATGCCAAAAATGTTTAGTCGTGCGGCGTTGGTGTTCTTGAGTGATGAAATGAACAGAAAGTGAGTGGGAGGGGTAGAAATAAGGGTTTATGAGATGGGGTGGGGTCGTTAAGATACAAAAGGTAAAGGCTTTCTTTGGGGTTCAAGTGGTGTCTTCTGGGGAGGGGGTAGAGAAAAAATGAGTTTTGGAAAGAAAGTTCTTGCGGTTTTTTTGAAAAATGGGTTTTGTAAAGAAAGTTCTTGCGGTTTTTTTGAAAAATGGGTTTTGTAAAGAAAGTTTTTGTGGTTTTTTGAAAAATGAGTTTTGTAAAGAAAGTTCTTGCGGTTTTTCAAAAAAAAAAGATTTGTAAAGAAAGCTCTTGCGGTTTTTTGAAGAATGGGTTTTGTAAAGAAAGTTCATGCGGTTTTTTAAAAAATTATTTTGGGAAAACAGCTTTTGCATTTTGATGAAAAAATTTTTAATTTTGCTTTAAATTTTTAAAAATGAAGTTTATTCGTTTCAGGAACCGCTTAGCACAACGAGCAAACCGAGCTAGTGTCGTGCTGAACACTCAATTCCTGTTGAACAGCAAACCAGCTGAAGACGATGGATTTGTGACTCAATTGAAGGAAAATGGCGTTTTGGTGAGTTTAAAATGGCATTTTTTTGACTAAAATGGAAAAATTAAAAAACCACTCGATTTTTTTTTGAAAATTTTTTACCACGCCTTTAAATTTTTTTGTTTTTTTTCTGTATCCAATGCCCTACCTTCTCTCAAATTAAAACCTTCAATTTCAGGTAGTAGTACCGAAGTATGGTGTGGATTCAGTGGTCGAATTTCCTCTAAATTGCACCGTGAAACTGTCATTATTCCAGAAGGTTCGAGTTCGCTTATCAGTGGAAGAGAATAATCAAAGACGCTTTTTGAGAATGCAAATAATCGACCCTGAACTGACAGAAGGCTCTGGGGATGCTGAACCTACGGAGAGCTTCATGGATTAATACTAATTTACAGTATGAGCAAATCTTGGGGTTTGAGGGGCACTTATAGTACCGAAGGATTAATGGAGAACTTGATGGCTCAAAATTTTGTGAAAATGGTTTAAAATATTGAAAGATATATAAGTAGTGATAGTTACGGTTGTTTCTAATTATATATTTTTAGATATTTGTTGTGTTTTTGATGTTCTTTTAATTTTTTGTTTTGAAATTTGTTACTAATTGTTATATTATAAATGAACCTTTGTTGTTGAATAAACTTTACTTGTTATTGAATTTTTAAATATTTCTTTTTATTTTAAGTTGGTAATTTATGCCATTTTCTTCTTGTAAAGAAAGTTTTAGAATTTTCTTATTTGTTTCAAACGTTGAATTACAGTAACCTCTTTAGCAAGACCCTTGATAGTATGACGCCTTTTTTATAAAGACATCTTTTAAAAGGAAGCAACGGCAAGGTTGGACACAGTTCAACGTGTTATGTACTGAGCTTACGGCCAGGTTGGACACAGTTCAAGGTGTCTTTTACTGAGTAGGGCACGGAAAGACGTCAATGCCCAGCCCTGTTCAAGCTAGGGCAACATACTAAAACGAGGGATGAGTATCCTGAAGATCACGGACGTTGCTTGGTGGACTCTCCAAAGCTGATACAAAAAAGGAACAGGTTGGTGATTGTAGTTGTTTTTGAAACGTTTGTCAAAACGTATAGCTACAGGGTTAGATGACAATAAGACAGGGTAATATGAAAATGAATTTTTGAGTTTTGAACTATTGTAGCTTGCAGGACGGTTGACAAAATTTTTTAAACAAGCTGATGTGTTTGGTCGTATTATAAGTAAAAAAGCTTTACGTTTTGTTATCATGACTAACATTTTCTTATACTACTTCATTTTTGATGATTTTTTGAAAATTTGCTTTGAGAGGGGACGCAGAATTAAGTAGGTGAAAGTATTAATTTATGAGCTTTTTATTTATCAAAACCTCAAGATCTTCGTGGCTTCATACTATATAATAGGCTTTGTATACTTTCTCTGTTGCACTGTAGATTGTTCTTTATTCATGCTATACAGTCGATCGTTCTTCCGACAAAAACGCTTTTTTCCCATTTTTTATTTGATTTTTCTTTGCTTTTTTCACTTTTCTCTCCTTCTCTTCTACCTTAAGATTCCAAGCATTACTCAGCTGTTGAAAATATTCATCAGCTTGATGTTGACCATCAGCCCTATCAATAGGCTTAATCGTATTGGCCACATTCTGTGGCAATTTGAAGATCCATCTGATATGGTTTCGAAGTCGCTTCTTCATCGGTCGAAATCGGACGAAAAAGTACAGTACAAAGTAAATACCATAGAAGTCGGCCAACATGTACAGTAGCTGGAATGTCATCTGAACATCGAATGAGTTTTGCTCGGTACTTATGATGGTGTAGATACTGTAGAAGGAGAAACCACTCCCGATTAGAATCATCACTCCGTAGCCGGCTACGGCTGGTAGAAGCACCCTGAGGGTTTCGTTGCTTTCGCTGAATTGATATCGAATGGCAAAGTTTTGGTAGTTGGCTATCATGGCTTTGTTGTGATGGTATACGTAGTATAACATCTAGAAGAGTATGGTTTAGGATGGCAGTTAGGTTAATATACGGTAAGGGAGAAGAGAAGGGGGTGGGGGTTATAGTCAAAAAAGAAAAAACGGTGGATAACAAAAGGTACGGCGTGGTAAAATGCGGTGGGGTAGGGTAAAAAGTTAGGGTGGGGCAAAAAAAAGTAAGGCAGGGTAAAAAGATATGGAGAAGTAAAAGTAGGTAGGACATGGTAAAATACGAAAGGTTCTTTACAAACTAACGTTTACTGTAAGCAGTAAGGTAAGAAAATTGAGGCATACCTTGGGGTACGGTATTAAGAAAACCCATACAATAGTGTAAGGATTACTCTAGGTCAAGGCACAGTGGGGAGTAAGGCAAGTAATACTGTAGAGTAAAGCATACTGTAGGCAGAGGGGCAGGGCAGGGTAAGGAATATGGCAGGTTAGGGCTTGCTGTACAGGAAAACCTATATACTGTCAAGTAAGGCATATCGTAGGGTAGGGTAGGGCAGGGCAGGGCAGGGCAGGGCAGGGCAGGGCAGGGCAGGGCAGGGTAGGGTAAGGCAAGGCAAGCCAAGGTAGGGTTTAATAAGTTATACTGCAGGGCAGGGCTTACTTTACGGTAAAACCTACTGTTATGTAAGGCATATCGCAACATAGAGCAAGGCACGCAAAGCAGGGTAAGATAGGACTAGATGTAGCAAAGACTTTTCTTACCAAAGTGCCAACCACAAATGTCACAGCCGCAAAACACCAGCACAAGGGTAATATAAGTGGATGTGTGTACAAGTTTTGGCATGAAGTTTCAGTTCTGAGCAAGTCAAAGGTTTCGGCCACAAAAATGTCATATAACAATGTTGATAATGAGAAAAAAGAGCCGAACAGTACCTAAAATTAAAAAAAATTTTTTTTGAAATTGCTTAAAATTGAAAAAACATTGAAAATAAAGCCGTATTTTACAAAAAACCATAAAACTCTTACCACATAGATCAGCATGACGCTGCCAATATAGCCATTAGCATCAACTTTGCCTTTTCGATATACCATGGTAATTACTCTTTCAATTCCAATCAGTACCATTGATGTACATGATGTTACTAGAGCTGTATCTGTGACAATTTTAAAAAATACGCAAATTAAGTTTGTCATGATTATTGGTTTGTCATCGAGAATTTTAGAATTTACAGTTTCACCAATTCGACCAATCGCTATTACTGAGTATTGTGAGGAGATTGTTATCTAAAATTGTGTACTGTTTCAGTATTGGTACTAATATTGACACTTACCCTACCCTACCCTACCCTACTCTACCCTACCCTACCGTACCCTACCCTATCCTGCCCTACTCTACTATCCTATCGTGCCCTTCAATACCATTCCCTACAACACCCTGTCTTATCGTACTCTACCTTAGAAATACCTTACAATCCCCTACAACAACCTTTTCTAGACCTAGACATAGCCCTACCTTATGTTACAGTAACCCTTTGTGCCCTACTCTAGCACCACAATTCTCTCTATTCTACCCATACTTTGACCTTGCTTTATACGGACACGTTTTATCTTATAAGATGATCAGCGCAGCCTGCGCGATCCGAAAACCCTCAACTTATTCCCCTACACGAGCCTTTTGCTGACCCTACCTTAACTTACTTTATATGACCACTTCGTGGTCCTACTGTGCTTCTTGACCTCTTTCTTACTAATACTTAGTACTATTAATAGTGAGACTTATACTATTTCAAATTTCTAAACAAAACCACTTACGACGAGGATTTTCATGTTAGGATGCATGAGAGAAGTCTTCCAAATGCCATAGTTGAAGTACAGATTGACAAACAAGTGTAATATGTTGCCAATGTACTGAATTAATGTTAAATTTTCGGTAAATTGGTGGATTTTCCATTGGCTGAAGGCTGACAAATTTTGAAAATTTATACCTAAAATTGTAACAATTATTTAAAATGCAGTAACCCATTGTATTAAAGGACAAAGTAGGGTAGATAAACAGTTAAAAAATAGTTTTAATGGACTTACCATCTATGACAATATCCATAGTATTTAAATCTAGGTTTAACAGAAAAATACTGTTAGTTTAGTATGGGCAGTACCGTACTGAATAGTACTAGATAAAAATAATACAGTAGTAAAAGCTAAGTATAGAGTCACAGTATCTAATGTTCGAAAAAGCGGCCGAAACTAAGTTACAGTAACCACTCAATGTTTTGCCTTTTTGAAGTTTTACCCACCCTCTAATTGAAATGAGTTTAAGTATGTTGACACACCTATCGCAAGGCAATTACCCGACTTTACTGCAGTAACAGATTAACGTATTAACATCTGAAATTGCTGAAGATCGTATGAATAGAATAATCTCTTCTCTCCTTTTTTTTGGTTTTTAGTTAATAATTTGGGTTTTCAAACAATTTTTGAAAAGCTCCTACTTTTTTATTGAAAATTAGGTAAATAATACAGAGAAGGGTACAAAAACAGGGCATGGTAGAATAAGGTAGGACAGGGTAAAATAAGATAGGACAGGGTAAAACAAGGTATGGCAGGGTAAAAAAAAGTAGGGAATTGTAACATAAGGTAGGATAAAGCAGAATATGGTAGGGTAGAGTAATTTATTGCAATTTTAAGCAGGGTAGGGTAGGGTAGGGTAGAGCGACATATGACAGCTCTGTCTGCAAGAACGGTTTACTGTAATCCCATTATATTAAGACTGCCTGCGTAATCACATTATGCATCTTCTTCAGCTAATACAAGTATTTTTATTGCTTACCTCACAAGCACCGTAATCTGAGTGTAATACCTACACCCACAAGGGATAATCCACTTTTACTTGTTTGGAAATTTCAAGAAATTTGACAGTATAAAAGGTTATTTTGGTATTTCAACATTTATTATATCAAACATGAGAGAAAGATAACAAAAGTTACATTACTTTTTATGAAGAAAAACGTAGTACTATGGCCGCTTTAATGCGCTTTTACATTAGTTATGCGGTTGGCAAAGCCGTATTATGTATAGTACTCTCACAGTACGATATTCAAGAACGTATATAGTACTCACACAGTACAATATTCAGAATCATATATAGTACTCTCACATTACGATACTTAGAATCATATATAGTACTGTCACAGTACGATACTCAGAATCATATATAGTAGTCTTACAGTACGATAACAAATGTACAACGGTTGCCCAAGCCGTATATACAGTACTCTCATAGTACGATAGTAATAACATACTATCACAACACTCCCACAGTACGTACACGGTTGATCAGACCGTACACTAGCACTCCCACAGTACTCAAACGGTTAATCACTCCGATATAATAGCACTCCCACAGCGCTAAATGCATTCGCATCGTAACAGCACGTACCCGCCTATACAAATGCGCATGCTCGACTATATAACTGCACAATTCACTTTTACACGCACGTATAAATGCATGAAAAAAGCTCGTAACAGCATCGACAAACCAAGGTTTATAATTGCGAGGCATGCCCCGATCTCGTATTCGTACTGACAAAAGCCTATAGACGCTATTGCGCTTCGACAAAACTATCGAACTCGACGAACAAACCTAGTATAATTCGGTTTTCGCGTCTTCTTCTTTCACGAAATGCGTAAAATTGGGATTCCGCAGTAAAGATCTAAAACATATTATTTTTCTATGTTTTTTAATTTAGCCACCTCCCGCCAGTTGCGCAATGTTAACATTGGTTTTTGAATTTTTGTGCGGAAAAAAGAACGCGGTCAGAATGAAAAAGCGTGCCATTTGTCATTTTTGAGGGTTGCAGAGCGGTTGTGTTTTATTTTTATGAGATATACGGCTTGGGCAACCGTTATATCCTCAACGTGCTATATAGTACGAGTGGTAGTGACAGTACGAATACAGAACGAAAGTCAGAATATGTGTCAGACATACCCTCAAAATAACATTTTTAATGAGATACACGGCTTGGGCAACCGTTATATACTCAACATACTATATAGTACGAAAGTTAGTGACAGTACGAGTATAAAGTACTACTGAGTACAGTAGAACGAAAGTTGAAATATATGTCAGAAATGCTTTCAAAATGACATTCTTTATGAGATATACGGCTTGGGCAACCGTTATATTCTCAACGTACTATATATTACGAAAGGTAGTGACAGTACGATACAGAACGAAATTTAGAATATATGTCAGAAATACTCTCAAAATGACATTTTTAATGAGATATACGGCTTGAGCAACCGTTAAATACTCAATGTACTATATAGTAAGAATGGTAGTGACAGTACGATACAGAACGAAAGTCAAAATGTATGTCGGAAATACTCTCAAAATGACATTTTTTGTAAGGTATGAAGCTTGGGCAACCGTTATATACTCAACGTGCTACATAGTGCAAACTGTGGTAGTAACAGAACGATAGAACGAAAGTCAGAATATATGTCAGAAATACTCTCAAAATGACATTTTTAATGAGATATACGGCTTGAGCAACCGTTAAATACTCAATGTACTATATAGTACGAATAATGGTGACTGTACGAATATAGAACGAAAGTTAAACTTCTAAAGAATGAAATTTACGGCTTAGGTAACCGTTTTATACTCAATAGTACTAATTAGTACGACAGAGCGAAAGTCAAAATATTATATATCACTGTGGTAGTGACACTACTGATGCTAAATATTATTTAGTACGATTGGTAGTGACAGAATTGTTGAAAAATGAGATTTACGGCCTGTGAAACCGTTATATCCTCAACGTGCTATATAGTACGAGTGGTAGTGCTGGTACAATACAGAATGAAAGTCAATATATAAGTCAGAAATACCCTCAAAATGACATTTTTATGAGGTACGGCTTGAACAACCGGTATATACCCAATAGTACTATACAGTACGACCGGTAGAGACAGAATATTTTTAATGAAATATATGGCTGATGCAGTTGTAGTACTATTTTGTGCTTTTTTATGAAATACCTTTCTTTATTCTCAACAAGAAGCTTCGGTTTCGCACGGTGCGGCCGAACCAAATGCTTTGCTGCAGGCTGCGGGGTCGTTTTATGCCAATGTCAATATTAACTTTTGTTTTTTTCATTCAAAATTTAAATTTTTTTATGTTTATAATTACATCACCGTATTTTACACTTTTTATTGTAATAAAACTGTTTTCTCAGCGAGATCACAATGCACGTACATTGAGATATTATAGTTACACATACAACAATATAAAACACAACAAGAAAATTATTGTATAATATCAGATTGAGACGATATCTAAAATACGTGAAAAACCGTTTCTAACAATTCGAAATTTAAAACTTTGGGGGAGTTACACCGGTGTTGGTATTGAAAAGACCTAATATGTGTGTTATATGTGTTATGACTATGTAATGCTTTACTGTAAAGCATTTTTTGAGCAACTTGGACAAAACTTTTTGGCTTTTTTATGGTTTTTAGCTTTTTATTGGTTTGGAAATGGCACTGATTGAAGATTTTTGAAAACATTACTTATCGACCGGTCGAAAAGCACATTTTGTTTTCAAGGGTTATGGTGAATATAACTTGTTCTTTATAGCTTTACTAGCTTTTTTATGACTGAAAATGATTGTATTCGATTAGGAATGGCATTGCTTTAAATATTTTTTAAAAAATTACTTATCAACTGGTCGAAAAATTAATTTTAATTTTGAAGGTCAAGGATAATATAAATGATTTTTTATAGCATTAGTAGCTCTTTTGTTGACTAAAAATGTTTGTATTGGATTAAAAATGGCATAGGTAACACCAATTTATAAAAAAATTGTCGACTGGTCGAAAAAATAATTTTGATTTTGGTGACCATGGATAATATAAATGGTTCCTAGGAACCATTTATATTATCCTGGAATTCCTTACCTCTAAATGAAAACTATTTTTAAATCAAAAATGATTGCATCGTCTTAAAAATGACATTTTTAAAGTTTTTTGTTAAAAAAATTTTATCGAACAGTCGGTAATTAATTTTTAATTTTGGTAGTCATGGATAATATGAAAGCTTCGTTTTAGCCTTAAACCCTTAAAAACCGACAAAACCTATTTAGCAATAATAAAAAATCCTGTTTTTTACCTAAAAACCAAAATCCAACAAGTTTTGACCAAGTTGCTCAGCAGTATTTGTAAAAGTTTCAACCAAATTTGTATGACTAGAACAATATAATAGAGGTTTAACCGGTTATTGTTTGTATTTAGAAAGGTTGGATCTGCGGAATGGCTAGCCAAGATATTGGATTCCATTTCTGAATTTCAAGGTTTTTAAAATTTTTGGTTTTTAGGTACGAAATTCAATTTAAAATGTCATTTTTTGGGGATTTTAGGCCTAAAATAGGTTAAAAAATCAGTGTTCTGGTCATTTTTAAGCCTAAAATAGGCCTAAAACAAAAATTTTAAAAAGAATGTAATTCTGTTAAAACAATTCTTGCATGTGACAAAAAAACAAAATTTAGGTAACACTTTTGATACCTAAACTATTTAATTAAAGTTGACATAGCCAGCCATTCCGAAGACCACCGAAATGTGATTGTAATAGGTTCTATGAGCGTACTGTACATAGGTAACATAAAAATTAAAAAAAATTTTTAAAAAATTCAATTTGAGGTTATAGACATGTTACAGTATAGTAAATTGCTAGATACTTTGTAAAAAAACTGAGCTTGACTAAATTGAAATTTACAATATTGTTTCCATGGAGGTGGATTCTACAGTAACCCACAATGTCTAGGATTTTTTTCTTGATTTTTGGTCTACAGTAACCTATAGTACAGAAAATCTTAAGAATAGCTCTTATACTTAGATACTGTAGGCCAGGACCGCCTGTATAGCCAAGTACTGTAGGCCGGAACCTAGCCTCAAAGGTAGGTACTGTAGGCCGGAACCTAGCCTCAAAGGTAGGTACTGTAGACCAAAACCTAGCCTCAAAAGTAGGTACTGTAAACCAGAACCTAGCCTTTAGGATTGGTATTGTAGCCCAGAACCTAAGCTCGAAGATAGGTACTGTAGGCCAAAGCCTAGTCTCATAGATAGGTACTGTAGGCCAGTTCTTATACCTGGATACTGTAGAACAAAACCTAGCTTTCAAGATAGGCACTGTTGACCAAATATAAATACAGTAGCCCTGCCATCTCTAATCCAGAACCTAGTCGAAATATTGGTACTGTAGGCCAAAATCGAGCATTGAAGATAGGTACTGTATACTGTAAACCTAGCCTTAAAAACAGGTATTTTAGGCCAGAACCTAGTCTTGAATATAGGTACTGTAGGCCAAAACTCATCCCTAAAGACGCGTACTGTAGAACAAAACCTAGTCTCAAAGACAGATACCGCAGACAAATAAAATCTACAGTACCCAACCATCTCTCCACAGAATCACGTGAAACCACTTTTATTATGAAACTTGTGTTCCTCCTCCTCCTCTTCGTCTTCGTACCTCTCCAACTCGTCCTTGATCTGAGCACTGATCCTCGGCACGTAGTCGGCTAGCGGATCGGTCACATCGAACAACCCATAATCAACTTCGTACTCATTTCGTTTCGAATTCAGGTGTACCATCGGTGTGAACCGCCGGCCCCATTCGATTTCGAATGGCAGAAATGAGGTGCGGGCTTGGAAGGTGGCTCCAGTCGCCTCCACGATCCCTTCGACTGTCATTATGATCTCGAAGTCGTTCGACTCCATCTCTTCCGGTGTCATTCCGTATAGGGGCGAGTCCTCGTCGATTATGTGTCGGATGATTATTGGCCTGGAAATTGAAATTGATAAATAGCACCTTTGTAAAAGTAGGTTAAGTTAAATTAAACCTACCATAGCAGTAGGACCCGATCCCAACCACTATCGTATCCGACGTTCATATCGCGAAACCCGATCAGCTCTTTTGCACCGTGCTGAAATAGAAATATAAGTATAGTTATCACGAAAAAACCGCAATAACTTTCTTTACAAAACTCATTTTTTGAAAAACCGCAAAAACTTTATTTACAAAACCTTTTTTTCAAAAACCGCAACAACTTTCTTTACAAAACCTTTTTTTCAAAAACCGCAACAACTTTCTTTACAAAACTCATTTTTTGAAAAACCGCGAGAACTTTCTTTACAAAACCAATTTTTCCAAAAACCGCAAGAACTTTGTTTACAAAACCCATTTTTCAAAAAACCGCAAAGATTTTCTTTCCAAACCTACCGCATTTATCCTAGTTTTAGCCATATACATCCTAACATGAGACTCGGCCAGGTACAATTTCTGTTGAATGTCAGCTATCCTGACCATCAACGTGGGCCGCTGGTCGTCCTCATCGATCGGCCCAATCACTGCGTTCTGACTGAACCTCATCTCTTGTTTTCGCTTCTTCGGCCGCAAAACCTTGGCCACAACTATTCCCGCCAACATTGTTTGTAGTAGCAAGCCTACCACGATTTGTAAACTTAATATTATGAAGGCGGGTGGACAAATCTCGGTCATATACCGTGAGCCGTAGCCTATCGTTTGTTGAGATTCCAAACTGAAAATGAAAAATAAAATGATTGAATTTAAAATTTTAGCAAAAAATCTAAATTTATATTTCAAAATTTTGGCGAGAAATTCGAGATTACAAATTTAGGCGGAAAAATAAAAATTTAAAATGTTGGCTGGAAAATCAAAGTTTCAATTTAAAAAAATGCTTTAAAATCATAAAAGTGTCTCAAAAAGCAATTTCAGGAATTAAAAAGGCCTTTTAGGAACATATTTAATAATTTTGAACTAATTTGAGCTCTTGTTGCAGAATGCCAAATTTGGCGGGAAACTCGAAATTTCAAATATTTTTCTTTAATATCATAAAAGTATCTCGAAAAGCATTTTAAAGGACCAGTTCGCCCATTCAAATATCATTGGCATTCTGTCGCAAAAATTCGACGTTCATTTTTTTTGCAAAAAACCTGAGAAGGTCGGTCCCAAATTAGAAAAATCATTTCGACACCGACCCACTCACGTTTTTGTGAGAAAAATGATTCTGATTGAAATTGCCTGATTTTCGACGCTTTTTGCGACAGAATGCCAATGATATTTGAATGGGCGAACTGGTCCTTTAAGTAAGTAAAAAGGCATTTTAGAAACATATTTATTAATTTTCAACTATTTTCAGCCCTTGTTGCAGAATGCCAAATTTGGCGGGAAAAGGCAAATTCAAATTTTTCCTAACTAAAAACGGCCATTTTATATATGTATTTGGAAAAACTACATGAACTTTCTTTCTAAAACTCATTTTTCGAAAAGACACGAGAACTTTCTTTACAAAACCCATTTTTTTAAAAATCGCAAAAACTTTCTTTCCAAAATCAATTTGTCGTATACGTCTTTGTGTCATAGTAGTATAAGCTAAACATACCTAAACAAAAAAGCTCCAATAAAACTATGCACATTGGCAATGCACTGCTTATGTTCGGGTCGTCGCTGCAAATCCCCACTAAAGTGAACAATTAGGTAGTAAATCAGTCCAAAGAACAGCCATGATAAGACGAAACCGGCCGCGAACACGGATATCACACTGCGCCATGAGTATTCGATTAATAAGTGAAACCAGTTTCTGAAAATGACAATGATGCTTATATTATGACATGAAGTTTACACATAGTCGATGATATGGCAATGTAAAATTTAACTTTGACATTGCCATTCATCGTACACTTGTAAAAACAACATAAAGTGATCGTAATATGCACTAGAAACAGTAAGTGAAGTGCAGGACGACCAAAAGCTAACGTAGGGCTATGGATCATACAGTAGGACTTTTGTATAACAGTTTTATAGTAAAATACGACTTATATTAAAAGTTCTTTCAAGAAATTATAAAAGTTAAATTTTTTTCAACTTGACATGTTACACCATTAAAGACGTTTCGTCGTATAGCTCATCGTTGTATCAAAACTAAAGAAATAGAAAAAATGTTTTAAAGTAAGATACAGAGAGCCAAGAGTTGTTATACAGGAGTTCTACTTTAGATTTACAACTAAATAAAGTGTTACTTCTGGAAGCATGAGCATACCCTTCTTGTGCAACAAGGCCACCTTTTTACAATATCCAAAGCAACTAAAAATGAAGGAATGAGAGGTAAAAATGACTTTTTTTTATTAAATGTAAGCCCCACGTCGCTTTAAAATATTAGATAGTACCACAAGCAGAGTTCTTCCCGGACCGGATCGGACCCAATGCGAGAATCCGGAATTCGAATATTGTTTTCCCGCGCTGTTTTCCTACCGCTCGGATCGGTCTGAAACTTTTTCTACCCCCCCCCCTATTTGGAACGGTGCTGACCCTTCTGATTTATAAGCTGAAATTAAAAAACGTGACTTCTAAAATACGGGACATGAGCAACATTAGGGTGACTTACAAGAAAAATACCCTACCTGCTTGCTCAGAATCAGCTCTAAATTTTTATATGAATTCCTTGTACCACCAATTGTACCCGTAAAAAATTTTAGCTTGCGCTTTTGAGTTTTAAAATTAAATTATTTTGGTTTCCCGCTAATTTGGCAAATTTGGCATTGTGTTTCAAGCGCTTTTTTCGGCTTTCCAGACAAAATACGCTTACAAATTTAAAAATGTAGATCCATTAAAGTCTTTCTACTAGTATATAAAAAAAAATTATTAAAAGTCAAAAAATGACAAAGTTACAAGCTTGAAACACAATGCCAAGTTGGCGGGAATTCAAAATGTCATTTTTTAATCCCTATTTTCTCGAGATTTCCTGGAAAACGCGATTTGCTACTTTGCTGAAGAAATTATATTTACATGATCTTTCTATACCAAAAGTTTGAACGCAATCAGAGCGTAGCAAGTCTGACACTTTTCTTGTTAAAAAAAGACAAAAAGAGACTTCTAACGAAAATACAGGACTTATGAACAACATTAGGCTGACTGAACGTGTAACTGAAACAAGACAACATAAATTTGAACATAAAGTTATCAAACTCAAAAAAAGTCGTAGGCAAACCAAAATCAACCAAAAACGAGTGGGTGAGAGAACGTAAAAAAAGAACGAGCAAAGGGTCTGCTGAACTCTTACTGTTTCCAGAAGCAGACCCACCTGTACAAGCTCAGGTATGGGCTTTGGTTGTGGATGGGGCGTACCATGCATTCGCCGTTCTTGGCCACCAGCCGCGGCCATTCCGGCTTCTTCTGACCCTTGCCCAACTCAATCTCGCCCAACGATGGCCGGCGGGCAAACTTCTTCTGCTGCTCGGCCACATCCATGTTGGGGTGCATTGTGTTGGGCAGCGAGTTGCTCATCAAGTTGTTGTTCATCATCATCAAGCTGCCATTGTTATTGTTACTCAAGTTTGTTAATGTGGTCGTATTCGACTGTAGATTGAGCGGAGGGACGTGGTTGTGGGATCGTCGTGTTGAGTATGACAGGGAGTTGGAGTTGTTGTTGGTATCATTGGAATTGGTCGAGGTATTCAACAGGCTTTGGTGCGTGTCGTCGGTGTTTGTCAGGGAGGTCCGCGGACGGTGTGCTAAAATACGGTGAATTAACATAAAAATAAAAATTTTGAAGATATTTTTCTTCTATAGCTGAAGCGTTGTTATAAAATTATCATTTTTTCTTAAAATTTTTTGGATTTTTATTTTCCCGCCAAAATTGGCATTCTGCAACAAGTGATAATAAATGCTAAAAATAATTAAAATTTTCTTTTAATATTGTATTAAAAGTTAAAAAAGGCTAAAAAAGTAGTTTTCATTTAAAAATTTTAAATTTCAGTTTTACGCCAAAATTGGCATCCTGCAAAAAGTGTTTAAAATGCATAAAATAAGTAAAATATTACATTGTAAAATAGTTTAAAGTAAAAATATAGTAATTTTTGACCATTTCGTATGCTTTATCATTAAAATTTTAAATTTATTTTTGAAGTTTATTTTTCCCGCCAACTTTGGCTTTCTGCAACAAGTATTAAAAACACTTATAATAAACAAAATCTTACATTTTAAACACTTTAAAGTAAACATTTGACAACTTTAGTTTAAAAAAATAAAAAAAAGCCCTTCTTACCAATTAGTTTTCGGACCATGTTGGAGATGCAGACTTTCATGCCAATAATCGAAAGTCATACACCCTCAATTCATGTAAAACTAATTTATTTTATTGTCCAATCCCTATATAAGGTACATGTGACTGGTATTGTATGGATGCTTACAAAGTTTCTTTCAAATTAGATATGGCTTCTGTATAATGCTTTAATTGGAAGGTGCTGGAAGGTGGCTTTGGGTGGTACAGAAGGGTTTTTTTACATTTAAAGTTAAACGATAAAAATCCCGCCAAAATTAAGTTTTATACCCTAGACAGACGTAGCCCTAGTCCTAGCCCAGAGCGCTAGCCCACAGCCCTAGCCCAGAGCCCTAGACCACAGCCCTAGCCCAGAGCCCTAGCCCAGAGAGCTAACCCAAAGTCCTAGCCCAGTCCCTTAGCCCAGAGCCTTAGCCAAGAGCCCTAGCCCAGAGCCCTAACCCAGAGCCCTAGCCCAGAGCCTTAGTCCACAGCCCTAGCCCAGAGTCCTATCTTAGAACTCTAGCCTAAAACCGTATCTTTAATTCTAGATATAACCCTAAAGTTAGATTTAGCCTTAACCCTAGTCCATGCCCTATGTTCATTCCCTAGCTCATGATCTAGTACTAGTTCTAGTTTTTGCCCTAAGCTATCTTTTTGCCGATGTCGCTGCCCAAATTTATAACCATTTGCATTCCCACGCGTTTTCCCACGCCCTAGCCATACCTCATAATCTAACGCTACCACTAGCTCTAACTTACCATACCCGATAAAGTTATAGTAGTATGGCTTAACCTGCTCACTGTGACCTCAAAGAACTGAAAAAGCTAAAATTGCCGTACTCCCAGTAATTTATTGGGCCGTTTTACATCGGGGCAAATTTTACAAAAGTAAACAATATTGCATAATAAAAAGTTGCGTAATATCTTTTTTCCCAATTTCTCTAAGGCTATGTTGTTATATCAGAATATTATGTAAAGCAAGGTAAAATACGTATTACATCATGTCATCTTACTACCAAATGGCTATGCCGTCCTTGTCTTACCCTACACTTACCATACAAAACCCCTACTCTACCCTATTCTACGTTATCTTACCCTGCCTTATATTACTCTGCCCTATCTTTCTACAAATATCCTGCAAAATCTATCCATAACATCACCATGACATCTTCTTTACCCTATCAATCACACTATTGTTAGTACGGATTCTAAAGGACAAAGTACAATAAAAAAAACTTTAATGCCAAAAAGTGCCAGCATAAAGATACCATACAAAACAACAGTAAAAGCGGTAAACAAACTTTTTAAATTTAGAAAACCGGTCGTTGAGCTTTCACTTGTAAGATTTCAAAACAGTCAACTGTAAAGTGTTGGGTGATAATGGCATGTACAAGGATTTTTAATCAGATTATAAAAAGCGGTGACTGCTTTGCTATACCTTTTAGTAAGGCAGTAAATACGTTTTTTTAGCCAAAATACGAAAAAAAATCATTTTTACTAATTTGAAAACCATTTTCGATCAATTTCAAGGATTTGCAGTACTTGTTGCAAAATGCCAAAAATGGCGCCAAAATAAAAATTTAAATTTTTCTTAATAACTTTTTTTTTCAAGCCTAAATAACGTTAAAACACAATTTTCAGTTTTTGTTTAACCGTTTTTGTCGGTTTTTGCAGAATGCCAAATTTGGCGGGAAAATCAAAATTCAAAATTTTTTTTTGCAAATTCAAAAACAGTTTTTAAAAGTTTGATTTTAATGATAAAAAACGTCAAAAAGTAGTTGTAAATTAACTATCACTCTCTTTTTCACCTTTCTGTAGTATGCCAAACTTGGCGGGAAAACCAAAAATTCAAACCAAAAACCTTGAACTCACCCATTTTCGGGCTCTGGCCATCCTGATCGCTGCTGCACTCGTCCGCGTCCAACAATGGCAGATCGCTGTGGTCGGTGATACGGTTGTGGTGGAGATGGTGGAGCTGGGTGCCCGACTCCACGTGGTTCATGCCAAACGCCACCAGTTTCGCGGCCTTCTCTTTCGTGTTTCAACGGAACGATGAGGCTTTTTTAGGGCGAAAAATGAAAATGAGCTGTGAGCCGGTGATTTGCGCCAATTTTACTGCGAAAAAAAGCAAGTAGAGAACAGTCTGGAATGTTCATATGGCTAGTTAATTGTTTTAGTAAAGTCATTTTACAATTTATGCAAGAGTACACGTAAAAACAGCCAATAGAAAGTCACCGCGTGTTATAGGTATCAGCACTAGTCTGTCCATCGTTTATCCCAAATATTTTAGCCCACCATTACACAAAAAGACGTATTTTACCTTCACCAAAACCAACCCAAACCCATAACCCCGTATCATGGCCATAAAGTCGCGTTAAAGCTATAACATGTTGTCGGAACCCAATCAATACCCATATATATGTCAAAAAATGTGTATTCAAGGCCATTCCGTGTGTGTACGTGCTCAGAAATATCATATAAATGGGGCGTTGGAAGGTTCGCGAAGCCCTATTACCTGAGGCAAAAAAGAATTAAAGAGTAGTAACTGAATCCTCTACATGATGGATTACTGCACTAAGTCAGCGCCCTAATTGTTTGACTTTAAAGGCCTAGAAATAAAATGTAACCTGAAGGGTGGTTTTTTTGTTTAGTGTATGGGTTGACCTGCTGAATTTTGTTACTGAGATAATACGCGCGTTAGTTTGACAAAGTAGGTATTATGTTAATGACAATATAGCATAGAAGAGTTACTGAGTACGTTAAGACATCTGGATTACCTAAATTGTTCCAATGATCTTATAAAAAAAATTTTGAGTAAGACAAGATTATAAGATTTAGCTAATATATAACACAGTTAAAGACATCTTTAATTGAAAAGAATTAGTTAATCACGTTTGTAACAACTAAAGTCATATCAACTTATGCACGCAAAGAAAACGCTATCAATAATGTTGGACCGCACTTGCGGCCGACCTTTATTGACAGTCAATCTCAAATCATCATCAACTTTTGCGAACACGGACCTGGCGAACGGTCGTGTGTAGATCGACTCTGCTTGTCTTTACCAAACGTTGCTACTAGATTTACTCTTTTTGCGTTTACCAACCGTTATTACTTTGATCGCAGCAGCACGGATATCATATATTGATGACCCTATCTCTTATTGTTGGTACCATAAAAGAAAAATGAGGAAAAATATAAAGCTGGCAACGTTTTATAAAGCGCGAGTGGTATCCGAAACGTCATTTGAATATTCAAGCAAACCAACAGTCAAACGGATTAATCACTAACAACTCGCCGTCTTCACGCAATGAATAATATTGAATTCAACCTTTGCAACTAGTTTACAGTTTAGTAATACAGGTAAGTAATTCCTTTTAACAGAAAAATGTTTTCAATTCTTTTTTCATTTTTAGCTAAGATTTCGCTGTGGCACAGAAACCACGTTCTTCTTTACTAGTCAATCTTTAAAATGCTCCATGTGCAGCACGCTGCAGCAAGAATTGCCAATCATGCTCATGCAATGTGTGACAACTAAATAGTTAAAACAATTCGCCATACTATAGTTAAGACAATTCGCCATACTATTGGAACTACGTAGATACTATAATAAATAAACTGCTGCCGTACTACAATATTTTCTTACTTTTGTAGCCGTACATGTTGGATTATGTTTTGGCTGATAAATGTGACTTTAAAATCAAAAAGTTTAAAAACTAAAGGTAAAGTAAAGTTTAAAAGCATAATTTTCCCAAATTGTAACAAGCTGAAACCCACAAATGTCTTATTATGTTACATGTTCACGTGCCTTGACTATAACATAATAAAGTTTAGAGTTGTTTGTAACGCAATTACTACTAAACATGTATGCCTTTGGTCTAAGAAAATGTTCAACAAAAATTTTTGAAAGCGGATTAGTACACGCCGTATTTTACACTTTATAATAAACTATAAAACCCCCACAACAGAATTCTCCAGATTTAGGTTCCTAATGGGTTTGGAATAATATAACACGACATTACGATTGCTACGTCACAATGGAATACATTCATGCGGCCGTGTTTAATTACAAAGTACGTGAAATGGAAAGTTCAAACAGCGACAAATTTCTTTGGAAAAAATAAGCAAAGTGGCTGTTTATCGTCGTACAACATGTCTTCTGCGGCCTGCAACCCACAGATTTATAAAAATACGTGGAATTAGTGTTTTGTAAAGTAAGTTCTTGCGGTTTTTCGAAAAATAAGTATTGTAAAGAAAGTTGTTGCGGTTTTCAAAAAATGATTTTTGGGAAGAAAGCTATTGCAGTTTTTGAAAAAACGAGGTTTGTAAAGAAAGTTATTGCGGTTTTTTGAAAAAATCAGTATTGTAAGGAAAGATATTGCGGTTTTTAAAAAATGAGTATTGTAAAGAAAGTTCTTGCGGTTTTGTAAAAAGTATGGGCTTCAACATGACCAATATGCTCTAACCTACGACTATCACGATCAAGACCCTCAACCGTGCTTACAAAGCCTAAGACCTTGAAATTTACTCAGCATGCCCAACACCCTGAACCGTTAATCTACAGCTATCTTGCCTAACCTGACAACTTTTATACCTTACATTACTATACCCTTATACCCCCCCCCCCCATGAAAAACGTAAGCAAAAACGCGAAAAACCAAAAAGTTCATACTCAATGCCCAAAACTTGTCGCACACTTTTGCCGAGCCTTCGGGGTGGAGACGTGCTGCGTCAGCACCGAAGGAACGGATTTTAATACGATAAGAAAATGGCTTTTTGGCAGATACATATTTTGCCCACAAGATTTTTTTTCTCCTTCGCCCGCGACAAAATCCGTTTTATGAACATATAACAGGGCAGGGGGGGGAAGAACGGAAATGCATGTAAAAGAGCTATTGTCAGAGCAAATTGAGGAGCATGTTGAATACAGTAAAATTACGTTGAAATTCGAAAAAATGAAGGCAAGACACACATTTCTAGAAGCCAAAAAAGAGTAAAAAAGAAACGATAAGAAGTGCACAAGGGCGTGTAGGACGCTAAAAATGTAAAGAAAGTTGTGGCGGTTTTTCGAAAAATAAGTTTTGTAAAGAAAGTTCTTACGGTTTTTCGAAAAATCAATTTTGTAAAGAAATTTTTTGCGGTTTTTCAGAAAATATGTTTTGTAAAAAAAGTTCTTGGTGTATTTTAAAAATCGCTAAAAAAAAGTTTTTGTTTTTACCCAGTTGAACCTTTTGTCTGTCCCATAAACCTGTAGCAAAACTCAGGAAATGAAATCCGGAGATTAACTTGGCCACTGGACATCCGAATAGAATTTTAATGTTAATGTAAGGTCAAAGAAGAAAGTCTTATTGTCAACACTGTAAATTTAAAAAGCAGCCTCTACTAGCCTGTAAAGAGAAGAGGTTAATCAAAAAAGTTGTGATACCTAGTGTTCGTGTTACCAGTCGAGCTATGATGTCTTCAGTTAAGCCCGCCTTTTCAAAATTGCATCAGTCCGGCCCTGGCCACGCCGTGGGTGTGAAGCTCGGTCTACCCCCCCCCCAAATTCATTTTACAAAAAAACCGCAGTAATTTTCTTTCCAAAGCTCACTTTTAGGAAAACCGCAAGAACTTTGTTTACAACTCCCATTTTCGAAATGCAGCAAGAACTTTCATTACAAAACTCATTTTTCGAAAGACCGCAAGAACTTTCTTTACAAAACCTATTTTCCCAAAAACCGCAAGAACTTTCTTTACAAACCTCGTTTTTCAAAAGACCGCAATAACTTTCTTTACAAAACATATTTTTCAAAAAAATGCAAGAACTTTGTTTACAAAATCAGTTCAAACCAAAAAAACAAAAAAAGAACCCGCTGTAACATACCTTGATACACTTTTGCCACGTAAAAAAACAACTCTTGTAAATATTCTCAGCCAGCCCCCATTCTCACAGTGACATACACACATACATGTAGACAGTCATACACATACATTTACATACCCACACACATGCATATACACATACACATACGATAATGTAAAAAACGACTCTGATTAGATGTAATTTCGTTGCCTCGGGCAACAAAAGGAAAATTACCAAGAAAAGGCGAGTGGTCACATTGAGAACGCGTCTTCGGAATGATAATGTTCACAATTATATTTACTATCATCGCTTTTTGTTATTGTGCCAGAAAGACGTGGTATTACGGATAATGTCAATGTCTATATAACAGATTAAAATTTTTGAAAAAAGTGGAAATTAATCTGTCATAAAAATGTCATATTAAGGAAATGAACATGTCATAAAAAAGGTCATTTTTGAAACAGTTTGTAAAGAAAGTTCCTGCGGTTTTTTGAAAAATGAGTTTTGTAAAGAAAATTATTGCGGTTTTTCAAAAAATGTAGTTTAGAAAGAAAGTTCTTGCGGTTTTTCATAAAATCATTTTTGTAAAGAAAGTTCTTGCACTTTTTTGAAAAATAAGACTTGGAAAGAAAGTTATTGCTGTTTTTCGAAAAATAAGACTTGTAAAGAAAATTCTTGCATTTTTTTCGAAAAATGACTTTTGTAAAGAAAGTTCTTGTTATTTCTATATTTTTTAGCTAAATTTTCTATTTTATACTATAAAACCTGTCCGGACACATTTCATCGTATAACATGCCTCTCGCAGGCTGCAAGATGAAAATCTTATTTCTTTTAGATTTTGTAAAGAAAGTTCTTGCAGTATCTGAAAAGATAAATTTTGTAAAGAAAATTCTTGCGGTTTTTCCAGGAAAAAAAGAGTTTTGTTAAGAAAGTTCTTGCAGTTTTTCAAAAAATAAGGTTTGTAAGGAAAGTTCTTGCCTCTCTACTCAGTTAAACCTTCACTTCCAAATCTTAAAATCAAAATAAACAAAAAAACAACAATTGGCAGGTTGCGCCCCACCGTTCCGCAGCCTGCAGACTCATCGCTCTCTGAAAACAACACAAATTAACAAAAGAAAAACGAATTCCATTCAAAATATAATCTTCACGTGGTTGCGTCA